ATCTTCCCTCTACATTCTTCTCACTTCCCTCATTGAATTATGAACATCACTGCTACTACAAAAGGGTTTCTTTTATCGCTCACATGCTTTCGTATCATTTATAAAAGCTTTTATAAATACTTAAGTATCAAATCTTATCTAATACTTATTACTTAATGTAATTTCTATATGTTTTAAAACCAATTTCATAAAAGATAATTCCGATGCCATGCAAAAAGTGTAAGAATAAAAACATTTTTTTAAAGAAGTTGACAATTTTTAGTGAAATCTATATCCAAAATAGCGTAATACAACAACTTATATAAAATGTAATTTTAGTCCCTTTTCCTTTCCACCCTTTTCTTAAGAGGAAAGGATGGGAGGAAAAAGTGGATTGGACGTTGAAGGAGATGCATAGGAAAGGGAAATGTCCTCTCTATGTGCGTCTCCTCCTCCGTCAATTAGGGTAGGCAACGCATCTACAATAGGGGATATTTATGGGCAGAGGTCGCTTTCCATTTCGGTGGATTCAGGTGGCCGCTTGCTCGTTTGCTACCTCGTATTATAAAAAAAAATGTAACCAAACCCAAAGCAAAGATATGCAATAAGGTTTTAATATAGATATAGATTTAGACATAGATCTAAGAGTACAAAAAGTCTGAAACTAACTTCAAAGGGGGAAAATATTTGAGAAATAATAATAAATATGGAAACAGCACACAGAGCTTTGTTGATATTGATGAGGGTACTAGGAACGGGACGACAACGGAATTTACTTCAAAAGATTTCTTACAAGTGTGTGATCTTATGTTACACTGATAATAAAAGTCTTCTCGTATATAATTTTTTATACGAAAATGACATTTTCATGTTCTTATTGTCGATTTAAGATTAAAATGTAAACGCAAGATAAACTTATATGGAAACGAAAATAGAAATATATGGAGATAATTTAAGTAAACAGGAACTTCGTGTTATTTATTTCTTAATACCACTATCTTGAACTGTTATCAGAAACAAACAAAATAAGGAAAAAGATATTATTCCACTCGCATGTCATTTATACTCGGTTGCCGAAGTTTCCATTTATTTTATCATTACCCAGTGATTCATTAATGTTAAATTAAATTCCAACTAAGCAAAACTCAAGATAAGTAGGTAGGAAATGCATTAATGAAGTTATACAAAAAGCTCTAGCGAATGAATTAAAGTAGTTGGGAAACCGACCATTACTGTGATAAAAGATTTATACAGTAGAGTCTGTAATGTTTTTGGCGTTGAAAAAATAGCAGTCCCCAGCTACATGTTAATTTCTGTCCTGTACACTTTGAATAATGTCTAAATTTACACGTAATTTATACGTTTACGGTATGATGTAGTACTCGTACGTATACATTTTAATGTTTCATTTGTAACTTTATCCTTGTGTGTACTGCAAAGGATTGGAACATGTTGCCGACGTCAGTTTTTCCGTCCAAATATGACGTGGGGGCCTTCAAAAGAAGAGTAAACAGCTACTTATTAAGCTAGCGCGTATCTTTGGACTGCATTATCACTTTCTTCAGATGGGGTCGTGGTTATGCGCTAACCCAGCAAATATTAAAAAAAATCAATTAATGTAATACTATCTTTTGCCTTCAATTTTATCAGCACGGAATTAAAAATACAGCAGTAATAATGTAGTTTTAGTAATGTTATAAAAATGTTTATAATTGGTCTAGTAGTTTTGTATTTATTTGTTGAAAACTAAAATACAAATATATACTATATGTAAAATTATTTTAGACTAGCTGTTGCTCGCGACTGTGCCCGCATTAAATTAGAAGTAACGAAAATTGTAGCCTATGTAACTCATAGATAAATTACCTTTCTAACGATGAAAGAATTTTTAAAATATGCCCAGTTGTTTTTAAATTTTTTCAATACCTACAAACAAAAATAAAAATCTTTCCTCTTTAGAATATTAGTACGAGTATATTATCTAGTATACTCGTAATAGTATAGATACGTAGATTAATGTAAAGTACACGTAGTAACTATAAATCTAAAATGATTTTAAATTACAGTTTATAATAAATAATTTTTGAAATAATACAAAAAATAACAATGAGGTTTTTGAAACATTATTCAGCTGATGAAAATTTCAGTGAACAAAGGTTGTTTCAACTATAATATAATCTGTACAGAATAGAAAACATACGTCATGGAGAGTAATTTAGCTGTTCTTTGTTATACGATATTGATTGATATATGAATAATAAACTGAAACGCGTCGATTCAAAGCGCCTACATCGTAGCAAAATAAATAGAAACAGAATTTTATTAATTATTTAGTAAGTTTTTTCTTTCACGTACTTAATGCGATTTTCGGTATCAGTAACGCAAATACATCATCTTCCCGAAATCTAGATATTGCTTTTAATATTACAAACAGACACTCCAATTTTATTATATGTATAGATTAACAAACTATTAGATAATGTACTTTACTAAGAGGTATTTTTAACTGATTGTAAATTGTCACTACAAAGTATAAACCATCATACTTCATACTTTAATACAATAAATGTGAAAGTTTAGATAGATGGATGTTTGTTAGAGTTTGTAGCCTAGACGGCTGAACGGATTTTGATGAAATTAGGCATAGACGTAGAGGATAGTCTGGAAGAACGCATAGGCTACTCAGTGTTGTTTTATTTTAAATTCCACGTGGACGGAGTCGCGGGCGAAAGCTACTCCATCATAATTGGAAATTCGAATCGTTATAAATTTTACGGTTAGAAGAGTAACATTGACTATGTATTCTATTACTACATATTAATTAACTTTGTTCTAATCCATATAAGGTAAAACTATACTATATCGAAGTTTTCGTTTACAATTTGTCGTAAAATATAGCTCGAAAGCGAATGTTCGCTGGAAAAGTTGTACCATCAATCAAACTTTTATAATACCGAGACATTGCGTTTTATTACAACTTGCCAAAACTCACAATAACCAACTAACTTTCCTTTTTACACAAAAATAAAAGGAGTAATAAATCGATGTTTAATAATTCGAATTCTAAAAGACGTGACTAAATTAGACAATAATCATACTGATATAAATGAGAAAATTTCGATGGATGTTTATTAGAGTTTGTTGCCTAAACGGCTGAATGGATTGATGAAATTTTGAATAGATGATAGTCTGGAAGGACACATAAGCACACTCACATTTGCTTTTGTTGTTTTATTCCATGCGGACGGAATCGCCGGCGAAAGCTAGTATAAAATATAACCTCTCATTTACTACGAGACGGGTTTGGGCCCCGCGGCACGAACTAACAACCAGGCTTATATTAATATTGTTGTATGTTACCTGTTAATATGTACTTGGTACATTTTTTTTATCGAACATACGGTTATAATAATACTTACTGTATGAAAAATGCTTTCTTTATTCAATCATTTTTTCTTTCCTAACCATCTTTGTGTTCACAAGGACTGTATTAAATCAACTTGTTAAACAACGTAGAAAAGTAAATCTGTAGCTAAGCGCCCATAGCAAGGGTTGCCCTTTGAACATATTGTTTTTCTTTTGTTTAAGCTAACACAAGCCGAGTGCGGGTCTAAGTTTATCTACGTTTTGTCTTTGAACTTGTTCAAACATAAGAAACGCTGTATTAGTCTTTTAAAATAAAATAAGTCTAATAAAATAAAAAAACTATTTGCCATAGTTAGAGTCCTTTACTAGTTTAATAGCCACTAAAGGACCACACTAAGTGTAGATTTAAGAAAATAATACTAGAAGACTACTCAGTACCCAATAAATGACATGAAAATTTGTAGACGTAACGTTAAAAAAAGAGTTACAAAAATATCATGCAAATTATATATTACCTGTAAAAGATATCTACGTAATAAAATCTATTACAAATTGAAAATCCTTTGTTCAAACGGTAAACAGATTATAAAGTAATCCAGTGCAGCAATCGTCGTAATTTCATTTCGTGCAACGAATACTAAATGCAAATGACGCGTGTCGTTGCACCGCACATTGTTTCAACTTTTTTCCATTTGTTGATTTCCCACGAGAATGGGATTTATGGTCACGTTTTATCAATGATCGATGTTTAATATCTTAATGTAGCATACATTTAAAGTATTTTTTTTATAACATAAGGCGGCAAACGAGCAAGCGGCCACCTGAAACCGCCAAAACGGCGAAGCGACCGCTGCCCATAGACATCCGCAATTGCAGATGCGTTGCCTACCATTATACGACGGAGGAGGAGACGCACATAAAGAGGACATTTCCCCTTCCTATGCGTCTCATCCACCGTCAAATCCACTTCCCCTTTCCAACCTCTCCTTAAGAAAAGGGTGGTAAAGAGAAAGGGACTTAAATTAGACCTCCGGCACCAAATTTAAAGTAAATGTATGCTAAAGAGCGTCCGTGACTCAGGGTTAAGGCACTCGACTTGTAATCTACAAGTCTTGAGTTCGAAACCCGCCATGTACAAATGAATTTCGATTTTCAAATTTAAAGGTACATAATTTACCCGACATTCTTACGTTAAAGGGTGTCTGCAAATATCGGCGAAGAAATCAAAGATATGTGTGAAGTAAACAAACCCGCAGTGAGCTAGCGTGATTGACTATAGCCTAGTCACAAATTAGGGTAGACTATGAGCCCCTCAGTGGTATAGTAAGCTCATGGTGTGCTATTTGAAAATATATTTTTAATGTCTTTAGAAAGCACTTAAATGAATTGTTTTTCACAGTTTAGGTAACCTAAGTCAGATTATGAGAGGTTATGGTATCACATGCGAAACCTAAGGTCGGAAATCCTGAAGCCTACAATGTGTAAGAATAACTGTGTTCTTCCAGACTATATTCTCCTTGTGTAACATCCATACGTACATACACCCATACTATCAGTTCAATATTACTATGAGGTATTTATAGTTGTCAAGAAAAACAAAATCTCTGTAAGAAAAAAATAATTTATTTTCATTACAGTATAAAAAAATACTTGCAAAATTACAAATAAAAAATAATCTTCACACAAATCGACTTCATAAATAAAGGTACGTATAATATGCGGAGTATTATAGTTAATGTGTAACTTTCTTACGTACAGATTAAAAATTACAGCTGGACCAGAAATATAAACCCTCACTATATTACGAAAAAATACAGTACTAACGTTTCAGCGTATTTATAAATGATTTAAGGCGATTGAACCGCCCTCTTCATAATTTCTATTTTTCTGGTCAGATTACAACTAAATATGTAAATTGTACAATTAACCCTGAAAACATATAACGGATTAAAGATATAATACATAAGATAAAAATTACGCTTCAAAGATACATTAATTTTAAATCTATAATGAAGTTATTATACTTTAAGGAATAACAAAGTCTTTGTAACAAAATAACAAAAAAAAATCATAGATAACAATAAATACAAATGAAGGGCAGCATTTTAATTTGATTAGATATCACTCGATAGTTGCCAGTGTTTAAAACACTATTATTATGATAAAAAAATAAAATTTATAAATATAATTAAAATATACATATTTTCATTTCTAACACAATCACAGCAAAAACATCTCAACACATTTCCAATCAAATTGAATCATAATACAATTATATATGTATATATACAAAAAAATATACCAAGTTTATTAAATCACAGATAGACTCCCACCAAAAAGCTTAATAAGCAAATACACGGTATTTAAGTTGGCACATCGGGCAAAAGAGAGATATTACAAAGATCGACTAAGTTCGGTTTTGTAGAGCGCTCTCTCTGTCGCACACTGCTCTTAAAAGAGCTATTGTGTGACGTCACAACACAACTGCGATAGACAAAGACAACGCTCTACAAAACCGAAATCTCACTCTTTTCCAAGTGCCAACTCAATTCGCGCGTAAATAACGTTTGTAACATATTAAAGCCAAAATTGCAAAGTACATGATAAACGTTTATTTTTCCATCTATAGCACTAATAGAACAAAAGTCAATATGATATGTACGTTCTGAAATGTATGAAGCCCCTACTTCCCTAAATATTTAAATGTGATATAACTTCATCCATATTTGGAAAATCTTATTTTTAACATTCAGATATTAAAAGAACTTCCAAATGGAAAAGCAGAAAGTGAAAAGGCAGATTTGAATACAATTTATATTTCAAAGCACATCAAACTTGTTTCCAACGCGCAACCTCAAATTTTGACAGTGATTTTAAATTACAATTTGACAGTGACATTAAGTCACAGTTTTGTCAATGACATTAAGTCACAATTTTGTCACTGACATTTAGTAACAAATTTGACACAGTGACATTGACAATGGCAGATACATTTAAGAAGGTGTTTTTAAATTTCATATAGTAGTAAAAAAAATTGGGATGTGCAATTATGAGGAGAGAATTACATATAAAAACTTTACTTACGAGAGGTACACTGATAGAGGTCTTGAAAGGAATATTTACGTAAAAGTGACATTTAAGGAGTAGACGGTAAATGAAACTGGAGTAAAACAGGCAAACCTACCCGTAGGATAATATGGGTAAATTTCAATAGTATAAAAGGTCAGTCTTATATGGGGCGTGTTGAAAGCAAGTTTGGGCTAACTATAAGATATTCCGTATCGGGAAGCTAACTGCGGAGTATGTGTGGTGGCGACAGCCAACAATAGAGGGACGTCGTTCACGTCAATATTGAGGGTCTTCGTCAGGGAGGCGATATCGCAGAAGTCTGTCGTCATCAGCAGATCAGCTAGAGTCTTTGATAGCACGCACAACTCCCTTAATTTACCTTCTAAGTATTGTATGCACTGTAACAAATTATCAAAAATGGATTTGTTACTGCATATCTCTAAAACGACACAGATTAAATTTACCACAGATACAATAAAGTCTGAAAAAAGACATAGGCTATTTACTATTTTTTTTTAAATTCCGTGTGTTTAAGTCGCGAGTAAAAGCTAGTGTAAACAATAAATAGAATAAAAATTGACAACTCTATTGTTATTCTCTATCCATACTATACTGTAAATTTGCAATCTATAATTAAATTAATAATACGCTCCGTACTATGCATTTTTAAATTGACAAAATATCTATTACAAACAATTTATGACAGAATCGTGAGTGTATTTTGTCATTTGAACAGTTAAGTGTTTATTGGCTGTTGGTGTTTAATGGTGTAAGAATTTTTTTAAATCGACCGAGTAGTTTTTGAGTTATTTGAATACAATATTAGTGAATATACCTGATAGGAGGGCAGGTTGAGGCGCCGCATGAGCGGCAGCGCGTCCAGCATGGCGGCCACCAGCGGCGACAGCCCGCCCCAGCCGCCGCGCCGCCCCGCCACCGACACCTCCCTAGTACAAAATAACCATTCAATCTATACTTTTTTATTTATTTATTTCAAATATATTAAATACATTCTCTTCATCTATTACTTTAGGTATTTAAACCTTTTGGTTTGTGAGTGCACATTCTCCGTAACAAAATGTAAACTACCCAGTTTACATTTTTTTTTTACTTAATCTATAGTAATATAATAAAGCGTAGACACACATTCCTTTGTTATGTAGGATGCCAGCAATCACTGTATATTTTTGAACAATTATTTATTAATTAAAAAGCCTTACACCTACGACAAGCTTTAGAGAGTATATTTTTCGGGAATCTAATTATCACACGGGAAAGGGCAAAACAAAAACTACAAGCAGAAAAGAAATAATATTACCATAGTAACGGTAATTATTATCAAAGGTTGTGATAGTCATTCTTGCATTTAAATTTCGATATATTCAATTGAAAGTTTTAGACAATGTAAACAATAACATATTTTATAATTTAATGCGGATATAATCGCACAGACAGCAAATAACATAACTGATATAATAAGTTATTACTTAAGTTTTAATTATCACTTACCAAGTGTTAGTATCACCAACTATGGCGATAGCTTGCATTGGCGTGTCTAGAGTTTTGTTCAAGTACGATGTGAGGTCTAGGTCCCGCCGTAACTCAGTCTCCCAACTTTTATAGTTTGAAATTGTTCCTGAAATAGAAACAAAAATATAAGACAATAATTAAAATCTTAACGTTTTACGATATTATTTAGAAATCGTTATTTATTCAAAGATCACATATTGGTCCTTCGAGCCAGGATACAGATAGAACCTCATTACAATTTTAAAGAAGAGTTTAAAACGTAAGACACAAAAAGATAAACATACTCACCTTGTAAAATTAAATCAGGTATATAGTGCTCTGTGACTCCGCCCAACAAAGAGGCGTCGAATCCGGACCGCGTGTGGCACTGTTGAGATCGACAACAAACACTCGGCAATGGAAATTCTAGAACTTGCTTCACATCTATTGTATCTTTAGGCTTTTCCACGCGCTCCTTCTGACTGCGTTCCTGTGCCGACCTCGAGTTGTCACCGGCCCTTCTGCAGTTTACTACAATAGTATTCTCCTTTCGTTTCCTAACAAAAGTCTTCGGCGACATCTCTCGCTTCTCTTCACCCTCGATGACCTCTTTAGCGACTTGCGGCTCAGATTGTCGCGGAATGTCGTTCATGTACTCCATTTCGGAGGCGTTGGTGGGCGTCTGCAGCAATGACTCCATCAGCTGACATTTGTAGCAAGCATCGCACCTCTCCTCCTGAATGGGCGGAACTATCGTCGGGTCGAACTGGAAGTTGTCCAGCTTTAAGTTCCCCGGCTTCCCTATGTAATGTCTATCTAGTATCTCTAAGTTTTTGCTCTTCATATAATTAGTGACTATCTGTGGGTACTTATCGAATTCAAACTTAAAACCGGAATGTTTTATTGGTTTGGAATGTTGAAGTGTCTGTCGGCAGCACTTGGCGGGGCCGTCGGAGCCCTGTGCGCCACACGCGATGTCCCGCGCGCAGGGCCGGCGGCCGCACTCCTCTTTCACCTTCGAGGACTTCTTGACGCTCCTCCCGCCGTTAGACTTATTCTTTAAACCGACCAGCTTCTCATCGTCGCCCAGAACGAACACCACCTTGTTCTCCGACTCCAAGTCCGACCCTGACGTGTCCAGACTCGAGTCGGAACCTTTCAATGAGATCAGCACCGTGGGGTTCCTCCTCATCCCGCCGACGGACTTCTCGCCGCAGACCGCCGGCTCCGGTATAGAGAGCTTATCATTAAAATTAGAGAGCGTCGCCGACCGTTTGAGGCTGACCTCGCTCGAAACTAACGTACTAACACTACTACCACTACTCTGAGTATTGATCGGCACTTTTAAACTGTCTGGTAATTTCGGTTCCGCGGTTTTACAAGACTCGCTCTTGCTGCTTGAATTCACAACATTAACACATTTAACTTTGCTTTCTTGATATTCACACTGTTGGTACGCGAAGTCTGTTCTGGTGACGTCACCGCAGCGGAGGAAGTAGGTGAGTACGGAGAGGAGTTTGTTGATGAAGTGTGCGTTGTTGCCGGTGATGAGAGTCCTGGCGGCGCGGGGCGGATGTCCGATGGTGCCGCAGAGGTCGGCGAGCTGCGCCCACAGCGCGTTGTAGGGGCGGCGCGGGGCGGAGCCCTGCTGCACCTCGTATGGACTGACGGTGCTCACCCAACCTAAGTGGTGAGTGAGCACATTGGTGAGCAGAGTGCTGATGAAACTGGAACAAAAAATATAAACTTTTATTATTGTAATAATTGAGACCTAAATAAAGGCCTTGACTATGGCCTCGTCACCCCTTGCTTAGGTTAGGCTCCGAGCCTCTCAGTAGGGACGTGTAGTATGGCTGATGGTGATGATGAAATACAATACAACGACATTAAAATGTTCTCTTTGTCTTTAACTTCAACGAGTTACATTTTTTCATTTCTAAGAAATGTTTAAAAAATATAATACATAAAGCATTTATTCATATTTATGGAGATATTTCAACAAGTCATATTTTCGATCAAAGTCGAGTCTTCTCATATTTTTGTTGATTTACGCCACCATTAACAAGAAATATTTCAATTATGTTATATTTCGCCCACTATGTGGAAGATATATTTACATTTGTACGTCATTCTAGACTATAAACATGTATAGGAAGATTATTTTGTTAAGATAACGGGAAGGGCAGGACGTTCACCTCAATTTATTTCTAAAAAAAAACATTTGAATAATATCAACGCTTGTCCTTGTTCAAACATTAGCAGTAACATTTATATGCATTAAAAACATTAAACTTTGTTAACTAACCCTAATAAGAAGTAATTTAATGTCTACTATACATTATTTGTTTAACTGGGATACAACTTGTCCCCTAATCCTTCAGGCAATGTCCGTGGGAAAAAGAAAACAATTATAAATTACTAGCTGTTGCTAGCAACTTCGCCTGCGTGAAATTAATACAGCCTATGTTACTCCCTGATAACGTAGCTTTTTAATGGTGTAAGATTTATTAAAATCGGCCAAGTCGTTTCTGAGTATTTTCAATACCTACAAAAATATAAATCTTTTCTCTTTATAATATAAGTGTAAATAATTCAAAGTATTTAACATTACTATTGTGTTGCCATATGTAATGTATACATGCTAACAATACATCAATTTATTTTTAGAACAAATTCTCATGTAAAACAAAACTAATTCACACACTTCTACGATATCCTAATTAGGTTCTCAAGCAATTTACACCGCATTGAAGTACCGAATGTGGGGTTATCACGTGAACATACGTAAACACTCCATATAGAAATAACCAAAGAAAACATGTCGGAGCTAAAAATAAAACATAAGTTACAATATGACGCTCTCCTCATTCACACGTTTCGTAATTGACGTTCGGAATGAGCCAGAGACAAACACTTTGCTTTTCTTTTCGCCGAGTCATTAAACGCACGACTGCGCTGGACAAAAGCCAGAGATAATATATTTTTTGGTAATTAATTGTATTTAAAGTCATCAAAAGTCAGTTTATATATTTATTAAATAAACTACAAGTGGACGCACATCTTTGACAAACTATCGCACAACAGTTGTGCGATTGTCGATTGTTTCGCAGCCCATTCAATTGTTTAGTTGCACAACTGAAAATCGAGTAGTGTGCGCACCTTCATATAAGCTCATAGGAATCAAAGTGAGACTAAACAGTTGTGCAATAGTTTAGTCAAAGTTGTGCGCAATTTAAAGGTTTTCGCACTAATCTGTGACCATAAATAGCGTAAATATCTCTCCCAAGAAAGGAATAATAATAATTTTAGTGACGTCACAGCGTGATATACACAACCTAAAAAAGTCACGCAATTACTTGACTACAGCAGTATGATAGAATATTCCAAAGCACTTATGTATCGAATTTTATAATACGTAATCTAAAGTATAAGTAAAAAATTATTGATTGTTGTTTAGTGTGCGCTCACCCTTAAAGTCATGTGATTACCGAAGTTATCAAACAGGTAATAAAATTAATCTACGTCAGTGTACGATGTTAAAAATTACCGTTTTACGTATAGAATGAAAATATTTTTACCACCTGACTGAGTCACGTGGCCGCGATATCAAATATTTGGATTCTTTCACTATCGGATCTCGATATAGAATTTAAATATCGAACACTCGTGACTGTTACTAACGATTCTAGATATTTATGAAGATTGATACTGGCCTTTACATTTAACTGAAATACTTTAAAAAAAAAACTCAATATAAATAGACACTCGAATTAATGTAGAATCTGTTTTGTAGTCTGTGAAACTGATTTTAATTTAGTTTTGAAGCTTTTAAAAACCAAAACAGTACAATTTAAAAGAGCAAATGGCAAATGAAGTAAAGGAAATTTCCGCTTCAGATATAATTACGAATGACTTCTTGCAACAATGTTTTCTAAAACATTTAGCAATCGCAACCAAATTGACATTTAGAAAGAAACCAAACTGACGTCAATATTCAGCTGTGAGTTAAAACGAGTATTCAACTGAACAATCTCTAACCATATTGTTTGGAATACAATATGTTTTTGTACACATTTACCAGATATGTTCAAAGTAAATGCTCCGACGCAGTCTTTCACCTACACTTTTGCGAAATGGAAACCGCCCAAAAGAAATGACGCGCGAAATAACTGACAGACGGACTGTCGCTATATAATGTGCACTTTGGAAGGTCACGCCAAGGATGAAAATGCTAATATTATTATACTAACTAGTATGTAAATAATGTTTTAAAAAACTAGCTTTCTAACTAGAATTACAAAAAAAAAACAAATGAAACATAGACTACCCATGCATACTTCGAGACTATCCTCTACATCTATGCTAAATTTCGAGAACCGTTCAGCCGTTTAGGCTACAAATTCTAACAAACATCCAAACACCAAAACTTTCCATCTTAATAATCTTACTAATATTATAAATGCGAAAGTTAAGATGGATAGATGGATGTTTTTCAGAGTTTGTAAATAGTTTGAAATGAGTTTGTGATAAAATTTGCCATAGTCTGAAATAACACATAGGCTATTTGCTTTTTTTTTAATACCACGCGGACGGAGTCGCGGGCGAAAGCTAGTTTATAATATCATGAAGAAGTAAGATAGAACAAATAATTGGCTACACAAATACAAACTATTATAAGAAAATGAAAATTTTATAAACTGACTTTTGTTTTATAAACAACAGTTTGTAAACGTTAAATTCGACATACAAACACATAATCATTTATCGTAAAATAATAGTTTTCTGTTATTCAACAAAGTTGGCAAACAATCTGTCTACAATAAAGGTTTTATCAAATAGAAATAATGTTTCATTCATTTGAATATCATTACGAGGGATAAATTATTAAAATCGTAAAAATTTGGCCGACATCCAGAAATACTTTAGCAACTATGTATTTGATACTCTCTTATGTCATTTTAATTCATTGGCAATCTCTCAGGCGCCGGAAAAATATTTATACATTTGCTATTTCATGGTACAAAACAGATTATGTAAGAGATTACGATTTATAAAATCAATATAGTTATTTGCTTTAATTCTGAATAATATACCAAAAAAATTAACATTCTTGAATACAAACTTACAAGTCAATATTATGAGTATATGATAACATTTTCAATTAGCTTGTGTGAAATGCACTAACTGTTGCTCGCGACTTTTTCCGCGTAAAATTAAAAATGTTACTCAGCGATAACGTAGCTTTTGAATGGTGAATGAATTTATGAAAACGGTACAGAAGTTTTTAAGTTATTTCAATATATACAAAAATACAAAATTTTTCTCCTTATCTTACTATCTTATTAATATTATAAATGCGAAAGTTTAGATACATGGATGGGTTTTTGTTAGAAAGATTCATGGCATATATGTAGAGGATAGTCTGGAAGAACATATAGGCTACTTTTTTTGTTGTTTTTTTTTTAATTCTAGACAGAGTCTCGGGCGAAAGCTAGTATGAGTATAGATGCTTACAAATTAGTATCCTTGGTGTCGGCCGCTGTCAGCAGTGCGCAGATGTCAGACAACAAGAGCTCCGCCTGCCCGGCGCAGCGCCGCGGCGCGCTGCCCTGCAGGCTCAGCCAGCGCGACTGCAGCCGCGGACCGAACATTAAATCTGATAACCTAAAAAATAATAATTATCAATAATCTGTTGACATTATTACTAATATTTCATTATTGCAAAATATTGCAACCCCGGCACCATGGTGCTCGGACAATATGTGTTGCACGTATGAATCCGACGTTTTTTTTTATCATAATACATACGTTACATAGTAAAAATTTCCATTAATTTTAGAGATACTTATTATTTATTATGCTTATTCCATCTTAAATGTATCTAGTATTGAAGCAAAAACTCAAGTAATAAGAGGACATATTTGCATATTTGCAATACATAGAAGTGCATGAATAAACTTTATAGGCTAATATCACCATATAATTTACAAACAGAATAATCATCGCTGTTTAGGAGAAAGATCATCACCAGCTCACTATACGTCCCCACTGAGGGGCTCGGAGACTACCCTTAAAGTAACTAGGCTTTAGTCAATCACGCTGCACTGCGGGTTGACTTCACACATATCTTTGAATTTCTCCGCAGATATGCATCACGATGTTTACAAAACCCTGAGCCACCTAAACTCTACGAAAGTTAAGTCTAAAGGCCTGTCCTACCACTAGCTGACAGAGGCTCAGTTAGCTTAAAAATGACGTCACTGTCAGGTAAGGTAAATAAACCGATTTCTCCATCATAAATTTAACACGTTAGATATCAGATAACTAACAATTTTGTGGGAAATTAAAGAATTGTTTATTTACCATCTCGCAGCATCTCCTGCAGCTGTATGTAACGTGGATACAAAGTTCCCCCCCGCGCCGGCTGCCATAGTGGCCGCGCGTAGTCGACACACCAACGCCTGCAGCTGCGGCGAGTGTTCAACACAACGACGGATCAAATCCCTAACAAAGAAATTCTTATCATTAATTTATAATCATGAACACATTTTTTTTAAATAAATTATTAGCAGCGCTTTTTTATAATATAAATTAGCAAACGAGCAAGCGGCCACCAGAATCCATCGAAATGGAAAGCGACCGCTGCCCATAGACATCCGCAATTATAGATGCGTTGCCTACCCTTCATTGACAGAGGATGAAACGCACGTAAATTGGCCATTTCCCATTCCTATGCGTCTTCTCCACCGTCAAATCCATTTTTCCTTCCCATCCTTAATGTTCATCAACTATTTTTTTTACCATTCGAAATAAACGCTAGGCTTGAGCTTTAATACGGTTTAAGACAATAGTTAGCTCTTGACTATTAATATGTTTTTAGTAGTGACGAAATACTGTAATATTTTTACATTTTCCGTACGTTACACGAAGTATTTTCTTGTATTTGAGCTCCGGCTTGGGTAGCTAATTATTATTACCTTACCCCTGGTGAGTGGAAGACAAACTACACTCCAACTCACGAACAAAAGAGATAACTATATTTCTGACACCCATGCTTCGAGTTTAACGTTAACGCAAGGAACGTGTTAAATGATAAGCTTAAACTCGAAATTTCTTATAACGTCAATCTGATTTGTATGGAATAGAAATATTTAGAATCGTAGAAGAGGAGCAGCAATAGTTGTGACCGAATGTAACATGTGTAACACGTTTTATTTTCTTTTTCTTTTGAAAACTGGCGCTTCGGTGTACACCGAGCACATGCCGAATGCATTCCTTTTCATTTTTTTGAATAAACTGATTCCTTTCATTCTTTCATTCAATATTTTCGTAATAAAAAAGATACTACTTATAGAAATAGTACAATTGGTACTATTGAAAGAAAATTAAGAATCTTATCCTAACTTCAAAAGATTCAAAACTAAGATCTAGGGTAATTAATAATTAAAGAATCCATTAGGTTTCAAAAGAGCTGCATAATAAACGGCTTAAAACATGTGACTATACTTAGATTTTTACACTAATTGACCTAATTTATATTCTAGTAGATGTCAAAATTAGAGTGATGAAGCGATTTACATTCAATTATCAGATTTCAACCATAACACGTGCGTATAAGGTTCAAATTAGCGGTACATGTATAATTATTTCGTGGGCATAATGTTTGTTATTACTATTACCGTCATAAACCGACGGCTGTCACGAGTTTAGGATGAGTGAGAGTGATAACAAACTACCTGATAAAGGTTGTAAAACAATTTTATTACTTCACAAACATTCAACCATTGTGTCATCTTAGCCGGCAAAGAACATGTAAAAGTATAGACCTTACAAATTATTTGACCCGGTGGGCAAGTGAAACAGATCCTCATGTCAATGAACATAAAAAACGTAGTAATTTTTATTTTCTACTATATTTCGCCATCGACACCGTTTGCGTGGATTTTTTTTTTAAATAAGTAGCCTATATGATCTTGCAGACTATCCTTTACATCTATGCCAAATTTCATCGAGATCTGTTTAGCAGTTTTTGCTACAAGCTCTAACAAACATCCATTCATCTAAACTTTCGCATTTATAACATAAGTAAGATACTTGTTTAGGTATCACATATTGTCAGCCAAATACTAAAACAAATCTAAAATTCGCTACAGACGTCATAATTTTAAGTTAGTCCCGTACCGGGGCAGAGAATTTTATCGCACTATATTAATTATAATGTAAGTTATTTAAGTAGATGCATACTTACATGTCAGTATCAGGTACAGTGATCAACAAAGCTAACCCCAGCTTGTTTCTGCGCTGCGCTACGCCCGATGAGGTACTAAGAAGGCTGTCGCTTGTGCCGCTAGTTGTACTATTACTGTACATCTATGAACAATAAACACCTGAAAAGTTTACATATCAACGGTCCCTAAGTAAACTTAAGTAAGTGCGAAAAGCAAATTTCACAGGAGAGCGAATATTCAAGCATTAGTATCTCAAGTTTTAGTACGTAGTGTTATTCGATAGCATAGATTCTTTACAAGCACATGACTGCCACGCGGATTAAAAAAACTTGGTATGTGTTCTTCCAGACTATGCTCCACTTCAGTGACAAATTTCATAGAGATCCATGGAGCAGTATAGGCTACAAACTCTAACATCAGCCATCTATACTTTTGCATTTATGATTTCTCACTAATGTTATGCAGTCAGATTTCACATAAATTATGTCTCTGTGCTTAATGCTTCCATGTTGATTGATATTTCTATTAATACAATCGGATATTGAGTTTATATTGACACATCACAAGACAAGGCGCACCTCGGCAATGTTTACAAGATACTAGCTATTGCTCGCGACTTCGTCCTCGTGAAATTAAAAAATAATAAAAACATCATTCACAGATAAATTACCTTTCTAACGGTGAAAAAATAATAAAATCGGCCCAGTAGTTTTTGAGTTTGCATTACAAACAAATATACAAATCCTTTCTATTTATAATATTATAGATTAGCGTATCCCGTCAATACATTTTGTAAATATTAATACATTATTGGTAATATATTAGCACAATATCGGCAGCTCTTTAACATTTATTTCTCATCATTTACGTAAAAAAGTTTAACGAGGGTTTCTATTGAGGTACCGAATTTACAAACATATTGTTTTCTCATTCATTCTCTATAAAATTAACGGATATAACATGTATCTGTATACGTGTAGTGGTAGTGGAAACTCACTTTTACACTGTCTAAAGTTTACGGAATAAATCACAATAATCCAGCTGTCAGTTTGGATAAGCATTGATTGATCGTAAGACTATAGGTCAACGACACTTATTTTAATATAACGATACCGAAAAATAACAGTTTTATTTGCATTTTTAAAATAATCAATAATTCTAATCACAACAATTAATTTTATACGTTACTAGCTTTAACTGCGTTCGCGTGGAATAAAAAAAAAGAAAAGTAAATAGCCTACGTGTTCTTCCAGACTATACTCTACAACTATGCCAAACTTCATCGAGATTCAGCGTTTAGGCTACAAACACTAACAAACATCCATAGCATCTAAACTTTCGCATTTATAATATTATTAAGAAGTAAGATAAGATTTAACATCCAACAAGACTAATGGCCGGTTTCCCAGACAATTTTAAATATTCGTTAGTGTTATTGGTTCCATAACTTCATGTAATACTTTTCCGAACTTGACTTTTACTTCTTAATTTAGCCTAACACTAATTAATCAGTATGTAATGATATAATAAACGGTAGCTTTAGCAGCTCATTATAAGAAACTGGCATAAAATGCCTAAAAAAATAACATTATTTGTCTATTATCTGTGACGAATACAGAAATGAATTTAAAAAAAAAACTTGTAAATACAAAAACAAAGACAATTATATTCGTTTTAACATACGAAGCGGATCGTGCTGTCATTGTTGACATGTTTTTAACGTTGGCAGACGTGAGACGCGTGCTTCTGTCAGTTAAAGAAATAAGTTTTCATTTTCGACGTAGACATTTTTGGTGTGTGTGTGCTTTTTTTATTACTACTGTCTTTTATTCATCGGCGACAAACTATCATACTAATTCAAATACTATAGTAATATTATAAATGTGAAAGTTTAGATGGATCGATAGATGGATGGATGATTGTTAGAGTTTATAGCCTAAACGGCTGAACTAATTTCGATGAAATTTGGTATAAATGTAGAGAATACTCTGGAAGAACACATAGGCTGATCACTTTTGTTTTTTTTAATACCACGCGAAGGGAGTCGCGAAGGAAGCTAGTATTTCTATAATTAAAATCGATCAGTACCTCAAAGAAATAATAAACATATTCCATTAGTTGCAACATCTGTGTTAGAATACCGTTAGTATAAACGAGTTCTACATGACCTCAGTCACAGTAAGACAGTTTAAGCCAGACGTAGTTAGGATTTTCAGAGAGACATTAGAATGAACCAGAAATAGAAAGAACAGAACGTCATGTAAATTTAAATTTCTTTGTCAAGCAGATTTATACATATTTTAAAACGAGTGCTTATTTCCTACCCTTCGTTTGGAGAAAATGGAGAAGCAATTTACGTTAGATTACTTCTTAAAAGTAATATTTGTAAAAGCAATCTGTACAAAAATATATAGAAGAAAGATTTGATTGTCAGTGTGTGATTTGAATAGGCTCTAGGAAAAAATCTTTTACTTTTGGGGTAGCTACAGTCAGAGGACATAAATGTATTATTAGATTTTTTTTCTATTCTTGATTTAGCCCCAGTGATTGAACAAGGAGTAAAAGGTTAGCATGCCAAGGGCATGTTATGAAGAGGGATGAATCGTATGTAACAAGGAGAACGTTATGAGTGTGGAAGTACCTCGGTAGAGGTAGACATAGAAAGAGATGAATGGATTGTGTGAAAGGTGACATGATCAAGAAGGGAGTGATGACTGAAATTACGGATGAGTTATTTGGAGGATGAAAACCCTGTGCGCGGACCCTACGGGACTAAGATAAGGAGGTGATTTTGCAAAGGTCGTGAGCAAGAGCATAGTAATTTAATTGTAACTGACCATAACCAATGTTCTGGAAATCAATATTAGTTACATAACAGAATTAATTGCATATACAGGAGTGTAAATAAGTGTGTGTTAATTATCGGTGTTCAATTAGAGATATCAGCTCACATGACCGGCCGGTGCGGTCACTTACGACACGAATCACGCGCTTTGACGCCGATAAAGACATTGTAAACAAACTTGACTGCTGTTTAGAAAATAAACCTTTCTTACTAATATGATAAATGCGAAAGTTTGGATGGATGGATGGATGTTTGTTAGAGTTTGTAGCCTAATCGGCTGAACGGATTTCGATGAAATTTGGCATAGACGTAGAGGATAGTCAGGAAGAACACATAGGCTAATCAGTTTTGTTCTTTTTTTAATTCCATGCGAACCGAGTCGCGGGCGAAAGCTAGTCTAAGATAAATGTAAAAGTTTGAATGGATGGATGTTTGTTACTGCGTATTTTCAAATTGAACGGATCTTGATGATATTTAGTACAGATGTAGAGCTTTGTCCGGAAGAATACATAGGCTCCTACATTTTTAATTCCACGCGGTCGGAATCGCGGGCTAAAACTTGTACATAAATAGTTTTTACCCAAGCTATAGCTATAACTGGAGTGTGTTGTTAGAAAATAAATATTACATTACATGTGTATTAAGATAAAAAATTCAATTTCTTTTACATCTTGCGATCTTCGACAATGCTTCCATATAAAAAATATTCTCAAGTACAAACTAAGACAGTAACCAGTACTCTATTACAAATATCAAAGAAATTACATTATAGTAACATTTCAAAAGGTGTAAATAGTAATTTACCTGTGAATCCGACGTGTTAGTGGGCACACTAAGCAGTCCGGAGCCGCCGAGGTCGAAGCGTGTCGCCATACTCTGGAAGGTTCTACGCTGCCAACTGCCTGTACTCGACACGCTTAGCTTGCGACCAGGCGGACCTAGCCAAAGTAATCCCTTATAGTATTGAGGTTTTAAAACATAAGGTAATCATACTAATCGTTGAAAATAAGTGTGGCGTGGAGTAAAAGGATACAAGGGGAAATGACAGATGCCGCATAAAAGTATTGAAATGACCCAAACTTGTTTAGCTTATGACCGGTTTATTAGATACTTTTAACCATTCGTTAGTGTTATTGTTTCAATAAATGCGTTTCCGAACATACATAACTAGAGTTATATTCCTTTAAAATTTAATTCAACCTAACATTAATGAATCTCTAGGTAATAATAAAATAAATGGAAACTTCAGCTACTTTATAGTGGACAATAGTAAGAGTTTACTGGTAGACAATAAAATCTATTTATACATCCAAACAAAATCCTTAAGTGTCGTTGCAAATTGAATCAAAATGGGAGACATGAAAGTCTAAATTACCGTTATGATAATGTGCCAAGAGGCAACAGATTTCAGCAATATAGCATTATTCTATAGACATATAATAAACTGATTGTAGTGGAATATCCTTGACCTTTGATATTGCGGCTTTATAAAAGTCTCAGAAACTAATGTCACGAACTTTATGATATCATCCGCAAGCGAGAGTTTTGTTACTCAATTAATCCCAGCTTAACAGATGACTAATTTTAAAACAGTTTTAAAAACTCTTTCAACCGTAACTTATAATAAACGGTAAGTTTATTACCACAATATAATAACGATCTTAAATAACTTTCAAATACGAAAGATCAACAATTGTCATCAGTTTCCGGTCGATACTGACGTGAATGCCCTAAATATTACACTGGCGTATGCAATTAGCGTAACAGTGACGTCATAAATGTATGAATGAAATTTCTTATACAACTTGATACTAATCCAAATCTTTATAATGCTAGTTTATAGAGCAGTTGAATAACACAGTACTGTCATTGTTTAAACAGTAAAGAAACATTTAAACAATAGTAGTACTGCTTTACTGCTCTGTCCTCGTGTGAAACTTGCATTAGCAAAGATTTATATTCATATTTTGTTATGTATATAACTTAATAACGACTGGGCCGAATTTAAAAATTCTTTCACCGTTTGAAAGGTAATTTATCTATGAGAAACATAGGCAATATTTTTACGCGGAAAAAGTCGTAAGCAACAGCCAGTATCGTATACGAGAGGATGCGTCGCATCAGCCCATTCAAATTGACAATGAAATCCTATTAGATTTCAATGTAACTGACGCTACAAAGTTTGCTATGAATGGTATTAAATTAGATTTGTTTTTTTAGGTTGGACTATAAACCATTACATGCTTAAAATACACATTCTTGTAAAACATTCTTAGATTATGTACACGTAACTTTAAAATACTCCTAAGGTATTTTTTTATATCTTCAATATTAAAAACAATTTAATCATATTAGTCACGTGAAATATATAAATTATATTTATTTTATCTAATCGATATGTATCATTTTACATACTTCAGGAAATATCATATTTTAACTAAATCAGAGTAGAGATAACGTAATCCCTTTTGACAGCATTACGTGTAGATTGTTTGAAATATCATACCACATGGTTTTGGGACTTCTAATGCGAAATTTAATTACATGATGATGACATTTTTAGAGTTTTGATATAGATCACCAAACATATTTGACCCAGTGATGTAACGAATATACAATAAGATAAGAACACGCGCACTTCTTTGACTAAACTATCGCAAAACTGTTTAGTCGCCGCTTTGATTCATATGAGCTTATGGAGATGCGCACACTCCTCGATTAGTTGTGCAACTAAACATTTGAATTGGCTGCGAAACAATCGACAATCGCACAACAGTTCTGCGATTGTTTAGTCAGAGGTGTGGGCTCTTACGAATCCTGTCAATATAAAATGTCACAAAAACCTTTTCGGAAAGAATATATATATAACAGTATTTTATATGTAATAAGTTTTTTAGACTATTATTTAACTTTCGCCCGCGACTCCGTCCGCGTGGAATTTAAGTGAGTAGCCCATGTGTTCTTCCAGACTGTGCTCTACATCTATACCAAATTTCATCAAAATCCGTTCAGCCGTTTAGGCTACAAACTCTAACATCCACCCATCTAAACTGTCGCATTTATAATATTAGTATGATAGTATGACTAGTATGAATACTATATTGGAATTACTTACAATGGAAACTCAACTCGTCCTGTATTTTCCTGTCCCCGTCGTACATTGAATGGTCGAAGTTAGACCCCACGCTGCTGTAAGGTGATTGTTCACTGTAGAAACCTGCAAGACTTTATAAAATTTAATTGTGGTCTTCACACATAAAAGTATACATTTCAATAGCTCGTGGCTCTGTATATTTTGCACTCCTTAATTAACAGACAATTTGTTAGTAAATTAGTGTAAAAACAATATTAACTTTCTTTTGTTTTAAATGTTCAAATACTATTTTCACGCAATCGATAAAAAATAAATGACTAAAGTTTCATCGCATTTCGACCTTAAATACAGAAGAATTATAATTTGGCAAATGTTGAAAAATAAAGCAAATACATTTGCATAATACTAGTTTCTTTACATTTGCATTACATCATTTAACCTCACCAGAACTGGTACATTCCGCATTCCTACCGATAGCATCGCGTATTAATCGCTTACTTTATCAAAAACTTTAATTTTTTATATCGTTATTCACAATTTATATGCATCTGTCAATACTATTGCTTTCTTAGATACAAAAAAGAAATGTTTACAATTTCTTAATATAATTGCAAACATTTTTCAAATCAAACCTAAATATAATTTGCTAGTTAACACTTTACTTCCCTCCTTTTTCATTTACGAAATTCCATTGCACAGACAAACAAGAGTCTTTTCGTAATAAAAGTCTCTAGGATTTTCAACTAACGTATAACAACATACCCGAATCTCCCCTATCGATGGAGAAACTGAGAGACACCTCCTCCCCGCGCCACTCCGGCACGTTCAACGGCGTCGAAGTATTGCGCACCACGTTATTGTTGGTTTCGCTGGTCTTTTTCTCAACACGACTTATCCTTCGGGACATGGGGACGCAGAACACCTTGGTGCACATAAACCTAATAGAGATAATACGATTTAGAGCGAGAGGTAAACTAAACATCTACTCCAGGGTTGGCGAACATTTATGCATCAAAGTACCATTTTTGTCAGCATGAAGATGAGATTTAAGAAATGTTTAATGCGGTCTTAGACGTGCCATCAAATAATTTTGACTGCGATTATTACTTCAATTCCATGGTGCACCTATTTCACAATTTTTCCTTGTATTTTTAGGATTATCAACGTGCCCAAAAGAATATGTGTGCCATTTATGGTACGCGAGCCAGTGGTTTGACACCCCTGGTGTACTTTATCACACTAAGAGTTAAGAGCATATGAATGAGATTGTTTAACACGTATTATCTACACCACTTGTTTTAAATCGTTCGAGTCCACTTCTGGCGACTTGCCAACATCCTCCGGATTCTCGTAAGGTTCAAGATCACGACAAGTCCGGAAGGTAAAAAATGGAACAAACAAAACACTTTCGTATGAGATGACGTAATACTTAAAAAAAACAAGCGCTAAAAATAAATATGTACTTCTATATTTTTAACAATGCTTACTTGGCTTTAATATTGTTTTCGTATTTTAACAAACGTAGCATTGGATTAACAGTTAGGTAACCGGAAATTCAATTCCAATCCCTTCTTTAATACATTTTCTACTTTTAAAGTACTGTGTATAGAAACTTTTTATACCTAAATCTCACTTATTAAGTCTAATTCAAATTGCCTTTTGCCACTGTCTTATCACGAAATGACTTTTTAATTTCCTAGATTATTGCATTCTTATTTTTGGCTGGATCAATGTCTTGCCTTTTTATTGTTGTTTTCATGTATTATCTATACTAATATTATAAACAGGAAAGATTTGTATTTTGTATGTATTCGATTCACGTTAAAACTACTGGGCCGATTTTAAAAATTCTTTTACCATTAGAAAGGTAATTTATCTGTACCATAGGCTATTTTTTTTAATGTCACGCAGGTGAAGTCGCGAGCAGCAGCTAGTTTACTAAACTTACCTTTTAGGGTCATTCATGATGTGAATCTTCAAGGAGACGTTTTTAAAGTTCATAGCGACCGCACCGAATATCATATCACCCAGCAAGCTCGCGTCCGCCGCCGGCCCCTTGTACTGCGAACAATTGCTACTGTATGTCCTTCATGCGCCTTAGTGCTATAGCTTTCTACAGATCAACGACCCTATGCTGTGTTTGAAAAACATTTATAAATACGTGTAATGAAATATTGGACATGATGACTAATTTAATAAGAATTTTAGGGGTTTCGGAAGACAATCTATTCCTGTCCAAGGTAAGATCCTGCCTAACATCATAGGCTGCTGAAGATCTAGGGTAAATCGAGTACTTATTTTGTGTTATTTTAAATTATTCGACTCTCTAAGGGGAATCTGCCATAGGGTAGAAACCTTACCTTGTAGACGCTTATGCCTAACATATATTGTTTATTTTATTACTTAAATTATTTATATAAATTTTAAAAAACAAGATTTGTAGTAAGTTTTGGGACAGAATTTTTAATGGCATTTGTTGTACTATCAATGTTGCAGACTGTATACAAAATTTATAAACATACTTTAGAGCAATAAAATGATCAAAAACGAGTTTATTAAAATTACCAATAAGGAAAGAGTCACAAATAAACTCCACAGTGTAGAGGAATCTATTATTTCTAGTTACACGAGAATATAACAATACTATAAATGGTTACCATTAATTATCACTACACAAAAAACTTATACGGGAACGTTCATTAGTCCCACTTATAGCGTCTGTTATAATAAAAATGGCTAACATAAAATGGATCTAAATATAGATCACAAGTGATGCGAATAAACGTTGAATCAGACAGTCTCGTGACAACGATGTCTCAATTGTAGAGTTATTTTTATTCAGTTTGATAAGGCTTCGTTAATCGCGGACGTTAACAAACATAGCGAAAAACAGGACATAATCAAGACATAATGCAAACATTTAACTATAGTTTAATTTTAGTATTCTTATCGTTATTCCATTCATGTTGCTATACGAATATAATGTTAGAGTTGATTTGCAATCAGTATAACTTCCGTATATGCCGAAAATATTTTCTTAACCTTCGTCTTTGCTAAATTTAGTTTTACAGCCTTACAAATAAACGCAGTATAAATTAAAATTTAGGACTAAACTGAGTATAAGCAAATATTAGTACAAATTTTGCTTAACAAAGGTTAAAAAAATACTATTATTTGAATCTTAAACCCCTGACAGGGTTAAGGCTTTATGGAGCAATACTTAATATTAAAAATGTATCCCATAATGTTTTTGTCATTGCAAAATTATTATAGGAATCATATTCTTACTATACTATGACAACTTTAATGGGTAAGGTTTATGTAATAAACTTAAAATTTAAGTTGCATTTAAATTATTAAAAAACACTTTATCTATGTCATAACTGTCCTTTTATTTGATAATAATAAAAGTCATATGATTAATATATACCCAGACAACAAAGATAAATCATTGAATAGTTTGTATAGAACAGTGTGCAAGTGTATGCAAATTCATTACTAAAACTATATATAAATAGACACCATTTTCCTTTGCAAGCGCAAAAACCTTTTGTATCACAGATGTACTCTAGCTCTTGTTTCATTTGTCTTTGAAAAACCAGGCAGTATATCAAGCCAGTTTTTGTAGGAAAGAAATTATTAATAGCAATACACAGGTATCTGTTACTAACAATGTAATATACTAGGATGAATCCTATATAGAGACCTACAATATCTACCACAGTATATAATAACTTAGTAAATAACTTACCACATAGCTGTAACCATTTGCCACCTCCACAATACATGGGGCATCTGACTGTAGATTTGGCTTGTCATTCTTATTAGCTGGAACTCTTTCTATAGTAGAAGAATCAAAGAGGACTTTTCTCCCTCTCCAGTCACACTCTTTGAATAGAAGCAACCTCACTTGCTCGGGAGTTATCTCACAGGGCCTTAAAAAAGTAATTTAATTAGCAAAGATATGTTTAGTTCATTATTTTTAAGATAATTATTGTCAATTTATAGCTGTTTTATTGATTGAATTAGTTAATTTTGAACAATTCATTACTATTTGTAATATCATAACAATCTTAATAAATCAAATAAAATAAAATCAAACACCTCAATCATCAAAATAAGTCCAACTATATAAGCTAATGAAATTCAATATTTTGAGTATTTATAAGAAAAGCAATAGTAAAAAGTCTTTATGTTGTTCCAGACTATATTAGATCTGTGATCAAATTTTATCAAAATCTATGAGAGTTACATGGTAACAAAAATCTCTCCTTCTAAATTTCTGCATTATATTATTAGGTAGAGTATGATAGTGAATAAATCTTATTAAAATTTAACTTATTAAAAGTAAATAAAAACACCACAGTGTTTCACAATCCTTAAACAAGTGAATTGGTTACATACTAAATACAGTATGTGCAAACTTTCTCTTTTACACATTGCAGTCACATGCTTCTTGCTATACAACGGTAACCTGTTCTCTCATATGGTATTGTTTACACATATCAATACTCACTGGTAGTAATAAATCAATAAATTGTATATAATTTAAAATAATGCCAACACATAACAAATCACCTCAACAAACTAGAATACAATCAAGTTTACACTGCTAAGAACTACTTCACTTTGGTTTTAATTTACTATTAATATTCTAGACATATTAAGACTTGTGAGATGTCAGGTTAATTAAAACACTACTAGTTAATTACCTAAATTTCATTTTATTTCATAGTCATATATGGATGGACCTCACAGCTGTTCACTGACATGTAAAAAAGAAATCCTTGTCACTCAATATTAACGCCTAACAAAATGCAATTCAGTAAGTTTCGATATTAAATGCACAAAGACTGCAAAGAATCGAATGGCAATCGCCCGACCTGAGTGGAATGTGCAAGTGTACTAGCCTCTGACTACATAGTAAGTAAACATAGAAGTATGCCTCCCCTCTTCCTGAGTGACGCGATCATTGCGCCCACGCCCGCCGCCCGCACCCCGCCCTTATCACATGCTCGTGCCTCCCGTAGTATTTGTTGGCCGTCGGTGACGCTCGCCGAACTGCCACCGATGTTTGCGTCAGAATCAATACGATACGAAAGTACAACGAACGATTTTGAATAAACGAAATGACGACGATATGTGCGTCAACTACTTCAATACATGCCACGGTCGCACTAAGACACCCAAATGATTAAAAAGCATCCTCGACACATACCTGGCCCAGTTTCTTGAGCCCCGATCAACGTAATCGAGTTTTCTCTTTGTTGAAAAGATCTTATCGAACAATGCCATTTCCTCACATTAAACATTTCACGACATTTTCATGGTCAGATTTGCCATGCATCTTTATTCGTAACCAATTATCACAAGGCTATCAAAAATATTCATTTATGTATTTCTAAAACACATCGGATGTAAATAATCTGACAGATCACGTGCGAAAGTCATATGATTAACCACAGACTAAGAGTGTGTTTTCTAATGCGAGGTCAAGGTCATTTGAAGATTTTAGGTAATCTTGTGTTTAGGACCCCAAATACAGAATATTTATAGAATACTACATGAATTCTGCGCTATAATACCGTAATAAGATATATAGATAGAGTTTAAATCATGGACCAATTTTTAGGTTATCTGTTGCATACCATAGGCTAAAGCTTCATACTCCTATTCACGCAGAAAAAGTTTCGTGATCGAAGTCATATCTTTTAAATTCGTAATTCTAAGCTTAAAAATAAACTTTTTGTAGATCTATTCTATGTATATTACTAAAGTTTACTTTGCGAGATGATTAAATACTGCACTTATAAAACTTTATTTTCGCAAAACCTGTATACAGTTTATACTTGTTAATGTGTTGTTTATTAATCAATTGTCAATGTCAATCTAAACATCACTGTCATTGCAAAATGAGCGAAATCTAATATTTTTATTTACATTAATTTATTAGTTATCGACAATTTTAACTTTTGCTTCCTGGTTCAAATTTTGTTTTAACCATAACTTCATATTCTTTAGAACTCGTGTATTATTTGAGCTGGGATGTTGGAATGTACAGCTAGAAAATCTTCAGGGTAATAGTGTTATACTTCTCAACTTTTTAATTCACTACAATAGAATTCTTTATAGTGTGTTATAATGGGCGAAGTGCTTAATAGACTAGTCCAGTTTCGAAATCAAATTTTAATTGAACTTAAAGAATCATCTGATCTCGGTTTTACAAGTAGATCGCTGCTAACGAAATATGTGAGAGATATTAACTCCTTAGATTCAGCATCCTTATTAAAGATTGAAGCCATACTAGATTACATGTATGAACTAGTAAATGCTGGAAACTGGAAAGATGTTAAATTGTCCTGGAGAAAAACAATAACAATCGCAACTTATGTAAAACTATTAATCATTTTTAAATCATATAAAGTATTAAATGACGAGGTATTTAAAGAATTATTCAAGATAATTGACCATGGTATTCTTTTTGGATGTCCACTTAAGAAAGAACCAAAGCTATTACAAAAGTGTGCTGAAATTATTAATTATTCTCGGCCGTGTGTATATAAAATTGAAAATGTGAATAATGAAGTAAACATTTTAGATATACAAAGTGACTATGATAGTTTATGTAAAATTGATGTTTTAAATTGTCCCAGTATGGAATCATTTTTTAGAGACTACATTTTACAAGAAAAGCCTGCTGTTTTAGAGAATTGCATCAATCACTGGCCTGCGCTAGAAAAATGGAAAGATCAAAATTATTTCATCAAACTTGCTGGACTGAGAACTGTGGCAATTGAATTAGGTAGTGATTACACTAAATCTGAATGGACGCAAAAATTGATGACTATGGAAGACTTTATAAAGAATTACATGTTTAACACAAATGGACCCATAGGATACTTAGCACAATACCAACTTTTTGACCACATACCTGAATTGAAACTGGATATAACAGAACCGGAGTATTGCTGCTTTTCTGATACTAATGAACCTGTGGACATTATGGCATGGTACGGCCCAAAGGGAACATTATCACCACTGCACTTTGATGCTAAAAGAAACTTGTTAGCTCAAGTCATTGGCAAGAAACAAATATTTCTCTTCTCACCAAAAGATACAGACTTTTTATATCCTCATGATAGTCAATTATTACACAATACAGCACAGGTTGATCCGAGAAAACCTGATTTGGAAAAGTATCCTAAATACAAAGAAGCTAAGCCTTATTATTGCACTTTAAGTCCTGGTCAAATGTTATTTATACCACCAAAGTGGTGGCATTGTGTCGAATCTTTATCCATAAGTTTCTCTGTGAGTTTCTGGTGGGAATAGTATTAATAGAGGTAAAATTTCCTCACTGAACTAAGAAACATTTAGGCGATTTTAAATGGATTAAAAATGAAAAGCACTGGAAAATTTATTTTAACAATCTAGAATAACAGCTAGTCACAATTGTTGATAAAAACAGCAATGTCAAAAAAAGTCAGTTTACACAAGTGATAGGAAAATCATCAGATCACATAACAAAGATATTATTATACTTGTTTGCTTGGCAATCGGTCCGTCATATATAAAGTAAGTGATATCTTTAATTTTATATCCATAGTTTGTTTTAACTTGCAATTTCTGAAACTAAAATCTTTTAACATGTGCAAAAATTGTAAAAGTAAGACCTCAATTATTCCATTTTATAGAAAATATCAGTGCAAAAGTATTGAATCAGAAAATATTTCATGTATCGAGCTGGAATCACCACCAAAACATCTAAAAATCAACTTCTGTATCCAACATGTGTTAAAACAAAGACAATGCAATACCAATCGCCTTCAGCAACCACCTATATAGGAAACTATAGAATACGAAAATAGATTTCAAGTAAGAAACTTCTATGAATCCCAAGTCTTGGTAATTCAAATAATCAAGACAAACATATTTGAAGATGCAATAGTGAATGTCATCAACATTTCCCGTGCTTCAGAAGTAAGTTGCCTATTGAATGTGTGAGGGCAAAAATGAGTGAGCAAAAAGAAAAGTGAAGTGCATAAATGTGCCAGATCTGTTCAAAAATCATATGCAAACTACATATTAGAGTGATTCAGAAAGATATTTTTACCAGAACAGTGTGGAGGTGCAATAATTATAAATACTTTCTATATTCACTGTTCAAAGTTCTTCCTATAATCAGTCGTCTCACTTCAGAGGTGCCCCCTCCAATTTCGCATAATTTAGCATCCCTGAGTATTCTGCCTATTGGATAATCATTGATGTAGCCGTTTCCTCCTAGAAAACATGTAATATTACGTAAACATTGACTTCATCCAACAAAGTGGTCTATTTGCTCAAGAAATGTCCGTTACGAGTCACATTTTCGAACAAGTCGTCAACGACGCCCATGGACATCCGTAACACCAGCGGAACTACAGATACGTTGCCGGCTTAAATTTTAGGCCACGCCTCATTTATCATCAACAAGGTTCCTATTCAAGATGAAAAACAACATACATACAGGCCTACTATTGGTTGCTCAAACTACCAAACGTAGTTATAGAATTGAGACAGAATTTAGAAATTAGTTATCATAACAAGCAATATTCATTGTTATGAAAGAATGATACAACAAAGAGATATACCTGCTAAGACTTCAAGCCATCAATCGACTTATGGAATGTTAAATAAAATATTTAGAACGTGAAATGGGCTACACTTAATACTAAAAAAGTCTAGTAGGTGCTAACGTGTAACTATAAAATATATTGCAAAATTGAACTTTACGGCTAACTAAATAAAGTAGTTGTTCTTTAACGTTAAAAAATAAACTATTCTGTATTTTATTTTCATTTATTTATATTCGCTGTTCAATGATCTTCCTATAAGCATTCTTCTCACTTCAGATGTACCCGCACCTATTTCGTACAATTTAGCGTCCCTAAGTATTCTTCCTGTTGGATAATCGTTGATAAAACCGTTTCCTCCTGAAAATTTTAAATTTCACCAAGTGACCAAGTAGATTCTAAGAAAAATCAATAAGCAGATTATTCCTAAACTTCTAGAATATTTATCTTAACTTGTTATTTTCTGACATTAAATACAATCAGCGCCCTTTCCGTCATTACTTCATCTAGTATACTCATTTTAATTGTAGGTTATGTCACATAGTGCTCTCAAAATTGGCCTAAATAATGAGTTGATTAAGGTACCACGTGCATCTTGAAACTACAAAATTAATCTACAATTTGTAGCTCACGTAACCATAACCTAAACTTACTGGTCGTTTTCTTGATAGCATTGTATAGGTTAAGATTACCTAAAATTTGTATGGCATCTAATGCGAGTTGCGTGGCTCGCTCTGCGCAGTACAAGATGACTCCGGCGCAGTCCTTGCTGTTGACGTGTCCGTCGTCGCAGGCGCGCGCCACGCTGTACAGATAGCTGCGGCTGGCGCTCAAAGTAGTGTACATGTCCGCCATTTTACCCTATGCGATGCAATAGATGTGGTCAAAGTATACAGCACATATAAGTAGATACTTAGTGTCAAATTCGATGTAACATTATTTGATGAAAACTAACTTAGTAGCATCGATTGTTTTGTATTGTACTCTTACACGTATATTTATGTGATACTGTCTGGCGAGTGGAATTTAAAAAAAAGTTAAACTTAAGGTTCTACCAGACTATGCTTCTTATCTGTGCCAAATTTAATCGGGATTCGTTGAGTCGTTTCGAAGATACCTTCTAACAAATATCCATCCATCAAATCTTTCAACTTTATTTTAGGAAGGTGGATTCCATTTCTATATTCGACCTACATTACGAACCAATGTTACCTGTAATAACTGGAATTCCCCAATATTCTTTCCGAATTGTTTCCTAGTGTGAGCGTATTCGAAGGAGGTGTCGATGGCCGCTTGCATAAGTCCAACGGGACCCGCGGCTAGAACCAGTCGTTCAAGGTCCAACCCCGACATCAACACGTACACACCTTTATTCTCCTCGCCCAAAAGATTAGCAGCCGGCACCTGGAAATAATTGTATAAACATCAATATAAAAATCTTAACGATAATATATATTTAGTGTTGTTTTAAACCGTGGAGTAGTTGAAGAAAGAAATGAAATGGGATAATATTAACACGGAAGTCTAAAGTATTGCAAACGAATATAGAAATCGAACATGTAATGGGAAGCCTAAAAAATAAGAAGTATGGTGTGGCTTGTATAATGTGGCAATGTTTAGAAAAGGATACAGTTACTTCAAAATATCTAAATAATAATGTAGAATCATACATACCTTACAATCTTCAAAAACCAGTTCGCCAGTATTGGAGCCTCTCATTCCGAGTTTGTCCAATTTCTGTGCGGTAGAGAAACCGGGGAAATCTTTCTCGACCAAAAACGCTGATATTCCGTGCTGCGGTTTGCTTGTTAAATCAGTTTTAGCGTAAACCTGCAATTAATATTAAACTAGGTATTATAAAATTGATAAAAAAGGTTATTTTAATAATTAAAGTAAAGGAAATACGTTATTATTGTGTTTATATTCTTGTCATTTTAATTAACTAAGGTGATAGAACGACCGATCTGAGTCTAGGTCCAACAATGTCTTCATTCCTCGATCTAGCCTTGGGCTAGGCGCGCCGTTTCATTTTAAATAGTTACTTTTAAAAAGATAAAAAGCTTAAAATCCTTATCTTAGTTATTCTCGACAATTAATTAGCTTTATTTTTATAAATAGCTCCGTCGCGTTCATTACTCACTATTTCAAAAGTCAAACATCAAATTTATAAACACGAAGTTTTTTACTTCAGTAAATACCCATCATAAATCGTTTTTAATAATGCTTACGAACTTAACTCTGCGCTATACATAATATATCTGTCGCAGGAAGCTATAAATTGGCTGTTGCTTTATGTGTAACAAACGTTATTGTCTTGCGTTTTAATATTGTTTAAGATGAATTTATTAATTTAATTCCTTTTTCTCGAAAGTAGAAACTCGATGTCATTTGTATTTAGTTCTTTTTAAAATTAAAAGTACGTCAACTTGCATACGACCAATAAGAGCAGAGCAAGCCGCTCGAGTGGCCCTTTTTAGCTCGAGCGGTGTCGAGGCGCAGTTCAGTGCTTAGAGGGCGACGTTTGTAGTGACATGTTGTGGTGCGTGTTGGCACAGTGGCGAGTCGATTGAGGAGAGTAGTGTAGTAGAAGTACGAACGGTGCCACGAACCCGCTGCTCGGTCGGTGTTGTTGATTTGCTATGTGATAAGTGTAGATTCCGAATTATATTGTGTTAATCCGTGTCTCTAGTGTTTTAATGCTCGCACTTCACCCAAATGACGCCCACGAAACCAAGACTCGGTAGCAATGATGTCGGGGAGAAAGACCCAACTCCGACATATCTATGTACATATATAAATGGCATGCTTATAAAAATATCGATGAATGTTTAAAATTATGTAACCTTCGAAAAATGTTGATTATTGTCTATTACATTATTTTGGTCTAAAACTTTCATTTAATATACTTTGATTAACTTGAAACATTCGTAGTGTTTCACACACAATCTTCAGTTAATACACTCACCACTAAAACATCAGCATCTGGACCGTTGGTAATCCAGAATTTGTTGCCATTGAGCACGTAATAGTCCCCCTTCTTTTCGGCACGTAACTTCATGGAGACCACGTCACTGCCCGCACCGGGTTCCGACATCGCCAGCGCTCCCATATGCTCACCCGAACATAGCTAGAGTATTGAAAAATACATTAACTACTATCGAAATAAAAAAAAATATATAGCCTATGCTACTCACAAGTAAATTACCTTTCTAACGGTGAAAGAAATTATAAAATCGGCCCAGTATTTTTTGTAATAATACAAATCTTTTCTGTTCATAACATTATTTCTATTGCCAAGTAATAGTTTAGACTTGAGATAAATTGGTAATCGAAATGTCATCTTCGATTAGTACGAAAAATTGTTATCTTCTGGTATCTTCTTGAGAGTAGCTCTAGTGGTAGAGAAGGAAAAGAGTATAAGGTTAGGATGGCATGGGCATGTTATGTCCTCATATCGCATGGTATGAATCGCATGTTACAAGGAGATGGTTAGTTATGGGTGTGCTACACCGGTAAAGGTAGACAGAAAGAGTTGAATGGATTGTGTGAAAGGTGACATGATCAAAAAGGGAGTGATGACAGATGACGTAAAATAGAGTTATGTGGCGGACAAAAACCTGTTGCATCAATCCTACAGGAGTAGGGTAAGAAGGATGATGATCTTCTGGTAGTTGTTACTTACTTTAGGTAAATATTTAGCCTTCTGTTCGTGGGATCCGTTTCTATTGATCTGATTGATGCATAAGTTTGAATGTGCGCCGTACGACAGCGCAATTGCTCCTGATGCTCTAAATAGTAAATCCAAAAGCAAAAAATGTAGCACTCTCATAATACAAAAAAATCAACTCGTCATTTTCGCCTTAGCAATTAACTTTAATAACCTTAGCACATTCTAGACGCTAATTTTTTTTTATTTTGTCACGGTGTATGATCATACGAATAATATTAAGATTATAATTTAACTGGAAATACTTTTCGTTTTGTTCTGGAGTTGGTAGACATGTAAAAATATCTAGAACAATACCTTGACAATTCTTCCATTATAACGCAATGATCTGAATATTTCCCGCCTGTTCCGCCATATTCAGGACTAGCTGTTATACCTGAAATAGGATAAAGTTAAAATAAATATATTTTATTAAAACTAAAAGCCTTTTAGGGTACACTAAAACCTACGAAGTGCTCTAACTGCAAGGTAGAGAAGATATGTTAAGTTTAGTATTTAAGTATGGGAAAACTTACCTAAAACTCCAAGGTTTCCCAGCTTCTTCCAAAAGTCTCTTAATTCAGTAAAGTTATTCGTCCTATCGATTTCTGCTGCTTTTGGTGCTAGTTCTTTTTGTGCGAAATCGAAAATCAATTGTCGAAGCTGCAAAAAATGAGAAATAATGGACGGGGTCAACCATCTTAATTTTCGACATTATCTTGGAATCTCCATGAGGGCCAGGCTACAAGCAGTTCACATTCAGAAAAGTAGATAATATGGCAGTGTATTTTAATCAAATTTGATATTTCATGCAACTGAACAATGTAAAAATACAAAATTGTTATCATCATTTTTTGAGATTGCTAATATTTGGCAGACAGAAAAAAACGAGTATACAAAGCACTATAATGACTTCTAATCGACTTTTAGTAGACAATTAGAAATGTAAATTAAAAAATAAAGGTAAAGGTATTCTGTCGTGGAAATATTCAACTTGAAAATAGGTGGATAACAGTATTGTTAATAGTTATCCATCCAGTATTTAAATTGGTTTTATATTACTAAAAAAAACGCATTAATAAATATAACTAAGTTTAAAATACCGTTTATGTGTTTTTAGAAAATAAATATTTTTCATTTAATATACTAGAAAAATAGTTAACATAAACTATTTGATATCTAATTGAATTTAACGATTGATTAAAACTTTAAAATAAAACACCACAGGCTATCCGGTCTTAAAAACAAGGCAAACATGTTTCGTCATTCTACATTTGAAAATAAAGAATTTTAGAAACCTGTTGTTGTTCACTTGATAGTCCAAATATATGCTCGTCTATGGGATAGTGGGACATGCATCTTCCATGATTTGTTGATGCATAAACACAACGACGTAAGATTTTGCCACACAAAACTCTAACAGCCATCGTAAACGTCCACTCCCATCGGTAGCCCACTCAAAACTGACTGTCACATTACCAACTAAAACGCAAGATAAAACGATACAATACGTGAATCTTATTGCTATCGACTTAGCGACTAAAATGGAATAGCTAATTTTAATTTATTTCAGTTATGATAATTACGTAGACATTGATAAAGAATGCAAATAACACTTTATCCGCTTTATCAAATTATTTATGTATGTCGATGATGTCGTAACAGTTCACGACATTAGACACGTTTTGTCAGGTTCGCCCAAAAGAGAGGTTCCCAACCATACCTTGGTTAAGGACCACTTTCATATTATTCTTTTTTACTAGGACTCCTATGTAAAAAGTGAAAGTAATAAAAAAAGAGTTGCATTTACTTTTCGCCTAAACGCTACCTACGCTACACACTGTCTTCGCAGAGCTGGCCCTGCATCCTTATCACCAGTGCTTCCCACTCATTTTAAATTCATTCGCGAAATATACATTTTGCCTTCTGTGGACCACTGCTTGCGAAGCAGTGGCCAAAAAGATAGTGGTCCTTTCGTATTTCAATATAAATTGGTTTTATTAAAACCACTAGGCTCTACTGAACTATGTAATTGCCCAATATGGTGTAAACAATTAAAACAATCCGCGTGAAGGAATGCTTAATGACGGAAAATAAATATTTTATAAATAAACGTGCCGAGTTAATCCCAATGCCGTTTTTTGTTTCGGACATCTCTACTTAAGATTTATTAAAATACTAGCTTTCGCCCGCGACTCCGTCCGTGTAGAAAAAAAAACAAAAGTGAGTAGCCTATGTGTTCTTGTAGACTATTTTCTACATCTATGCTCAATTTCATTGAGATCCGTTCATTCTCTTAAGCTACAAACCATAACAAACAAACATCCATGTAAACTTCGTTAGTAAGATTGTTCAGACTCACACTACCTATACCTTCTACCACAGTGTATGTTCATAGAGTCACATGACGTATGAACCTTCTACCACAGTGTATGTTCATAGAGTCACATGACGTATGAACCTTCTACCACAGTGTATGTTCATAGAGTCACACGACGTATGAACCTTCTACCACAGTGTATTGACATACTTTAGGCGACGAATTATAATTACCGTGATTTTAATAAGTATATTTAAATGTCTCAAGAAACATCAAATATAATTTTAATTTAATGCGATAAACTCTAAATTATGGATTTTTTTTTATTTCATGCGCAATTGACATTTATTAACCTCTACCAGAAAAAACAAAGTGGTCGTTAAAATCAACTGCGGAAATACTTATATTAATAAGTATATATTTGATGCGAAAAAATTCAATTAAATTTAATGAATAAACATTTATTATGAATTCTAAATTATTATAAAATGTATATCCTTTCCCCCCCAAGTCCACTTACGGAATCAAAAACTTAACTTAATGTTGTTCCAGATTATGTTCTTCATATATCTATGCCTTTTATCGTGATCCGTTCTAAAGCTACCTTCTGAAAAAGTATCCATCCATCCATTCATCTAAACATTCAACCTGCCCTTATGCCTACCTTACCTTTGTAGCCATCCAGATTCAATCTTAACACTTTATGGTTTATGGTTTATGGCTATATTGTCGTAGGCGATAAACATTAATATCATAGACTTGTATAATTAACTCACTGCCTTAATACTATTTTTTTAGTATTCTGAAGTGGTTTTATATGGAGCTCTATGTTGGGATTACTTGATTGGGTACAAATTTCCTCCATATTTGACTGCAATGAATAGCAAAATCCCCGCTTCGCCTTTGCTGATATTTTTGTCTTTTTTTGTTGCCGCGGGGAATACATTTACGCGTTGCACCGTCCGGAGGCAGCAGGGACAGTTTCGTGTGGGACTCCCGGCCTTTTTGGCCGGACTATCCACTAAACCCCGCGGTGTTCTCCTGCACCCAACCGGGTCGTGGCATTTACGTTAGTTTATCCACGACCCGGCTAGGGGGAGGTACTCGATACTTGGTAGGGACTCGACAACTATTTTTGTCTTTGACTTGTCAAAGAGTATGTAAGGAATGGTAATAAGTCATTGTGAGTAAAAAAAAAGTTCCAACTGAATATTATTTATTTAATAATTAAATAATAGCTTTACAAGCACCATTTTGATTAATTAAAATGTAACGATTTATTAAACCTATAAATACATCAACACCCGAACAATAAATCTAACAGAAATACAATTAAAAATGTCAGTGTAAATAATATGTAAAAAAAAAAACGGAATGTGTGGTTTTACACATTTTTAGATAATAAAACGAGGAATGTACATGTGTAAATATATTTTTTTTTATTGCAACTTTTTTCTATTCTAAACATAACAGACTATACAAGTCAAATTGGTAAGTTTATTTGTTCATAAAAACAAAATAACTAAGAACAGTGTAAATCCACCTTAAATAGCATTATGACGTTTATTATTAAAATATTTATTATGATATTTTGTCAACTTATTAAATAATGTATTTTATTACAATTTAAGTAACTAATACTATTATATGAAATAGAAACACATACATTTATCTGGCCTTTAAAATAACCTTTACTAGGGCCAGTGAATTATTTAATAATTATTACTTTTTACGTAAATAATAATTACAATGTTTTTTACTCTATGTCCAAATTGTTAAAGACAAAATAATACTAAAGTATCACCGTACTTTTGTATTCCAATAGGAAATAATATTAATTTGTGTCCATTTTGGATTTAAGTGATTGGTAATACTCTGACAGTACTTTCCATGCGGAGGGCGCCATGAACCCTTGGGGTGGTTCCTTACCGGCTTTAGCCAGCCCTGGGGAATAATTACATTATAGTTAAAATCAATAGAAATTTGCAATTTGAACAAAAACTTTAAAAAATAAATGAAAAAAGCAGACTAAAAAGTTCGAATTTTTCAATGAACAATCCAACTGTTCAGTTAAAACTGAACTGTAGTCAATATTTTTCTGTCAGTTGATTAGATATCTGAAATTATAGTTATAAGATTAAAATGCATATTTACCTCTCATCCTAGTTCCCGATATAAAGTCGAAGTCATCCTTCCTGTTGGGGTCGAAGAAAGCCATCTTGCCCACTGACGTGTCGTACGCCGCCACGCGGAATGGAATTATCTAGAAAAAAGAAATTTGAAATAACGCCATCTATTGACGTATCCTATCAACTAACCGATAATCAAAATAATAAAACAAAATTAAAAGTACTACACTCAGAATTGTTTAGTGATATTTCTTTCCAATTCATTTAATTCATCGGTTTCGGTACTAAACATTCACTTAGGGATTACCTTAGTTCTTTTTAACAGTAATAGAGGTCGCTTTAACATGTTTCGGAAGTCTGTTTATACGTCTTCTCCGTCAATCAAAAAAAAAACTTTCGCCATTATGGCGAATTCAGCTAATTTGCAACATATATAAAACTAAATGTGACTATTATAATTATTTAAAATTGCTATATGATCAATATTTAAGGTTATTTTTATTTATATTATAATTACAAGTGTAAATCTGTTATAGTGTGAGTGAGTGTGATGTTACCACCGACCTCGAGGTCGTTGAGGCCGGGCGCCACCTTGAGCAGCATGGCGCCGTGGCGGGGGTCGTAGAGGTCCCCCGTGCCGGCGGGGTGCGGCAGGCCGGCGGGGTCGCGCCCCACTATGTAGTGGTTAGCGCCCGCGTTCATACGACATTTAGCGTGCCATTGTACCTAAAAACACGTATTTTTTATTAACGTATAAATATACATATGTAAATGTAACTTAAATTAACTACAACCCTATAAACACATAGGCTATTTGCTTTTGTTAGTAGTAGGATGCGCCTAACGTTCTACTGAACGCTATAGGCGTTGTAAGCGTTGTAAGTGTTGCATGCGTTGGCGTTATAAGCATTGTGAGCCTTGTAGGCGTTATATGCGTTATAAGCGTTGTAAACGTTATAAGCGTTATAAGCGTTGTGAGCCTTGTAGGCGTTATATGCGTTATAAGCGTTGTAAACGTTATAAGCGTTATAAGCGTTGTGAGCCTTGGAGGCGATGTAAGCGACATAGTCATTGTAAGCGATGTAGACGTTGTATGCGTTGTAGTCATTGCTAGCGATGTAGGCGTTGTAAGCGTTATAAGCGTTGCAGACGTAGTATACCTCAGTGGGCCCGGCGTACATCATGGGCGAGGGGAAGACGGCGAGCACGGTGGCGGCGGGGTCCAGCACGCGCTCCGCCAGCACCGCCTCGTGCTGCGCCATGCGCACCGCCAGCGGCACGTCGTCCTCCTTCGTCCACCCGCCTGCACATATACACAAATAATTTGACTGTTTTATGTAATATTGAAAAAAACCATACTGATGTGTTTTCATACTGATGAGATTTTTCTCAATTAGTAAATGTTTGCCTGTATGGTCGCAAGCAGCGTTTGTTCCGACTAAACTATAGTCCAAATGTACCGATTGTATGAACCCACATATTATAGGTTACTTATTTTTTAATTCCGCGCTGTCATAATAGCGACGGGACCATTATCTTTGGAATGGGTGGAGCTATTTTGACGGCACGGCTACAGACGACCATTTTTTAAATTCTGCACTAACATTTGCGGGCGAAAGATCGTGTTAAAAATAAACTAGCAACAGATAGTTGCTTATTTTTTCGACTTCCGACTTCTTCCGCACAAAATAAAAAAAGAAAAATATAGCTTATGTTACACTGATAACGTAGCTTTTTAATGAAAGATTTTTTTTTAGTTTTTGAGTTATTTCAATACGTACAAAAAATAAAAATTTTTCCTCTTAATATTAGTATTAACTTACCCAGTGGATGCAGTAAGAGGACAGGTTTCTTGTATCCCCTGGCGAGGAGCTGCCGCTGCGTGTCCTGCATCAGCAGCGCGTGTCCGTTGTGGATGGGGTTGCGGAGCTGAAGAAAAATATTAAACAATCCTTACTAATATAATAAAACATACAAATTTTGTTGTGTACATCACCAAACACAGCATATTAAAAAAGCCTTACATTTACGAAATGCTATAGACTATATCATTTCTCAATATTCAATTTAGAGTGAATAAATTGAAAAAAAATATCATGCGAGAAAGAGACAAAAACTAAAAGCAACAAAGATTTTTACCTTTATTGTAGATTTGAATTTTAATATTTGCAAATTAAATTTTCAGGGAATGTAAAAAAAAAACTGATTCATTATGTGGAAGAAGCCACAGGCAACAGTTAGTCGATAATAAATACATTTTTACCTGGAATGCGAAGACAGCGTCGGCGCCGAGTTGTTTGAACTTGCGGCGGAGTTCATTGGGCGTGAGGCGGAAGTTGTCCAGTCCGTCATGCCAGCGGATGCGCTCAAACACCTCCAACTTGCCTCCCACCAACCAATCGCCTGACTCCTCGATCATCTATAATTATTGTATTTTATTACAATTAATAAAAGAATAAAGATGTAGGATTTTATATTAGGTATTAAACTATTGTTTGTGCTACAACTACTCTTTGATATGCAAGTTAAATATAATCTATGACTAGAGACATCTAGCACGGTGGTTATTTTCAAATTATTTTAAAGTTGGGTAAAGTCGAAAACAAAGGTTACGAACGAACGAAAACAATATATACGGCCTAGAGGTCGTCCGTTAACTTCGTTAGCGCAAATTTGGACTACCCGTTACGTCATTTTGTCAGCGCGGACTTTTAAAAAAAGTAGCTTATAATATGCCCGTCTGCGTCAGCCACCTTTTAGTGAAAGTCCCGTCGAAATCTGCCCAGCCGTTTCGGATATTCCCCGGAACAAACGCAGCTTGCGAACAGACAGACAGACAAAAAAAAACATTTAAATCCAATTTTCGTTATCAGCAACCTGGAATTTTTCTTTTGACATTACAATCCGACACTACAATTTTATTATAGATTTATATAGATATAGTTAAAATTATTTGATCTAAAACTATTGTTATCCGAAGCTTCTATTTGGTAATAATTTTATTTTACAACTTAAAAAAAAGTTCTTTTTCTTTTTAATCGACGACACATGGCAACACTCACCTTAATATAAGGATGTCCAGTATGATATATCCCGTACTGTCGGCTGCAGCGCTCCTGCTTCCTGTGCGGGTAGAACTCCGGCGCGCGCAGTATGGCCACACTGCGCCCGCCGTGGCTCAGCGCCACTGCCGCAGCGCCCAGCAGCTGCTCCTTCAGCCCAGCGGACACCGGCAGCACCACCGGCACCGACTGGTTCACTAGACTGCCGTCCGCGAGCGTTAGACAGTTCGAGTGGAGCGACTGGAATGGGACAAAGTAGTTTAATTCAATATCTCGTAAAAAAAAAATACTATCAATAGCTTTTGCCAGTGACTTCGTCTGTCGAAACTTATTAAGTATGTATCTATGCTATTACAATAAATCGTAAACACACACTTCTTTGTTGCCTAAGATGTCAGCAATTACACAATTTTTTTTTAAATAAAAAGCCCTACATTTACGTCACGCTTTAGGCTATATATTTTCACGCCATTAGAGGGTAAATATTTTGGATAAAAACTCTAATGTGGGAAAGAGACCATAAGTTACTGCCAACATCAAGGAAACAAGACTGACAACGTATGTCATGTCAGTTTGACATTTGCTATTGACAATTTGACAAATGTGAACAATAAAATAAAATTTTCATAATTTCACGGGGATGAAGCCAGCACGGGAACAGCTAGTTCTAATATATGATGTGACAGATGTCTGCGAATTTGGAGATAGATGCAAATATTTGTCCATACATCCATACTTTCGCATTTATTAGTAAGAAGTTTGGAGTAGTGGGTTTTTATAACGAAAAATTAATTATTAAATTAGTCTGTACAAGGAACAAATCCGGACTTGCGTTTGTTCTGGGTAATCTCCTAAACGTTTGGACCGATTTTGATGGGACTTTGACGAGAAGGTAGCTAATGTATATGCAACTTTTTCCAGCACAGACAATGTTGCGGGCAACAACTAACATATAATAATATTGACTAACTTGTAAATATTCTGTCTCTCGCATGAATCCTTTGAGCGGGTACGACCAGCCTTCAGAAAGTACCTGTAACATAAGGAACAATTTACAAAACATTAAATACAAACCTAACAAAATAACACTAAAAAATAACATACCTTTTAATGTATTTTTTACGTGAATTTTCTTGGAAAGAAATATTAATAATTACAAAGATTCATACATATTAGTAGAAACAAAAAAAAAACGATTCTTTGGTAAAAGTGTTACCATATTTATAAAACATGAATATTAATAATATTGCCATAATGTTGCCAGTGTAAAATATAGATGTAGGCCTAAAATTATTTTTTTTTAATATAGAATAATAATAATTATCAATAACTTACTTGCACCCACTGCAGGTCTAAGTCAGTGAGTTGTATCTGCGGCAGTGTTGCCGCCTCCTCGATGGCGCTAGTGAGCCGGTTGCCATAGATAAATAATTCCTCCACTTCTTGATTCCTCGCCTCGTAACGAGGTATTATACCCTAAAACAAACGTTTCAAATTATATCTTAACCAAAAATACATAACAAACATCAAAAAAGGTCAAAAAAACTTTGTTTTTTAACGTTAATTATGGAAATAATATCACATTTGTCAGTAATAAAGGCGATCGAAGCGCCCTCTGGCTATTTTTAGATTTTTAGTTAGTTATCTATTAAATATTAATGTTTTAACACACTCAATTCCTATGTATAAAATATAAGCCGGAAAATTAAAAACACAAAAAGAAATTTTATAGTTATCTAGCATATTTTTAGTTTTCTAATTATCATAAATTAAAACAAGTTCGATATGTATTTCCAGTTTCGTGTTGAATTACTGAATAATCATTTTCTTTTTTTTCAATAATAGCGAAATACATCTTTAAAATACCAACCTGTGATTCAAGTAGGGAAATAACTTCCATTGTGGACTCCTCGATAGTCCTGCCAACTGTTTGTATGACCAACTCAGGAGCGTCCGGTCTTTCATATTCCTGGGTAATTCCTGTAAAGCCCTGAAATAACCACATAAATTATTTACAAAAGTACATGACAAGTTGGCACGCCAAGCAGATTGATACTCTTAACTTCGATGTGCTAACTAACATAAATGCGAAAGTTTGGATGGATAACTGTTACTATCTTCAAAATGGCTTATAGAATTGCATTGAAATTTGGTATCGATGTCACTGAGTTATTGTTTTTTTTTTTTAATTCCATGCAGCCGGAATAACGGGCAAAAGCATTTCTATAAAATTATTAAAAGTTACAATTTTTTTATTGGAAGTTTTCAATTAATTTTTTTGACATATGTATTGCCAGAGGGACACAGGGATAAACGAGTATGACGGAAGCATAAAATCGTACATTTCCTGTAATAAAACCTTGATATAAACAACAATAATTTACCTTTCAAAAGAAAGTAAGTTATATAAAATGTGAATATGTGAAAGTATACATTCTATGTTACGTAAACTTAAAGACCATAAATAAATTATTCCATAGAGTATTTAAACTTAGTTGGACATACCGCGATACGACTCTTTGTTTAAATAATCTCTATATAAATGTATGTAAGACTTCTAGCCTACTCTATATATGTGCTTCCTGTTTTTCTTTCCAGATTTCAATAATCATATATGTCTATTTAGTAATTAGTAGACAATTTCCGGTATAACCGGATGTTGCCATATTTAAAATAGAGAATGATAAAATTGCAAACTTTAACATGTGATAACTTAATCGACTGTTTTCTTTGTTATTTATTATTTAATAAAATCGTTACAAAGAAATTTTCGTTAAAAAAATTCTAATTCAAGACTTTATTAAATAGTTTAAAGGATTATTATTAATTACTTGATTTTGTCTTTACCTTGATTTGTCCTTCCCTGGCTTTCTTGTACAGGCCCTTAGTGTCCCTCTGCTCGCACACATCGAGAGGCGTGTCTATAAACACCTCGAAGAATGGCAGCTGGGAATCTGTGTGGATGCGGCGAGCCACCTCACGGTCCTAAACATAAAGAACCTTATTTAAAGAACACTAGAGTTCAAATTAGAATGCGATTTTAAAACATACCTTTAATGAGAGTTAATTTGCAATTTACCGCAGTCGATATCGCAAATGACTCGACAGTTATTTTGAAGTTGCATACATGGTTATCATAATTCATACTAATGTTATAAATGCGAAAGTTTAGATGGATGGATGTTTGTTAGAGTTTGTAGCCTAAACGGATTTTGATGAAATTTGGCATAGATGTAGAGGATAGTCTGGAAGAACACATAAGCTACTTGCATTTGTTTTTTTTTAACTTCGCGCGGACCGAGTCGCGGACGAAAACTAGTAGTAAAAATTCTGCTATATTTTAATTGACTACTAAGCGTAACCCTTTGTATAATTCCAGTATGATGTAAATCATTTTAAAATACCCTTATTTTAAATCGAAAACCGGTTGCAATCAGGTCATTCATCTGTTGTGATCTTTACACTGCGCAAACTATGCTACAAGTTCATTGTACTGTAAAAAAAAACTCGATAACGTTAGTAATCACTTACATAAACACACTTGTAGTAAATATTACTCTTGTCGACTCTTACTTATGTAGTAGTCTAGATAGAGACGGAATGATAACAATAGCAAAGATGAAATTATATTATTTTTATATTAAAATTTTAAACTAGATATTCTACCCTTATTATTGTCTAATTTAATAGATATACAAATAAGGAGAGAGTTATGAAAATGGTCTTTCTAATGTTGAATTACTTCTTTGAATAGGTATATAACGCAAGGACTAAAGGCCCGATTGTAAGGCATATAAAGTATGCAATATTCCGTTTTACTAGTTTAAACTCTATTCATAAATGGACAATAACATTCATTTAAATATAACAGCTCTAAATACGGAAGTTAAAAGTACAGTAAATTACAAAAACCGCAAATAAAACTATGTGACGTTAAAGGTTAAATTAGACTGAAATAAATCGACCGTGAAATTAGAGGAAATAATTAAAGGCTGAATGCAAGTACCCTTAACAAAAAAAAAAACTTTAAGGAACAAATGAAAACAGTCCAATAGGAATCGTGAATTCTAAAACAAAGCCTGTCTTCCCTTTTAAAAAATAATTAAGGCATTTCGCATCTATCTATACTATCATAATAAAGCGTAAACACACACTTCTTTATTGCCTAAGATGTCAGCAATCACAACATATTGTTGAGTAATTCTTTTTTAAATAAAAAGCCCTACAATTGCGCCACGCTTTAGCCTAAATATTTTAACGCCATTAAACTTAGGGGGTAAATGTTTTGGATAAAAACCCTAATGTGGACAGAGACGAAAGGAAGGTTGTCATCATGTCATGTCATTTTGACATTTGCAATTGATAATTTGACACATGTAAACAATAAAATGAAATTTTTATAATTCAATGCGGATGAAGTTACACGGGAACAGCTAGTTTTACATATTTATACAGTCAGACTCGAGTATTACATACCTCAGCAAAAGGTGATACAAAACTGCACAGACAGACGACTCCACTATCCGCGAAGAGTTTGGCGACCTCTGCCACACGTCGGATATTCTCTTCTCGATCTTCTTTACTGAAGCCAAGGTTCTTATTCAGACCAGTTCGGATGTTATCTCCATCAAGACCATACGCTGGGATACCTGAGAGAAAACATAAACATTTGGATAATCAAACGCATAGCTACAGATAAGCTTTTACCGACTGGGTACACCGGTAGAGTTAAACCTAGAAAGAGATGGCTGGATTGCGTGAAAGATGATATTACCAAAAAGAGAGTGATGACTGAGATGACGTATGATAGAGTTATTTGGAAGACGAAAGAAGATGATATGAGCTTAGGCCATTGACTGTATTAAAGATTTGGAAAAAACTAGAAGGAAAATATAGTCTAAAGCACCTTAAATAAGAGGTGAAATGAATAATTAATTGCTTGATTTCTAGTTCATATATTTTTTACATCTATGTCTGCTGTGCCTTAATACTTCGAGTTAGGAGTGACATACTACATATATAGATATTTCTTATGTTCACTATGTGTGGGTGTGACCAAATTATTATTTCGATAATAAATTAGTTTTATCAATTATTACTGATTGTATTATATTACCTAGCGTAGTCGTAACACCCGCATAGGGATTAAGATAAACATGTATGTCGATAAAAAAGGTAATTAAAGTATTATTAATTGAATAATTTGCACAAAACAAATGACGAAAATCTAATATTTCTCAACTAACTAACCTCTACTACATTAAAAAAAAAAAGTTAACACCTAGCAATCGGCATACTTATTCGCTTAATAGCGAAGTTACCGATGCCATAGACATCTGCATTGCACATGCTTACGTAGACAATGACGTACAGAAAGATAATATTTCCCTTGCACTTTATACCTTCCTCTGCCAAAGTCATCTTTCGTTAAATATTTGCAGACATATCACCATCTTTATAGGAAAGAGGCACACAAAACATTTAGAATATTGGATCCCTTTGTACGCTAGCATCAATGGAAATTACATCGATTATTGACTATGATTCTAACAATGGCCTTCAGCGTAATGAACATGTAAAGGTCGAGGTAACAAACAAATACATCAATTTTCCATCGGTTTATATCAAACCATTTAAAATGTTTATTTTAGATGAATTTTACGAGTAATCGTTAAGACATAGGAAGTAACAAATAGAAATACCATTTCCTGACGTCAGATTTTCCCCTTCCATGAAAATAGACATCACAATTAAAATTTTGGTATCCTTAACGAGATGGTGAATTGCATAAGAATATAAAAAAACTATAGATTCTCGTTACATTGTAAATATCATAAATAGAGCAAATAGTAATTAGGCGTACACGTGTGTACGAGGTAACCGTGTTGCGGTATCAAGTTACATTTATGCATATTTTATATTAAAATTCATAACAGGATAAAGACAAAACATATATAACACTAATATTATAAATACGAAAGTATAGATGGAGTTTGTAGCCTAAACGGCTGAACGGTTTCTCGATGAAATTTGGCACAGATGTAGAGGATAGACTGGAAGAACACATCGGCTACTTGCTTTTGTTTTTTTTTTTTAATTCCACGCTGACCGAGTCGTGGGAGAAAGCTAGTGTTTAATAAGAAAATGAAAGATCAAAGTACTCAGTAAGTAGAGTACATAATCATTACGAAATTCTATCTTTCTAGAAATTAACTACTAAAAAATAAAACAAAAGCGTTAGTATGATAAGAAACATTAAAGGTGTCACTACTTATTATTTTCCTCTGTCCATTCTTTCATTTTTTCTCTTAATTCCCATACTTTCCTATAGAAATCTTTAAAGCAATTAATTCGTCAAATATTTTAACTATAATAGTGTCGTGACCCTTAGTGGCTTGTGGGTGTTGTTCTCTAAGAAGAACTATCTTTCGCGATATCAAACTTGGAGTTGGATTTAGCTGGACCTCGACATCTCTTAATAATAACTTGTTTCGGCAATTGGGTCGAAGTGGGCATTTATAAAACCGGCGTATTACCTTTTGAGACGAGGTATGCTTCTAGCGCGAACGCAATGCTGGTCTTCCCGGCGCCGCTGAGACCCGTGAACCACACAGTGCTGCCGCGAAAGGCACGGCTACCGAGAGCCTTGCTGCGCTTCGCCCGTGACACTTGATGCTTCTGCTCTACAACATTGGTCGCCACTTGGACACACTGCAAGAAAAACATTCCCGTAATAAATTGTAAAATTACATTGAAGTTGTAATAATGACGCGATTATAAAAATTGAGAGTTACGACGTCTTTAGATTCGCATTGTTTTTGGAGACTATAATAAAGCGCGAACACACACTTCTTAGTTATTTAGGATCTCAGCAATCACAGCATGTTTTTGAAAAATCTTTTCTTAGTTAAATGCTATACAGTAACGGCACGCAATAGGCTATATACGTTATTCAATTTAGGAGATAAATAATATGGAAAATAGCCAGTTTAAAAATAATGAAGGATTGTCTATCAATTTATGTACTAGAGAAGTTGCTCTCTTAAGTTAGTAAACTAGAAAATTAAGTCTAACTACAGTTGAATTGAATGTTATTTCCATCGAACGTAGATTATCTGTAAATATTCCATATTCGGTCTAAAATGACTCATGCAATTTACCTAGTGTCCTTATTCCACAGATAAAAAGTAGTACAAAAAACGTAAACTAGTAGCCGTGTAATACCGTTAATGATTAGAATGAGAATAGTTAAGGTCAGATGAAATGAAACCGAAATACAATAAAAATAAATTCTTCCTGTTCCTTTCACGAGTTATTTAAGTCAGTAATTAATTAAAACTGCCCATTTGACCTTGGGATACTCTAAATTGTACATTTAATACCATATTCATGTTTCCATATTTACTATCATCACGATATTATTTCGCAAAGACGTTTGGAATGCGTCAGGAAACCACGACTCATGCAGAGAACTAGAGTTGAATCTATGGACAATACGGTCTGTGATATAGGTCATAGATTAGTAATAAACAGAGAGTTTAAACCAGACTTTAAAAGTGGTAGAGCCCGCTTTAACGACACGACCATACAGAAAGCAGATGTGAAGTGGAAGCAATTCCGCGTTTCGTCTGATGAGTGTGGTACCGGAGGCCCAACTTTAGTCTCTTTTTCTTCCCACCCTTTTTCTCATAAGAATAAGATAAGGGAACGTAGATTTGACACTGGAGGAGACGCAAAGGAACGGGAATTATCCTCTTTATGTGCGTCTTCTTCCCCGTCGTTTAAAGGTAGGCAACGCATCCGCTATTGCAAATGTCTATGGGCAGCGGTCTCTTCACTATTTTGGCGTATTCAGATGGCCGCATGACCGTTTTCCACCTCACGATAGTAAAAAAATCTGTGTTATAATTTCTATAACATCTAATAAAAAAATTCCAGTCATAAAGTATTTGTGCAGGATTTGTTTGCATTAATAAACTTTATAAACAAGTTACAATGTTTCTAAGGTGCGTTCAATTTAACTCAAGGACGTTGTCCAATTAATTTGAATATAACAGGGTAATTGCATTTACTAATACGCTTTACTAATCACTGATAAATTATTAGTTTCTTAGTTACCTAAGTTTAGTGTCAGTCTTCGTTATGGTTTGCATTATTTCGTTATCTCTGTGGAATAACATAAAAAGTTTCTTGTGTTTTACCACTAATGTTTAACTTGTAACATAAATTAAAAAATCATCATCATCATCATCATCACCAGCTCACTATACGTCCCCACCGAGGGGCTCGGAGCCTACCCTAATACGGGGTGACTAGGCCATAGTCAACCACGCTGGCCAAGTGCGGGTTGGTTGACTTCACGCATATCTTTGAATTTCTTCGCCGATAGGTGCAAGTTGCGTCACGATGTTTTCCTTCACCGTAAGAACGTCGGGTAAATTATGTACATATGAGAAATCGAAAAATCACATTGGTACATGGCGGAATTCGAACCCAAGACCTGTAGATTACAAGTCAAGTGTTCTAACCACTGAGCCACCGACGCTCCAAACGTCGTAAATAACGCTCCGACGTTGTAAATAAACTGATATTTTCTTGAGTAAGCTTATATTGTCAATTTTTCGATATCCGGTGCACATAAAGTAGTAAATATCGATATCATCCGATACATTAATCTTTATATCTTAAGTTTAAAAAAGTGAAAACTCATTCAATGATGCAATAGAACAAAACACGTTGGATCATATCGTTTAAGATACTCATATCTCTGATACCAATAAAGAAATATTGTCGGAAAGTAATAAATAAATTCAGTTAAATCTATTTGATAAATATGATAAAGATTATTTACTTAAAACAAGGAAAACTTCAAAAACAAACCATTTTACTTATGATAAGTTACATTGTCTTCAGCAGATTTGCAATAACATTCCTACAGATGCGTGTTTAACATAGACAAGGAGGACAGATTAGAAAAGCATATTTCCTTTTCCTGTCTCCGCCGCCGATCCAACCTTCCTTTCTTATTGCCATAAGAAATGGAAAAGATTGTTTTTTATGAACTTTAGTTCTTTCAGTCAAGGCAAAAGGATGTATCTTAGTGCCTTCCATTGAAGATCACGGAACCCTCGCAGTCGTTTAAAGATGGTCACCAAGAGTAATAATATTCTCACACAACCCTCTTTACCTCAAAAATAAAGGTGTTATAAAATCCCCATTAGAAATCTCTACTAACGGAGAAGTTACATCTTATAATAGTGAGAGTTTGATTTTGATATTAGAAAACACTTTAACGGAAATAAGTTGATTGGTATGAAACGAGAGGCTATGTAATCGTTATGTTTTCTATTGCACAATTTTACTACACGCATAAACTATCGCAACAGTTACTTTTCTAATCTGCAATAATTATATTAGTAACTGCATTGCATGGTTTATGGTATCATGGCTTACGGTATAAAATTTGTTCTTAACAAAAAACTACAATCGCTTAACATATTCCCACGCTTTTTAAATCGACATTTTAGAGAAAAAGAAACCATTAGCAAGTTACGATATATAGTAAAACTAGCTTTTGCCCGCGACACCGTCTGCGTGGAGTTTAGAAATACAAAAGTAAATAGGCTATGTGTCCTTCCAGACTATCCTCTACATCTATGCCAAATTTCATCGAGATCCGTTCAGTTGTTTAGGCTACAAACTCTAACAAACATCTATCCATCCGTCCAGCTAAACTTTCGCATTTATAATATTAGTAAGATATACATAGATCTATGTACTCGTTTCGGCAGTACATATACTATACTTAAATAGTAAAATATAGAGTAGGCCTTACTAATCAAAATGCATCTTCCAAGATGCACTTTATACGGTCTATTGTTGGAAATTAGGGCAAACTTGTATTCTTTCGCTCGTATGTTTTGTTAAAAATGTGAACTTCTTTGTTGTAATTTTTTTCTTTATTCCACTCACTACTGTTATCGAATATCACCTTTACCAAACAGAATTTTATATTCACAGGAAAAACGCAAATAAAAATAATATACAATCTATACTAACATTACAAACAGGAAAGATTTGTATTTGTGTAAGTATTGATATAACTCAGAAACTACTGGGCCTATTACATTAAAAGCTATGGCATCAGTTAGTAACATAGGCTATCTTTTTTTTTTTTTTTAATGTCACCGAAAAGAAGTCGCGAGCAAGAGCTACTGTAAAATGTTTTGTACGAGATTTTAGAAAATATTTTGGACAAAAACCCTAATGTGGGAAAGAGACCATAAGTTGCTACCAACATCAAGGAAGTAAGATTGTTATGGTACGATAATTTGTATTTCGACAATTGTCAAATTGTCAATTGCAAAATAAAATTTTATAATTTCATGCGGATGAAGCCTCATGGGAACAGCTAGTATTTAATAACAATAAAACATAGCCTATGTTACTCACAGATAAATTACCTTTCCGATGGTGGAAGAATTTTTAAAATCGGTCCAGTAGTTTTTGAGTAATTTCAATACATACAAAAAAACAAATCTTTCCTCTCTATAATATTAGTATAGAAGTATAGATACATAATTACATTTATACTTTATTTTATTAACTTTCTCCAATAATCAAAGCGAATTCTTAAATGTAATTATTTATATAAAATGCAAAAAAGAAAGTTATCGTCCATATCAAGAAACCAGTAGAACGTATCGTAGGTATTAAATACGACCAAGTAAAAGTGAAGCAGTCTTCTGTAACGCGCGAAATATTCTAACATCACTGATTAAAAAAATACACTGTGCAAAAATAAACAATTAAAAAAAACAAACCTTAACATCTTTGTCTTTGCCCCATTCATCAATTTTGAATTTCTCAAAGGTTTCCGCAACCTTCCTGTTCCTTTCTTCTAAACTCATGTTTAAAAACGAAAAAAAAGATAAAGTCAAAAGGGATACTTTCCCGCCAACAGCACCGTTCGGATACGCGACCGGTTTGTGCGAAGCGGCGACACGCGCGCTGCCTTACAAACCACTGACACCAATATTCACCACGACTACATTTATTTACATCGAGCGCATTTCCATTGCCAATGACATTGAAATGTTTACAATAAAATTGATTAATTTTTTTGTCAATTATATCTACACCTAAAAAATAAGTACTTAAATTGCAATCGCGCATGACTGCCTTAAAAAATACGATTAGACTTTTTGCAACGATTTACTAATAAACATTTTATTCGCTTTTTATGGTTTTTGAAAGGCCTAGTCTTAACTAGGCTTAATCTTAATTACTCTTAAGTAATTAAGATTTAAACATAATAATAGACTAGCTGTTGCTCGCGACATCGTCCGTTTGAAATTAAAACATAATAAAAAACGAAGTCTTTTTAATGGTGAAATATTTTTTTAAATCAACCCAGTAATTTTAAGTTATTTCAATACATAGAATAATTCAATCTTTGCAAATATTAGTATAGATATAGATTTAAAGACACATAGCATGAGTCTTCGTTACTTACAAAGTTAACTTAAATGTAACCAACTAGCTTTTGCCCATGAATATGTCTGTGAGATTTTAAAAAAACAATAGTAAGTATCCTATGTGTTCTACCAGACTGCACTACATCAATGCCAAATTTCATTGAGATCCATTTAATGGTTTAGGCAACGAACTCTAAAAAACATCCATCCATGTAAACTTTCACATTTATAATATTAGTAAGAAGTAAGTTTAATAAAGATAGGAGATAAAAGATCTTTACAAACTAAACAAAATATAGAAATCTCATTATTATGTTCAGACTTAAAACAATTAAAAAAAAAATTGAAACAACATGTAATTATTAGTGTTCAATACTTTATTAGTATTGATTAGTTGAATTTATGTCAACATCAGATGATTTGCAAAATAACATGGTTACAATATTGAATTAATCATTGGAAGATAAAATCAATATTTGAATAACGGATGTATAAGGAATTTGACATACTTTAGGTATTTATGATTCTCAACAGAAACTTAAAGTGGAGAAATCCTTTTTACACAATCAAAAATCCAAACAAAACATTTATAAAAAAGGTAAAAGTGTGTAAGTAAACTTTCTTTTCATACCAATAAAATACTAGTTGTTACTTGCGACTGTGTGTATGTGGTATTAATAAATAGGAAAAAAAATAGCCGTAACAGGCTAATGGTGTCGGAATATTTGAAATTGGCCCAGTAGTTTTTACGTTATTTCAATACATACAAAAACACAAATGTTTACTCTTAATCATATTAGCATAGGTACCATAATGAGGTAGAGAATAAAACAAAATAGGTCAAAAGAATATTTGGGATTTGCATGTAGACTCAAATGTGGAGGTATATTGTATGGAACATTACAAGATAGATGTATGTTAAAGGGTATATTATCAATTTTGGTTAGAACATAAATGCAATAAAATCAAAAGTGAATATAGAAAATGAGAATAAGAATAAGGTTTTATATATTTAAAAGTTTAAAAATACTGGACTTTACCATTACATTGGTAACATCTCTTTTATTCTTTTTAAAATAGTTCTTTCACTTTACATTTTAATATACTATCAAAAATCTTTTGCATGACATCATGAAAGAATTATATTGGTTTATATTATATTATGTTGATAATTATAATCTGGATGAATAATGGTTTGTTATCAAGTACTGTCAGAATTGCTCAACAGAACTGGCATACTGTATAGGTGCAGTCTTAGCAGGCGATAGACTAATAATGTTATTAAAAATACTGTAGTAATAAAAAAATTTCAAGTCAAGTCGTGTTGTTCAATCAATATGTATATCAATATTTTTTTTATTTTGCTTCAGATAATACAAGCTTATCTCCACAATTACAATTATTTCTACTTAATAGATATTACTATTCGAAATTAACCTTCAGCAATGATATTTTCGGTACTTTATAACAGCGAACCATACTTACTGCTTTAAGTTTTTTCTTGGGTCTTGACGGGCCATCCATTTCAAAAAGAAATTCAGACAACGGACTAATCGACCTAGTTTTCCTTTTAATGCAAACAATAATGCAGTTATACGATTGACGGAAATATATTATCTTATGATTTCAAACTTAAATCTCATTCATAAATAATTATAGATAACTCTAACTTAGTATTCACTTAGATAAGCAGTTTCAGAGTCTTCCGATTTATTATCACTTATCACTTGATATAATTTTGACAAAATTGGACAAAATTATGACTTGCTTGACATATGACATTTGACATTGATAGATTTTGACTTTTGACCAAAAAGAATGATTCTCACAGATTGCACAGACCCCTTCTTGCTTTCGACGGTATTTAGGTATGTAAATTGATAGTTTGTTTGCAGATTCGTTTACAAAAATAGTAAAAATAAACGAATCGTTGTATTGTTCCGTAATTTCTTTTGATTTCTTACAATATTATCTTAATTGTCTCACGTAATCAGAAAAAGATTAATGGGCCCGGTGAACTTAACGCTGTTGTCTGTTGTTCGTAAAAACAAAATCTATGCTTTCTGTCATAAATCTTGAATGTGTCAAATTGTGTTGTAATTATTTACCGAAACATATTTCATTTTTTAAATATAAACCTATGGAAATATAGTGATCTCGGTGATAATGATCAATTAAATTTAAACGTAAAGCAATACTTAAAATTCTATTCTTGTCGTTAATCTGTGTTGTAATTTATAAACTCCTTGACATATTGAAAATGCCTGCCGTAACATCACCGTCTGATGATGAACAGAATGACGGTGAACAGAAAATGTGGAATGCTCTTAAACGATATATTATACGTGAAAGGCAAAGAAAGAAAGAAGGTACATTCTTGTAATGGTTTATTTGCTCTCATAGTTTTTTTTACTCAATCTTTTAGTCCTATATTAACTATATTCCCTGTAGAATATGAAGCAGAGGTAGAAGAAGAGAGACTAAGAAAGGAACGTGAGGCTAGAGAGAGGCAGGATGTTATGACGCTAGGTATGTAGATCTATGTAAACAAACTTTATATGATGTGCGTAATACTAATATATAAAGTAAATAGTACATAATACTGAATGAATAACAAACTCCTGGCAATTTTATATATTTCAGAAGAAACAAAAGAACAAATTGAACAATTAGAACAAAAATTAAAGCAATTAGAGAAAGAGAAGCAACAATTGTTCATGCAGTTAAAAAAAGTATTGAACGAAGATGAGGTTAGAAAACGACAACAACAGAAAGAATCAAAGTTAGTAATATAATTGCAATATTTCATAGTATTGTTTGTTAATAAGTATGTTAATAAGTTTTTCTTCACCTTAAGCTTAAGGTACCTTTTAAAACGATATCTAAGTAAATGTCATTTGTTAACAGTGAAATGCAACCTATGAAGATGCCAATGGGCAATATACAAATACCGATGTTCCCAATGTCATCGTCTACTGGCCAAGGTGAACCTCCCCTTCCACAAGGCAGACCGCAGGCCATGTCATCACATATACTTAATAAGGTATATTTTTCTAATATTAAAGTACATTTTTAGCCATTTAGCACATTTATTGTGCCAAAATGTTGCATGCCAAAGGAATTGTTTTGGTCCCTTTTACATTCTAACATTTTTGTTATGTGGAAAGGATGAGAAGAAGGGATATACTACTGTGATGATCAAAGGTAGACTGCAAATGCAAATGTCTATGGGCAGCAATTGTAACACAATGTTGGCGAACCCTGGTGGCCACTTACCCATTTGTTCATTTAATAGTCTGTAATTTTTTGTTGTTGTTAACACTTAATTTGATAATGTTCACTGTGACAAACAACTACTTTAAAAGTCTATTTTATTCATATCATCACAATCATATTTCACTAGCTATTGCTTGCGACTTCGCCCGCGTGCAATTGAAAATAATAAAATATGTGACTCTTTGATAATGTAGCTTTTTAATGGGGAAAGAATTTTGAAATCAACAGTTTTTTAGTAATTTCAATTCATACTAAAATACAAATCTATCTTCTTTATAATATTAGTATAAGATATCTAAAAGTATGACTACAAAAAAACTATGCTAAATCAAGATTTAATAAGAAAATGTATGCTATTACTTATGCACATGTCTCTAATGTACATTTATCTTTTTTATTTTAGAATAAACATTCAAACTACATGCTGTTCCCGCAACAGCAGACTATAGTGCGTGGTCCGATGCAGTCCGGTGTTAAACGACAACGCAGTCCGTCTCCTACATACGCATTGTATGCACAAAGAATGCACCCGCCGCCTATGAAGCATCAACAGGTTTATTCTGATCATAGTGAGTTAATTTTCTTGTTAAATCTAATGTTACAAAACAAATGGAATGTAAAATATCGAAATAAAGATCTGTAAAGAATTTAGAAGGCTGACTGTACTTAGAAAAGTGACACAAGTTTGTTACTTAAGATGTCCCAGCAAAGAGTACTTGTAAACTATTTTGAAGTAATAAAAAAATGAATTATTGAAGTGTCGGAAGAATTAGGGAGTATATAAGAGATTTATGATTAAAAAATATCCAATATGGGAGAATTTGTCTAATTGAACTTTTGTTTATGTTCTTTAGTTGTTATGTAGTCTGAAATAATTCTGATTGATTTAGGTAATATACCAAGTTATGTAAGGCATTACAAATAAACATGAAATTTTTGCAGAAGTAGAAGATGGCCGCATGGGCCGTCAGATGGCTCGCGCAGTGCTTTGGAATAGTGAGTTTATAGACATCGTCACTGTCGCTTGCTCTCACGCTACCTTTAACCCTTAAATGCGCACTTTTGTATAGATATAACATTCCATAGACCATAGATTTTTTTAAAAAATCTTATGATTTTTTAATTTTTTTTAATAATGATTTGTGTTTCTGAACGATATCGATATACTTTTTTATCAATGGTCATAAAGAAATATTTAAAGAAAAAAAGTATGTAAACAATCACATTTTTTAGAAATTTTTTTTTTCTTTTTTATAATACCGATCTTGCATTAAATGTAATTTGTCCGAAAAATTCGGAAAAATCACGCATTTAAGGGTTAATTTTTCTCGTATAACCCATCCATTTCTTTTATTTTCTATTTAATATCCCTTGTGTCGTCTTTTCATCTTTCATTTCATCTTGTCTTCATTATTTTTTATGATTTTTTTCTTCCATTAGCTTTATGTTTTAGCTTTCGTATCTTTCCAGTGGAGTTTAGTAGATAGTAGTGTTGAATTGTTAGATGACTGTTAAAATTTAAAATACTCTGATAAAAAAATAATGTGGAAAGTAGTTTGGTTTGACATCTTTTTATTTTTATATCGAGAGATTATATGTTAAAAATAAAATGAAAATTACTGAAAGAATCACGACTTTAAGTCGGAGATAATTTTTCTCGTTTTTTTATTTTTGTGAATTAAAAACAAACTAAAAAAATCACGCTAATACATTTTTCGTATACTAATAAATTAATCACTAATAAAATACTATTATCTAACTAGCTTGCGCTCCCGTCCACGTGAAATAAAAAAGTGAGTAGCCTATGTGTTCTTCCAGACTACCCTCTACAACTATACCAAATTTCATCAAAATCCATTAAGCCGTTTAGGCTACAAACACTAACAAACACCCATCCACTATTTCGCATTTATAATATTAGTATGATAGTATTCAAAATATTCAGTTATATCTAGAGCCATCACAATACGCGTCGAATGTCAACTCGTCGGTATCATCCGGGTATTACGCGATGCCTACATCCGGGGTAGTGGTGGGCGAGCGGCCGCCCGCGCTGCTGTACCCGCACCACGGACACGCGCCCCACACCCCGCACACGCCACACACCCCGCACACCCCCCACCACACCAATTTGATGTACGCGCCCGCGCCGCAACCGCAACTGTACATAGATATATTGAAGAATAGAGAAGGACAGCAACATCAGGAACCCAAAAAGGATCCACAGGTTTGTACATTTTATAAATTTACAAAGCTAGTTAGCTTTTTTTACTCTGTCTGTTTGAAGTTAAAAAACAAAAGTAACCTATGTGTTCTAGGCTATCCTCTACGTCTAAGCCAAATTTCAGCGAGATACCTTCACCCGTTTAGGCTACAAACTCTAACAAACATCCATCCAAACTAACATTTATTAGATTAGTAAGAATTGCTTTGTAATTCTTTAATTTATCGTGTGAGATATTACCGTATCTTACGTATATTTATAAAAAAAAATATGAGAACTAATTTTATAAATGCGGAAGTTTAGATGGATGGATGTTTTAAGATGGTATCGCCGGAAGGGTTATACGAACCTCGATTAAATTTAGCACAAATGTAAAAAGTAGCCTGGATGAACACAAGCTACTTACTATTGTTTTTTTAATTCACGCAGATAGTATCGCGAGCTGAAGCTAATTTTTACATAAACATTAAAAGATGACAATTTACACAATATACCAAAAAAATTTTTTTTTTTTATATTTCTTCAATATTGTACCAGTTTTTACTATGATTCTACGATATGAGTTGTAAGAGATTGTGTTGAGTAGCCTCAGGTGCTGATCGGTCTGAGCGAGCCGCACCATCCATCTGTGAGCAGCGGCGTGGTGTACGCACAGCCGCCGCCTGTTAGCCGACACATCGCCATACATCCGCCTCCGCAACACAACAACATGCAGGTACATTGAAATAAGCTATTTTTTTATTTATTTCTGTACAGTGTCACATAGTAATTTTTATTCATGCAATTTGATACATGCACAATTTTTCAGCTGTTTTCTTAAATATATAGGAGTCTAAACATTGAATTCAACTTCACATCTTGAAAAAACTTACAAAATATATGTTTAGGATATAGTTTTTCCTTCGTTATTTCGTGTGACGAAACAATTTATACTTGTTACTGAAATGAGATTGTTACTATGTAATACAATAGTTTCTCATATTAGCTTTCTATCTGATAGAACAAACACAAAAACTAATTTAATATTGCAGACAGCGAAGCCTGGCAGCATAACACAAGGCTACCCCGTACAGCAGGCCAACCCTAACGTGCAGAACCCCAATATATATCCCAACCGTCACCGGTATTAGCCGTTGATGCACCGCAGGCCGCACGCGCTGCCCCCCTAGCATTGGAAGAAACGCATCGCTCAAAGGTTACACCGTTTTTAATGCGCACACAAACATCCGACGGAAAAAGTTACATATATCTAGAGATGTAACTACAGGGTTACATATTTTAAGAGATGTAATTCTTAGTTACATATTTCAAGAGATGTAACTCTTAGTTACATATTTTAAGATATGTAACTCTTAAAGTGACATATTTTAAAAGATGGAACTCTGAAGAGTTACATATTTCGGGAGATGTTACTCTTAAACATACATATTTCAAGATATGCAACACAGAAAGTTACATATATCAAGAGATGTAACTACAGAGTTACATATTTTAAAAGATGTAACGCTTAAAGTTACATATTTCAAGGTATGTAGCTCTAAAACTTACCTATTTTAGGAGATGGAACTCCAAGAAGTGACATATTTCTAGAGATTTGACTCTAAAGTGTTACATATTTCAAGAGATTTCACCCTAAAATAATTACAATATGTAAGAATAGGAGACTAAACTCTTTTCGTCGGATGTGTTTAACATTCCATCATGTCCTCAGATCACACCAATATCATTACAAAACAAACTCAGAGTCCTTTAAAAACACTAAAGGATTTCCTTAGTGTAGATATTGTGATTTAATTGTTGTTTAAGAATAATTACCAGGTTGTTTGAATTTTAAAAGCCTTACAAATAAACGCGTTATAAAGATAAACTTAGGAATAGACTGAGTATAAGCAAATATTAGTACAAATTTTGCTTATACTCAGTTTATTACTAAGTGTAACTTTACCGCGTTTATTAAGGCTGTAAATATTTAAGAGTGAGAATTTAAACTACGGTTAATAAATAATAAGAATAATAATAGTGTAGCTATGTTTTTACACAAACATATCGATTGAATTCGAATTTTTTAAACTATTTTTTTAAATGTAGTATACATTTTTTTTAATGAAATGTTCTGAGGTGTGTGTGCATAAAAGTGTACCTGTGCAGTGGTTTGAAAACTATACATACGAACAAACTGTTAACAAAAAAGTGCATATAATAAAGGATTCATATTAGATCATGTGGCATATATCTGTGGTGTTTTTTTTTTACTTTTTTAATAATGTCTATTTTATACTGTGGTGAAATATTAAGTCATATGCAAAATCTACATATTACTAATGAGTTTTTGATGATTCAATGTACAGAAGTTTATTACAATCGGAGTTAAATAAATAAATAAAAATTAAATTAAATTAAGTTAAATGTTATTGTTTCGAATTAAATATAATTATTTTATTGTTTATTTTAAGTACATTTTGTCTGTTGATTTTCAATTTTTTTATTATTGTTAGTTTGGGAATGGGCTTAGCATTGCAAATCATTTTATGCAAATATTTTGTATGAGATTGGTACAAAAGAAAAAGAAATCATAGAGACATAGAATATGGACTTGTAATAGTAAATGAAGACTTATTTTAGATGTAAAAATAATTTTATTAATGTTGCTAGAATTAAAAATTCCAATTTTTATATGCTTCAGTGAATGTCTTGTTGAAGAAATAGAAAACTAGTTTTAGAATTAACATTTTTGAGATATTCTATTTACAAGTCTATCTTAAATACAAAATTTCATTCAAAGTCCATTCCCAAATGTATTTCCCTAAAATATACTTAAGATGACTTAGTAGTTGCTTTCATATAAAAAAATAGCAATAATTTATATAAACAACAAAAGTGGTATTATTAAATTCAAACTTTAAGGCCTTCTGTATATTATAAGGTGACACGAACAAGCGGCCACCAGAATTCGCCAAAATAGCGAAGAGACTGCTATAGCATCCGCTTTTACAGATGATTTTTAACAGAGGAGGGGATGCACGGAACGAGAAATTTTACCCTACCTATGCATTCCATTCTCTGGCAAAACCACTCTTTAGTTGCACGTCGTCGTCTCGTGCCAAATTACAAGACGCCCTAAAGTTTGAATAGCATTGTATTAGAATGTAACAAAGTAGATGATATATGTTCCGCTTAAAATAAAAACTACATGCTTGAAGCATGTTTTTTGTAATAAACTATATTGAAGCTTTGTAAACTAATGTCTTCTAGTGCTGGCAAAATACAAAACTATAATCACTAAAATGTTTTTTTTTTTTATAATATAAGGTGGCAAACGAACAAGCGGCCACCTGAATCCACCGAAATGGAAATCGACCGCTGCCCATACATCCGCAATTGCAGATGCGTTGCCTACCCTTAATTGATGGAGGAGGAGACGCACATAAAGAGAACATTTCCCCTTCCTCTGCATCTCCAACGTCCACCGTCAAATCCACTTTTCCTTCCCATTCTTTCCTCTTCAGAAAATGGTGGAAAGGGAAAGGGACTAAAATTAGGCCTACTAAAATTAGTTTTTTTTTCACACAACCTTAAATAAAACTAACTGTTGCTCGCGACTTTGCTTACGCGAAATTTAAGATTGTAAAGTAAAATGTAGCCTATGTTACTCAGCGATAGCGTAGCTCTTTAATGGTGAATAATTTTAAATCGTTCTTGTAGTTTATGAGTTATTTCGATACATACAAAAATACAAATATTTCCTCTTTATAATAATAATAATATAGATATCAGGTTTAACGTCGATAGTTCTTAAATTATGGTATGTTATTTAAATTTAAATAAAAAATATACAATTACACAATAGTCAAACATCTGCTAATGTGAGTGTCTATGGCTATCGCTTCGCTATAATAGCTTCGGTATAAACTTTAAATGACACTAGCTGTTGCTCGCGTATTAGCCCGCGTTAAATTAAAAAATATATACTAGGTATAGACTATGTTACTCACAGATAAATTATCTTTCTAACGATGAAAGAATTTTTAAAATAGGCCCATTAGTTTTTTCCAGAATGTAATACATAAAAAATCCTAATCTTTCCTTTTTATAACATAATATGTAAAAATTATTGCTTATGGTAACCCTACTCGCGTTGTAATCTAATCAATAGAAATCGTTTCGCATGTATTTTTAAAAATAAACGTAGAAACAAAGCGTATGTTTTCTTGTAAAGAAAACTGCGATGCGGGCTTACTGGATGAAACAAAGGTTTTACTAATTAATTTCCCGCCCACTGCTTGTTTGAAGAACATGCAACATGAGTGCTTTTTATATCTTTACTATATTCCCAAAATTATACTTTTATATAAATCCATTTTCTACAATGTAATTTATATACCTAAATTTGCGGATTTTTTATTGTTCGTTATTAGTTTCATATAAATATATTCAAATACTCATGTTTAGGAAATAAATAATTCGATAACGAAATTGTCTAAACTCACAGAAGTTATTTGTCACTAAGGAAATCCCTTAACACTCTGAGTGCTGAGTTAAAATTATTTTTATTCACCTCTACCATAACAAAGGTATTTCAATATTCCTTACTGGAATTTAATAGATAAAAATGTTTGAATGAACGCGAGGGTGAGGGGTAAGGGGTTAGGGTGTGTCGGCTATGCCCCCCTCCTAGGGTGGCGTGTGACCTGCAAATAGGTCGGCGTGCACCGGCCGCTATCGATCGCTGCATCTCCCTGCAACCTCGAACATTCTAGATACACATGAATTTATTACGCCTTTCAAATTTATTTCTGTGCCTTACTTAATTAACTTTAATTATGAAAATTTTTAATACTAATCGTCACTAACTTATACTTGTTACATTATACAGTAGTAATCTATACTTCTATATTAATATTATAAAGAGGAAAGATTTGTATTTTTTGTATGTATTGAAATAAGTCAAAAACTACTGGGCCGATTTTAAAAATTCTTTAACCATCGGAAAGGTAATTAATCTGTGAGTGACATTGGCTATATTTTATATTGTAAATTTGTAATTTTGTATGTATTGTAATAACACAAAAGCTGTTGAGCCGATTACAAAAATCTTCGTTTAGTAACATAGGCTATTTTTTCAACAGCTAGAATTAGCTTTTCATATTAAAATCTTACTTATCTTACAATTTCTACAAAAATACTAAACTACTGATAAAAGTATGAAATAAAATGATGCCTGTTTGCTACAATTACTCTTATTAATTGATTACATTTAGTCCTGATACAGAATATATCTAAACATAACAAATTATGTAACATTATGAAAAAAGAATTTCTTAAGTACGGTCAAGGTCAAGATACAATCACAGCTAATGTAAGCGGCGAGCTTTCACTCGAGACAAAACAGACTTGTACTGAAATGTATGTTTTTCGTGACTTACGATTGTAAAAACATGTACATCCATCTCGACTTTTACATCATTTTACAGTATGTTTTGTAAACAAATCATCCATCATAAGTAAAGTCTCTTGTATTAAATTCTAGCTGTTGCTCGCGACTTCGTTAAATTGAAATTAAAAAGCCTATGTTATTCAGCAATAACTTAGCTTTTTAATAATAAAAGAATTTTTGGAATCGGATCAGTAGTTGAGTTATTACAATACATACAAAAACTCCAAAATGCAAATATTTCTTCTTTACAATGTTAGATATCTTAACACAATTGAATTGAAATTGTTTCTGTTCGTATTTAAAAACCAAAACTATTTAATTTCACTTCCCTACGATATTAACTAACAGTCCTTCAAACAAGATCAAATAAACGAATTTTCTTGGATGAAAATTCACTGCAAGTACGACGTAATCCGCATTTGTTACCAAGGTCGGATATCTGTAGGCATATCTTTGCATAATAAGGACCTATGAAGAGTAGAATGGGATGAAAAGGTTTACATTTTTGCTATAATAAAAAAATAAAATATTGAATCTTGTACATTACCAAATTAACATTTTTATCATAAATGTAGATCATCTTCATCCTTATTCTACTCCCGTGGGGTTGGCGCGACAGGTTTTTGTCCTCCACATGACTCTATCACACGTCATCTCAGTCATCACTCCCTTTTTGACCAAAAACTTACTTTCGGCACTTTTTTTTGCAGCCGGCCTCCTGCCTATTGCCAACCCTAGTTGGATTATTTACTTTAATTATGTAGATAAATGCATAAATCGTTTTAAATAAAACAATCTATTCTCGAACTCGAATTATAGACTTTAATTGTCCCAGTTTTGCATTTCCATCTTTACTTCTTTGTTCTATCAATGTAACGTTACAATGTAATGAATTAAACCTTATGCGAATGTATTAGAGATCAATTTCCTTTGTACAGAACGTAAATTCGTATTAGTAATTGGCCAGTACGCAGGCGCAGACATATCGACTACCTCTTCCCTATTCCAGTAAAACCTGAATAGTGCTTACAGGATATCTGATAAAGCACTAGATATAGCTTGGAATTTCTCATCTATTGCGCCATTGTTTAAGTTACGCCTTTGTTAAACTATCCACATTAAGTAACTAACTTACCGTTTCTAATAATCGATTTAAAATATGCTTGCAGATAGTAAAAATAAATTTACAGTATCTGGGTGGCAGTGCATCCACGGCCACTGTTTTCTCGCAGCGGTTCAGGGCACTTTTGACACTCTGTAACTTTGTTGTGGATAAAGATAGAAGCTTGAAATTTGAATTTATTATATTGCCAATATATTTTTTTTTATATTAAGTAGTTAACAAGTTAGTTGAATTTTTTACTTTTACACAAATGTCTGTTCTAAATCAGTTTAATTAGCGCTGCGAGATGATCTATTTCGGTCGGTGCATCGCTAGTGTAGGCGTACCGCATCGACTACCGGCACAATAAACATTGCATTATTCAATTGCAGAATAAATTAGACGTCAAATAAATTATTCAACTGAAAATTATGATAATTAACGAAGTTACACCATAATTAAAATCTACGTTCTGATAATACCTCGAAAGCGTAACCTGGGAGTTCATTGCCGTCGCATCTGCATTTAACTCTTTTTCTTTAAGTGTTTTTAAATTCAACAATGGAAACCTACTATATCACCAGCAATCTTTTATAAGTAGAATAATTTAGTTGTCTATTAACGTCGATAGAAAACCAATAGAACATCACGCAATATCACCATTAAACGATGCGTACCACGTCTAATATCGACGGTAATGAACAATGACCTTTATATCTGTGTGAAACTACCATTAAATTTCACTTTCAGACTACATTTACTACATAAGTATAGTTCAGTGGAAATGTAAAGCAACGTTTACACAAAACTGCAAATAAATTAATTAAGGAAATTTTGAATAGTATTTATTTTATTTAAAAAGTGGGGACTATGTTTATATAGTAAAAAGCTAAAGTAATATTGATTAGTAGCCACGATTTGTGCCTTGCTCTGATATTTTAATATAGGTACATATCTTCACAAAAACAGATACACACATATATACACCCACATACGCATGTCCACGTACACACACACAAACACACACACAAGCATCCATGCTCATTCATGTGAATACAAACACACAATACACTAAGTAGCTCATAACAAAAAAATATATTTTTATGTAAAACTCTCATCTTATTTTGTAACCATGTATTTAAATTCCGCAAGACAATCGGTAAAAGAAGACGCTGCCTCCTGAAACACAGTTATTACTAGCTCAGGAGACAGAGTCCCACGAACTGTACCCTAACTCTTTCTAGAGTAAGTTTTCCCGCGAAATAAGCAGTCTAGTTAAAAGTTAAAATAAACCTATAGCTACTACAGTTATAAAAATACTATAGTTTAATATTTTATTTGTTTGTAAAGCAATTTAACACCTTATACAATTAAAAAGAAATTATCTCTACGAAAGGTGGAATATAAATATTTCAAAGGACGTTCGATTATCATTTCATCTATTATGTCGAAATGTACCCACGACGCACTGCCAAGGTCACATCGATCGAAACAAAGTGAGAAAGAGACAAAACTATCGTCTGAACTTAGTCCTTCATAAAGAGGGGGGAAAACGTGGTGGAAAATTTAATGGGTAATCTGTTGACAAACATTGGGAATGGCCATGGACGGCCATATAATTTAATACCTAACCAATCTTATAAATATTATAAATGCGAAAGTTTAAATGGATGTTTGTTAGTTTGTAGCCTAATAGGCTAAACGAACCTCGAGGAAATTTGACATAGATGTAGAGGATGGTCTGGAAGAACAGGCTCATGTTGTTTTTTTTAATCTGTGGACGAACGTTATTAAGTAAGTTTTAGACAATATGGACAACAATCAGTCACGTAGTCACTTTGTCTAGGAACGGTGAAGAGATGCGCAAAACAAAAGACGACTTAGTCACAGACTAAACTCGTGGTATCTATAGTCAGACAAGACGGGTTATGGTGTATATATATATTGTATTTTACATAATGAGATAGTATAGTTCTTATGATACATATATTTTATGCTATACTAGTATTATAAAGAGGAAAGATTTGTATTTTTGTATGTATTGAAATAACTCAAAAACTACTGGGACGATTTTAAAAATTCTTTGATAAATAAAAAGCTACGTTGTTAGTCAGTAACATAGGCTGGCTATATTAATTATTATTTTTTAATTTCACGTGGCAGAAGTCGCGAGCAACAGCTAATTAGTAAATATAAAAGTTAAGTACCTACAAGTAGATTTAAGTTAATCTCGTTTGCCTAATAGCCTTAATGATTGCGACATGTAAATTAATTTCATAAACATTTGTATTACAAAATAATATTAAAGTTAACACGATGTTAACATATTGTTATATAATTTCCTAACAAAAGGAGGCTTTTAGAGGCCCACCATACGACCCGTTTGATAGTAAAGTATAATTTAAGACAATAAAAGCAAATCACTTTCATATTGATGACTCATCTAATAGCCATTGTTTTCATTCGGTTATAACATCTATACTATTATAATAAAGCGTAAACACGCACTTCTTTGTTGCCAAAGATGTCAGCAATTACAGCATATTTTTTGAATAATTCTTCGTTTAATAAAAAGTCCTGCATTTACGTCACACTTTAGACTATATATTTTCACGCCATTAAACTTAGGGGGTAAATATTTTGGATAAAAATCCTAATGTGGGAATAATACCTTAAGTTGTTGTCAACATCAAGGAAGCAAAGCAAGAAATTTCAAAATTCAAATGTCATTTGTGTATTTGAATTTTGACATTTCATGCGGATGAAGCCGCACTGGAACAGCTAGTATATTAATATTTTTAACATATAAAAGAACAAACAAACCTATTACCGCACAATCAAATTACTGGTGGCATAGAAACTTAAAATTGAATGAAAATGAACAATACAACATCGCTAACTTATAGTTACTTAACCAGATATTTTTACTTGACGCAAAGTGAAGGGTGTCTTAAGTTAGAGCTTATGTTAAATCCAAGAAGCCAATGAAATCAATATATTTATACTTATCTTTATGTAACATTAGTAATCACTATAATAACATACCTAAGACAATTTACTAAAAACAACACAAGGAAAAAGTTCAGAGTTAGAATACGTCCTGTATTAAAATACGAAATATAAATGACTTTTTATTCAACTCGTATAACTTTGTCTTTAATTTATGCAAGAAAATAGTCGAATTATAAAAAAAAACAGTCAAATCGGAACAATCCAAGTAAAATGTTTTCTTTTCAAACAGATGTATGGAAAAGTATTAAAGTTAGACGACTTAATATTTTATTTGATTTGTTCATATGACTATATGAAATGAGTTCCATGTCGATGTGTAATTGATTGGTTTAACAGAAGCTTTCCTCCCATCCGGTAGAGGTCGCGCCGGCCGGCGTGCGCTTGTCTGTTTACTTTTCAGTGAGTAGTGATGTACCTATGGTAATTTTATCGATAATTTGTATTAATTTGTATACTATTTTAACCCTATTTCCATTTTGATGCTTAAACACATAGCTATGCCTAAGAATAGCAACATAATATAAAATCCGTTTAACTGTAGCTGAGTTATTTGTGTTTATTAGGTTTTTTCTCATAAGATCTGATCGAAGCATTATAAGTACAAAAATTGTAATTACAACACCATAGATCAAAGATAATAGAAGATAAACTAATGGAGAAAAACACTTAGAAATAATCTAAAGATCATAAATCCTGTTTGCCAATACACGCTGTAATATCGATGAAGTTCGAGAACAACACTATGTGGGTAGCTCCGCCCAACCTCCTTCAGTCACTCTCGGCTGGTGCGCGCGGACGGACATTTTCATCCGCCATTTTCTTTGCGACGCCATTCCGTGATCTGACATCACTTCCTTGTTTATCCAACCTGTCGGAGGAGGAGAAAATTGTGAATTGGTCCATCGGCAAATGAGGTAAGTGCAATATTAACATTTTACAATTTTACTTTCTAATCTGAAAAAAATTGAATATGGAACAAAGTCATAATTTAGTCAACTTTCATTTAATTTGAATTGGTTTTAAATCGTAGATTTTCAAGAAAACCTTTAAAAAAATGGTAATATAAAACGTAAAATTTATAGAAAACCTTTTCATTTTGCCAAATAATAGATTACTTGAACAGTATTACAGTTTTAGAAGAAACAAAAATCTGTTCAGCCAAACAATTTTTTTATTATTTACAGTATTTAGTAACTCTCTTTTTTAATTTACATTGTACAAAGGTAACATGAAAGTTTTTACATGTTATAAACAGATCCATAAACGTTTCGTTCATTAGAAATACAAATGTACTGTAAATAGTCAACAATAATTTATTACCGCACAAGCCCTTACCGCACGGATACGTGACACGCCCACGCGAACGTCGATCCCGGATGATAACCGGGTCAAATACCATTGCAAATACTCAAGATTTAAATGGAAATTATAATTCTACACCAAGAAACCTCTTTTGTTTTATATCTTATAAAAATATGGTCTAGTCACCCTTACTTAGGTTAGGCTCCGAGCCCCTCGGTGGGGACGTATAGTGAGCTGGTGATGATGACGATTATAAAAAACAACATACATTCCAATAATCTACCTTATTTTAGCTATTACTTTCTGACGCAATTAGAGGCGATAATTGGTCAAAAAATATAAATATCCTATACACTAAGGGTAAGTCTCCCTTTTAATAACACAAAAAGACGTATAGAAACGGGGAAACGAATATGTGTACAAAATAAGAAAAGAGAAAGAACATCATTACGAAGAAATTTGAAGTAATTTTCTCAGTTGCCTCTTTGTATTTATCTCCTTTAATTAGTTATACATATAGTTTCATAGCAGAAAAAATAATTGTTATAATTAGGTTTATAAATTAGTTATCAATTACTGGTAGATATCTCTTCTCTTCTATTCCTACGTTCCCAAAGTGGGGCGGAGGGCGTCCACAGTACGCCGCCAGCTCGCTCTGTCTTGGGCTCTGCGTTGTATCTCGGACCATGACAGCCCGACTGATAGATATGCCAATTTATTAAACAGCTTGCGACATTCTTAAAAGTACATCTTTATACATGTATTCATATTCTTATGTGTTCTATCGCAGACATGTTTGCGTCTAACAAAACGTACTGCGCAGTTATGTTTAGACAAAACAAGTCTTTGCAAAGCGCTTAAATATTTATAACAAGCCGGTAGCAGTTTACAAAAAGGAAAAGGTTTTTATTATCTGTTTAAAGTTTTGAAAGATGTTTTGTAATTTTAAAATTAGACTCAAGTCGCAGTTTATTACAATTAAATTTTATATTTTGTGTCCAAACATCACTCTTTAGTTAGAGCCTCTAATTCCATCTTTTAATACATATTTCAGATTTTAATACATGTAAATGTTTACTTTCCTAAAGTCTAAATAGGTAGTATTTTTATTGTAATGTTTACCAATAATTTATAAACTATGCCGGGAAATACAAAAGGGAATTGTTTATATAAAAATGTACTCGTTAGCTGAATACTTGTGCAACGTAGAAAATGTTGGCATTTTGCCATAAATTTGGACCAAGTTTAATACAACGTAAAAGTGTACTTGTCTTTATAGATTTGGTGTTATAAAAGCTTCAAGGGCCTGAACTGAAAGTTACAAACGATGTCTGTTCATGTATTTTTAATCGTCTTTTTTGGAGTTTGCTTTAATTTAATAAGATTGTTACTTTTAGACGGAATGCCTAATTAGATAGCTGTATATTAAAAATGTGAATTGTTGAATCTCGAAGTCGACCTTAAAAATAATTATGAAAATTATGTAACGCGCTCATACGTAGATAGAAGACAATACGCTCATCAAGTCAAAACGAAAGTTCGTAGCAACTACGTAGTACGTGCTACGAAGGTCGCTACGTAGGTCAAAATATGACGCAATATGAGTTTTTATTGACGCTTTTTCGTAGCCTTTGTCTTAAATGAATTATTTTTAAAAAATATGAACAAATACAAATTATTAAAAATATTCTAGAACTCGATTAAATGTGACCGGATATGTGAATTTCTGTTTTAAGACAATAGGGGTACCGCTTATATATCGTAATGTTTTGTTATTTTATATCTTCTAATCTTTAGGTAATCTTCTTATTTATTAGGTTGATAGAAGCCTGTAATAATAATTATACAGAAACAGTCAAGATATTTTGTATCGATTTTTGGTCTTATTCAAAACTACAATATTGCTAATATTAAAAATATAAATTATGAATGGATGGATTTGTTAGAGTTTGTAGCCTAAACTGCTGAACTGATCTGGATGAAATTTGGCATAGATTTAGAGGAGAGTCTGGAAGAACACGTACGCTACTTACATTTGTTTTTAACCCCACTCGGGCGAAAGCTAATCGGAAATAAAACACCGGTACAAATATAATGCTTCCCCATTGTATGTCAACACATTAACTGACGGGTACTAATTACGTGTCGGATGTGATATTATGTTAATGTAGAAACCCGACTCGTATTATATAACACACCACGTATTGAATTACTATATTACGTAACCACATTGTTTTCTTGATGTTGACAACTCTAGATTATTAAGGGCATGTCCCACCAAATTGTAAATTGTCTAATAATCCAATGTGTAAAATATATTATGGGAATATCGGATTTTGTTCCCTTATCCGACAGTGACTCCATTTTAAGCTATCTGAGCCTCTATCAGCCAGTGGTGTGACAGGCCCTGAGAATATAAATGTTTGAATATATGTTCACTTCTGCTTACCTTCAAAACTGCTTAAAGATATCGATGATTTGCATAAGTGTAGAACATAGTCTGGAAAAATAGTTTACTTACTAATTTTAAATTCCGTGCGTTCGGAGTTACGGGCCAAAGCTAGTATATCGTCATGAACCTTAAGCATTTATTGTTGAACTAGCTTTCGCCCGCGACTTCATCCGCGCGAAATTAAAAAAAAAAGTAAGTAGCCTATGTGTTCTTCCAGACTACTACATCTATGCCTAAATTTCATCGAGATCCCTTCAGCCGTTTAGGCTACAAACTCTAACAAACATCCATCCATCTAAACTTTCACATTTATAATATTAGTAAGATTGAAAGATGACAAACGTGTTAGTGGTTGTTGCAGTGCAAATAAATAAATATGACTTACGTTCGTCCGAATTTATTAAAGAATGCGAGCAACTGCTTTAATATTAGAATTCCTAAGTAGTTTATCATCAACGGAGCCGTATACAGCCAACTGTTTTATGTTCTGTTATGATTTGAGATATAACAAGCCATTGTAGTAATAGAATATGCTGAGAAGGACGTTCCAATAGAAGACAATGTCAATACTGTGATGGAATTTGAAGAAGTGTATCAATTCAAACCATTTAATCGACATTACGTTCGTACCTTGATTGACTCGAAATATATTATCACTGAGTAACATAAGATTACAACTTTTTTTAACCCTTAATTCGACGGAGTTTTACATTTGGTAACCACACACTAATAACAATTATTCAGCAGAATTTTTAAAATTAGTTTTTCGTCGAACTGGTCACTATTGATTTTTTTTATAATATGAGGTGGCAAACGAGCAAGCGGCCGCCTGAATCCACCGAAATGGAAAGCGACCGCTGCCCATAAACATCCGCAATTGCAGATGCGTCGCCTACCCTTAATTGACGGAGCAGGAGACGCATATGAAGAGGACGTTTCACCTTCCTATGCGTCTCCTCCACCGTCAAATCCACTTTTCCTTGCCATCCTCTCGTCTTAAGAAAAGGGTGGAAAGTGAAAGGGACTAAAATTAGGTCTCAGGCACCACACTTATCAGACGAAACGCGGCATTGCTTCTACTTCACGCCTGTTTTCTGTGTAATCGTGGTATTACACCTGGCAAGCCGGCCCATTCGTGCGAAGATGTTAAAGCGGGCTCTATCACTGTTAAAAATAAAGGGTCAATTATGCACAGTCACGTGTAAAAACTAGTTTACATAGTTCGTGCGTCACTAATTTAATGAAGTAGTGTTCTTTAAATAAAACAACCAAATTAGTGTATCGTAAAACACTCCCAGTATTGCTGTTATAATGAATTTTAAACGTAATAGAATCGGTCCTTGAAAATGTGCCAAAACAGCAGTTCAAGGATTTCTGTGTTTACTATAATCCATTTACGTTTAGGGCATCATTTTTCGTACACAAGTTACATAATAAATTAGATACCTAATTAACTTTGTCCAACGCTAGAATATCTTTTTAGACTTTAATCTTATTTAGTTATGACATCAGTATATAAATTCATCCAATTAAGACAGTTTATGGGGCTCGTTACTCAAGAAGAATATTAGTGCCGCTGTAGAATTGGCGCAGCACTAGATTGGTAACATATACGTCACATCTCCAACTGACAGCTGTCAATGTCATTAGAAGGATGGATATTCGCGCGCATTCCTTGTGGGACCGCTACTTCAGTGTTTAAATTAATATCGCTAGTTATAATTATATCAATGTTTTAAAATTACTAATAATAATTTTCTTGTTTCAGATCAGAAAATCTATGAAAACATCGGAGATTTTATCAACTCAACCATTTACATTATTGGAATAATCAAAATCTATTAAATAATGACAGACGACAACTGAACGAAGAAAACATTTCATATATTTATCAATCCCGATAAGAAAAACAATCAAAATGGGAAACATGAGAATTAACAACAGCTTGTAGGAGCTAAGAACTCTAACTTCACATTTCAAATATCAATGCTAAATTACAGACTGGTGTCGACGCATTTTCTGAAGCAACCATAAATTGCGTACGGGACGTTTTTTATTAGACTATAAGTGACGTCACTAAACTATGTGCCGCGATCGAGATATGCCAGTGCAGAGTGATATAATCAAATAAATTTCATTAATAAACTAGTTGTTAAATTCGTGTGTAGATTTAAGTGTTCCGTCAAAACGGCGCGCGTTTATGATTCGCCGTTACGTTTTGTTTCTTTCATTTTGTTTTACATCAAGGGATAAGCAATAGTTCATTTGCTCTGAAAGCGGTCGTGGATCGTGGAAGGGGTTTTGCCCAAAAGCGGGCCCCATTCGACCCTGGCCAGCCGGAGATACAATTTTTCTAGAATCTTGGACACCATTGTAGAGGCTGCAAGATACTGTATTGTAAGTGTCTTGATAATTATATTAAAATAAGGTTAGCAGATTTTAGCCTAATTATAGTCGCTTTTCCTATCCACCTTTTTCTTAAGAGGAAAAGATTGGGAAGGAAAGGTGGATTTGACGGCGGAGCCGCATAGGAAGGGGAAATATTCTCTCATCCGTCGATTAAGGGTAGGCAACTCATCTGCAATTGATGCGTATGGGCAGCGATCGCATCGCCATTCTGGCGGATTCCGTCGTCGCGTGCTCGTTTGTCACTTTATAATATAAAAAAAGAGATTTCTAGTCTATTGTAGCGGGAGCCGACTGCATGTGCTATTGATGCTTTTTCAGAAACGCATTTCGGCCGAAAACTTTTGGAAATTGAGGGATTTAGTTACACGTGTTAACTTTGCCTGAAGCGATCATGATACTGTTGGAAATAACTCAGGTACTTGAAACATTAGGCAATGGGGTTAGAATCATAAATAATATCAAGTAGATATCACAAATTATCAACTATTGGCCTTATATGTTTATAAGCTTGATATTTTTGAACGCTTGCGCAATTTTAAGGGTACTGGGAAAGTAAATATTGTATAAATAATGAAAATCATACAAAATACACTCTACAATTTATTAAAACTAGACGGACTACGTAGAATCAAATAATTTTCAACCATACGAGTATAAGGAATAAGGCATAAAATTAAAACGAAGAAATCTGTGCGTATTTTTTTTCACATTGTATCACTTTACCAGTCACCCTTTACTTTCATACACAAATTTGCGCGAAGACGTCGTAGAAAATTTTATACTAGCTTTAATTATTATAAATATAAGTACCATTGGCAACACTTTAACATTATTGCTTTTCAGCGAGAGCGTTTGTAAATTTTTAACTTTTAAAAAAAAAACTACGTTCCCATGTACTTTTATAAGTTTTCGCAATTATGTATATATTTAAAGACACAAATTCACAGAATATTATGGTTCATTACGAGTTGCAATTTAAATATAGCTTTATCACTTGTTAAGGTTCAAAAATGCGATAAATATTTATAATATGTTTTTAAATCTGGTAGTGTCTAGGAATAGTTATAAGAGGGTTGTCCAAGAAATAGAATAGTACTGAAAAGCTTTACAATTAACAACGCATTTTTGAACCACACCATCACAAAGATAAGAAATATTTCATATGACTGTACACTGACACTAACAGAATTGGCTATGGTTAGGGCTACGGGCACAGCACAGAGTGCTCGAGCGAGCGGCGGGTAGTAATATCAGAGGGCGGGTGGCGTGCGCAGTGCGAGCGGGAGCGGGAGCGGGACAAGACGGAAGATATGGCGGCGCCCGAGTGCGAGCGAGAGGCACGCAAGCGACGCGAGCGCCGCGACTCCGGCTGCGCGCACGAACGCAAGGAGCGCCGTCCGCACAGCGAAGAGCGCGCCCCGCCCCCGCCGCCGCTGGACCCGATGCCCCCGCCGCCGCCGCTGCATGACCACAACCGCATCGAGGTCTCTAACTGTACAAATGCCAGCTAACTTATTGAACTTGAGTAATTAAGTGAAGTCCCCCAATACACAAAAATTAAAATTAAGATGTCTACATACTTATCAAACAAGAAGCTTTTTGCGCTTTATAATCAGTTCAAGCGGTTTGCCGGAAACTTTACCACTTTTTAAGAGTACATTATACAGTGCTAGTACTATTTTACAAGCAAGGGTTCGAATCCCAGCTGGCTATTAATGCTCGTCACATTTGAGATCGTTTTGATAGTGCTCTGTTCTTGGCAATTGCTTTGCAATTAAATTCATTCATGAGCCATAACCTTACGATTGATACGCTGCAAGCAATCATTGTCTTCAGTCAAAAAACTGCGTTACTCGTTTTCATCATTAACGATCTAAAGAAGAAGGAACCATTCTTATTATCGTGTTATTTTTCAGTCGGAACGTCGTGCAGAGCGTCTGTCCCGCGCACGACGTCCTCAGCAGGGAGGCAAGCGTCGCCGCCCTCCCGCGCGCATACCACGACAACCCAAAGAAAACGAGATCTTCCATGATGATTTCCGCTGCATCACACCACCGCAATACGAGTATCTCGTTCCAAAACCAGAACGTAAGCCATTTTGATAGACGTCGAAATCTATCAACCATTAAATCCATTTCCATTTTTTCAATTGCCTACATAAGAATCAGGCTGTTGTTATTATAGAAAATGATATGTGGATGTCGTGTATTTCGCAGTGGGTGAGTTGGAGCGCGTGGAGACAGTCGGTCGACACGAGGAAGTGGAGCACGCGCGGCGCAACGAGCGCAGCGTTGCTCCGCGTCGAGTTCAGCCCACTGCAGACCGGCGGCTTGACAAGATCAATAAGAAGGTAAACCTTGCTTCTATAGATTTTTCCTCGTGATGCTAAAAATACATCAGTTGGATTTGTGGTCAAGTGTTAGCTTAACGAACATAACAACAAAATCTTTAATGACAAAGAACTAACTATAATATTTTCATGCTGCATCAAACGCAATTCAAATTGACTACAATTAGCAGTGTAGAAAGAAGGAGATGAACTCGTTAATTGAATTTCTTTATTATGTACTTTGTTTCAGATAAGTGTGTTAAAGAAGAACATTACAAAGTATGAGAATGAGTACGAAGTTCAGAACGGTCGCTCGATCACGCCGAGTGACCGCATCACCGACGTGCAACTGACGCGAATGCATGAAACTCTACGCAAGCTACAAGCGGAAAAGCGCTGCATAAAAACAGATCCCTTAGAGTACGCACTTAAAGCTAAAGCTGCTAAACAACAGAAGGAGAGAGATGCGAAGCTGGATGCAGCGCTTAACAGCGATAAACCGATGTCAGAACTCGTCCGTGATATTGAAGAGGTAATGCCGCATTATCATTTTGACGTAGTTGGTAAAGATTTTTACTCTTTTACATTTTATTAAGAGAATTTTGATCTCTCACCTTTTATTTAAGGACCTTTTCCTTGTCTTTAAAAGATGCACAATTTATAGATTGTAGAGATGTTTCTAACTCACCGCTTGCGAATAAAAAAACTAGTTACATTTAATGCTGTTGCTGAATTTTAGAACTTTGAAAGTATATTAAAGTAATAGTAATGTTTTTCTACCTAAGTTACATTTACAGTTACTTTTAAGTTATTGTCTTTTGTGCTATTTACTAATGGAAAATTTTATCAAAACTCATCGAGTAGTTTCTGCGTGAAAGGTCTTTTTTTTTCATGTTGAAAAATCGTCGGTACGAGGACAATGCGAATGAGATTTTTATAGCTTTTGGTTAGGTTTCTGTGTATTGCAAGTTGATAATGTTGTTTTAGGATGCTGAGGAGTGTAAAATGTTCTCTAAGGGTAGGCACTATGATGTAGCGTTACAAGACTCTGAACGCGAGGGGACCTCATTGGGCTCCGCATGTGCGGACAAGGTGAGAGTTCGGGGCACTAGCTGGTTTTATCGTTTTGTCGCACAAGCTTTGCCTATGCCATTGCCCAGCTTTGCCAAAGCATTTCGTTTACAAATTCTAATTGCCACCTCTCTATCTATTTACCTTTAGGTGACTAGGTTTTAGTTACCATGATGGCCAAGTGCGAGTTGGTTGAATTCCAAGATTCCTCATTCCCTCCAAATTGCAGCCATGGATTCTCTATGGTAGTTAATTTATTTCATGTTGTTCCAGTGGCTGCAGGGTTGTCGTGAGTTGGACGGTCGATCTGCGGTGAATGAGACGCGGTGGTCGGGCGCGCAGCTGTCGGCGGAGAAGCTGTGCGTGCAGCGCGCGCTGCTGCGGCTGGAGGCGGCGCGCGGCCGCCCGCCCATGCACTCCGCGGAGCGCGGCGCCGCACGCCATCTCTACGAGCGGTACCGAGCTGTTAAAAGGGCTCTTGCTGCAGCACGCAATGACCCTGTAAGTATACTTTGCTTATTGCTCTACTTTCATAGGTACTATTTAAACTTTCTCTACCAGAGATTCAGCTAATGTTAATGATAGATTTAAATTTTCTTACCAATGTTAAAAAATAGTAAAGTTTAGATTGATGTATCAATGTTTGTTAGAGTTTGTAGTCTTAACGGATGTCTATGAATTTTGGCAGATATAGAACATGATTCACGGGCGATGGCTAGTTTACAATAAGGGTTACATCGCCTACACTTTCATTTGGTTTTATTCGGTGATTGATTTTATTTGTGATTTGAAGATAATCGGCAATAACGGCGAGCTGGCGACCATCCACGAGCACGAGGCTATTGTGTTCAATAGCAGCTTGGACAGCTCCAGCGACTCTCAGGAGCGCGGCACCGACTCCTCCCAGGTAAATACTTAACCTCGGCATTTTTATCTATACTTCTATACATAATATGCAGAGGAAAGATTAGTATTTTTGTATGTATTGAAATAACTCAAAAAATAATGAACCGATTTCAAAAAATCACCAATAAAAAGCTACGTTATCAGTGAGTAACATAGACTATATTTCTATTATTTTTTAATTCCACGCAGACGAACTCGCGAGCAATAGCTAGTCAATAAGGAGACGTGTTTGTAGATTGCATATGAGACACCTTCATTAAACTATACACTTTCTTTGATACAGCAAGACACAACAGATATCATAGACAACGTGCAGTCGTTGCGGTACCGAGAGGTGCCTGAGGTGCGCGAGGTGTATGAGGTCCGTGAGGTCCGTGAGGTGCGTGAGGCGCGCGAGGTGTGCGAGGCGGGGGAGGGGAGCTCCGCGGGGGAGGAGATGCGGTCCTCCTCGAGCGCGCAGTCTGCCGCCAGCGACGACCAGGCCAACGCCGGCCTGCACTGCCTCGGACTTGACGACCTCACGCGCGCGCTCGCCGACGCCAAGCTGCACAAGTGTGTGAGTATCTAAATCATCACATCACCAACTCACTGTACGTCCCCACTGAGGGGCTCGTAGCCTACCCTTAGGGATGACTATAACATAGCCAACAACGCTAGCCTGCGGGTTGACTTCACAAATATCTTTGAATGTCCTTGCCGATATGCGTAGCACGGTTTTCCTTAATGGTAATAACGTCGAATAAATTATGTACATATGAAAATAAAAAATCGAAAACCACATTGTGTCATGGCGAGATTCGAGCCCAGGACCTGTAGGTTACAAGTCAAGTGCTCAAACTTCTGAGCCACCGACGCTCACGTATCTACCTACCTAACTGATTGAAGATTATTGAATTAATTGATTCAGGAGGGAAGCGTTTGTAACGAGTAAATCCATAAATATACCACAGATCACAGAATTGCCCTGAAATATTAAAAATCTTTAAGGTTTCGTAAATCATGAAATAGAAATAGCAATAATTTTATTGAAAAATAAGAAATTAACAAATACAATAACAGTTATACCAATTAAAAGATAAATACAAATTGTGGTTAATATACGATTAATCTAATTAATTATTAAATGACGTCATTATTTGTCTTTCTCCTTTCAAATTTCTTAATCCTTATTTGCTTCGATATCTCCAGGTGCTGCGTCGCGGCATCAAGGAGTATGAGGTGAACTTCGAGCAGCAGCACAGCAGGAAGCTGCAGAAGGACGACAAGAAGGGCAACGAGGAGGAATACATCCGCTACAAGGAGTTGAAGGCCAAGATCAAGCTTCTCAACGCACTTATAAACAAACAGAAGACCAAGGTTTAAACCAAACGGTTATTGTCCTTTGAATATCGCATACGATATATATGTCACATTTTCTTTAATAAAACAAGATATATATATGTCAGTAGTCGAATTCCAATTTGAATTAAATAATCAAGGAAAATGACTTTATTATTCTTTGTATACAATTAGAGTGCAAACAACATTTAGCATAAATAAGTCTTGTTTAGAATACATGAAAGATAATATCACTTTGTAGTAATTCGGTATATTTATTTAAATTATATTAATAAACAATTCCTTGGATATTCGAAACTATTATATCCAAATACGTTTTCTTATCACTAGAAATGACTAGTCAGTAAAACTATTCACGAAATTGTGTTTTTTCGGGTTACTTGAAATCCCGAAAAAATAAATTGAAAATCGTAACTGAAATTGGACGTGAACAAATAAGGTTCACTTTAAAATACTCGACGATGTAAAAAAACTTAAAATTCAAAATTTGAAACTATTCGTATCGTGCGGCAACTACATGGTGCATTTAGTACAAAACATAAATAATTATGTTCTTACTAAATGTTAGATCTAAGATTCTAGCGGAGTTTAATTTAATAATTATGTTGTTTAAGATATACTTAGTATACCGTAATGTGGTAAGATGTACGTTTTTACTCTCATTTTACTAATATTATAAATGCGATAGTTTAGATGGATGGATGTTAGAGTGTGTAGCCTAAACGGCTCAAGGGATCTCGATGAAACGTGACATAGATGTAAAAGATAGTCTGGAAGAACACATAGGCTACTCATTTTTTTTTAATTCCACGCAGACGGAGTCGTGGGCGAAAGCTAGTATATAATAATGTATACTTGAATTTGTCTTTAGACTAAAAGCTCTCAACGTATTGTTTAGGTCCCTTTATTGTACGCTTTGCTTGTTGATTTTTGTAATTTTTGATATTTTAATTATTTATTTCTTATTATATAAGTGGTTAATTCCATTAAATGAGTTATGTTTTGTTATTAATGTATTGGATCTAATCCTTTTTCTAAGTAAGAAATAAATTAAAATCAATTATCTAATTTAGTCATAACAATTACAAAGATTTTAATTTGCTAATTGTAATTGTTTAAAATTAAGTAATTATCCTTAAAGTAAACAGTTTTTAATAATGAATGAAATTAGATGTAAGGTAATTTCCAAAGAAATATCTTTAATTTCAAATGTATGTTAAATTAAGTGAATTTGCATAACTTTAAGACATTAACGTAAACACTGTTTAAAAACTTCAACATTTAAGAAACACATAACTTGAAGTAATTTTAAAATCACGAATTACAGAAAACATTTCCGTTTATTTGTATTTAAAACTTTTCAATAAATATAGTAAGTAAGTAAAAATTGTTACGCCTGAGGAAAAGTTTATGGAGCTTTTTTAATGCGCGTTAAGTTTATGTGCGTTGACTTATTAATAAAGACTCACTAATTATATGTCCCTTAGCGACGGTATATTGTTAAGTTTTCTTTAAACTTTATCTTTTATGGAATGTCGAAATACGTCATAGAAACGTTCAGGTACAGTGTACAAAAAAGTAACATAAAATCGAGACTAACGAAAGTTGGTAAAACTTGCTCTGTAAACAACTCGTAGTGTTTAAATTATTTAAACTTTCGTGAGACATTTTATAATTAATTATTTACGGCTTACTCACGTATACTTTTCTTTTTCCGTCGGTGGTTGGTGCCGTCACCGGAAAAAGAAAAGTATACGTGAGTAAGCCGTAAATAATTAATTATAACTCGTAGTGTATTCTAATTTGTATTTTCTTTTACATTTCCCATTTATCTTCTTAGAGAAGAAACATTGAGTTTGTATTTAAAATTTATATTATTAGAAATAAGGACTTACCTGTGATTTTATTGTATTGTCTTGTGTAACAAGATTTTATATATGATTTTTTATAGTTGTTACATTTTTAGTTTAACATAGTTTTTTTTAAAAGCTTATAACAAATATTCAGTGAAAATGAAAGAATTAAATACACAAGTGAGCAAGTGAAATCATTTACTAATTACCTTATTGACAATACAAAATGTTTAAGTAAATAATCAATCTGACATCAATTTACAGTGGCACATAGACAATTACATCCATTTTTGCGTATATTTCTTTAATTAATAAAACAGTTTGACCAAATATTGTAGCCTTTAAGTTGGCAGATAATTTAAAATATCCACAAAATTTTTGGCATCGAAACACATAGATAAAAGTTTTATGTATATCTGAAAAAACACAAATAACTTTGTTTTATTCAAGTGTTTCGACAATGGAAACACACTTTTAAAGATACATTACAAACATTACAATTTACTCTCGTTTCTTCCAGACAAAAATAAATATACAATTAGAGTGTTTAAAATACAAAAAGAACGTATAACGTAATTTATTTTTAACAAATTAACCGAAATAAAACAACGCATTGTATTTATCTTTTTTAAACTCTTTCCTATGAAATACCTGTATATTGATTTATTCTTTAAAAAAATCTTACTTCAAAAACTTTATATGTAAGTTATGTACCGACTTATCTCTGCAAAATGATTTTGTAATTCGATGAAAACGAAATGTTTTGCCTAACTTGTTTAAATATTAAAGAATAAGATGTAAACACATGTATTCTATAAAAATATCTTGTAATTCATATAATATGTTTAAAATAAATGAACCGAATATACACTTGTTTTTCATTTAGTTAGCGAAATAATTAATTTTTGAAAATTGTTTAGAAGTATTTGAACTGAAAAATAGAAAGGTATCGAGTGAAAATTATGAAGATTGAGATTTTCATTAGACGTTTTTAAATTAAACGTTTTACAAGCTTTCGCATAGGACTCCGCCCGCACAGTATAAAAAAGCAAAAGTGTAGCCTATGTGTTCTCCCAGACTATCTACTACATGTATGCCGAATTTAATAGAGATACGTTCAGCCGTTTAGACTACAAACTCTAGCAAACATCCATCCATCTAAACTTTTACATTTATAATAGTAGTATTACCACTATTATTTGCGATTCCTTTCTATGTTTATTAAATATGTTTTCTTTGTCAGTTCGTTGAAACAACTTGAGAATTATCTCAAACGATTTTAACACTAATTGACCTTTATAACGATCAAAATATGCAAACAGTATAAATATTTCCCAAGGTTAAGAGTTTATCTTTAATTTCTATGTCCATAGAGATGAAGAGTTCGGTTTGAATCATCATCATCCACTTGCCCTTATCCCTTATGGAGGGTCGGCACAGTATGTGCTGCTCTTCCATACATCTCTATCAGCCGTCATATCTGAATCCACTCCTTTCTTAAGCATATCCTCTTTCACACAATCCATCCATATTTTCTTCGGTCTTCCTCTTCCTTTGTAGCCATCCACATTCAATCTTAACACTTTCTGGTTTATGTCCCCATCATTTCGGTTTGAATCATAAAGACAATAAAAAATATTGTAAACAAGTTATAAATTTGAGTTTGTACTAAACTTATAAGTCAGTACACATATTTGTAGTTTAAATCATTTTCATATTAAGTATTGAAATTGTTGCATGCATTTCGATTATATTCCTTCTAACTGAAAGAGAATGCCTTGTTTAAATACAAGTATTATAACTAACTAGCTGTTCCCATGCGGCTTCATTCGCATAAAATTATGAAAATTTTATTTCATTGTTTACATTTGTCAAATTGTCAAGCAAATGTCAAAATGACATGACATGACCAACCTTAGCAATCTTTCTTGATGTTAGCAGCAACTTATGGTCTCTTTCCCACATTAGGATTTTTATACAAAATATTTACCACCTAAGTTTAATGGCGTGCAAATATATAGCCTAAAGCGTGATGTAAGTGTAGGGCTTTTTATTAAAAAAAGAATTGTTAAAAAATATGCTGTAATTGCTGACATCTTAGGCAACAAAGAAGTGTGTGTTTACGCTTTATTATATTAGTATAGATAGTATAGATAAGTTCTAAAAACGTTTTTAATTTCGTTTATCTTTAGTTTTGTCTTTACAAATTTAAATTTATCCATTGCTTGCAAGTGTAGGTTTGTTTTATTTATTTTAAGGTTAGAATTAATCTTACGTACGTCTAATTTATAGAATTAAAAAGAAGAACAAAGAATAATCATTTATTACTAAATTCCATATGTAACAATTATTACCTATCACATAATTAACAATGAATAATTAAATACTAAAATGTAAAGAAGTTACTTGCTAATCATCAGGATGTGGTGGAGGTGAGCTGCCGTAATTCTTCTCTAAAACATCTTCCGGTAGAAACGAGTGGAATATTCTCCAATCAGTATTGAATAAATTTGATAAATTCTCTTTAAACGCGTGTCTTGGGTTTTTAGCGCTTGTATCGGTTGTGTCAGTCACCTCCAGAATTTCCTGACTGAACATTTCGCTCGTTATCGACATATCTTTGTTCTCCTCGTTCAGCAGTCCTCGTATCTCAGCATCGACTGAATATAACATCACGAACAGAACACTGAACATAAATATCACTCGACGTTCCTTTTTTATTACGTCCATGTTAAATACACTTTGTCTTTGTGAGAATTAGCTATCTATGATATGTAATAAATGCCTACAAAACATATTATAAACGCACATGCACAGATTTGTGCCCGGCTCGCTTATCATTGCTTCCATTCGTGGTAAGTACGCAGTTACAAACTTACAGCGAAGCAGCCGGACAATTCGTCAACATTTGTGTACGTGAATATTGTTGTTTCTATTTTAGCTAATAGAGTGTAAGGGATGTCGATATTTATTAATACTTTTGTTAGTGCAGTGGAAGTCTTCACTCATACGAATGATAAGAACGTCTTAGCCTGTCGAATGTGATATGTGGTTCAAGTTATTAATTATGAATGAATAACAAATATAAGGAAAAGATCTAAGAATGTTGCTAAAAAATCTTGTAGAAGATTGTACAAAAGTATTTATTATGAAATTGGTAGATATATAATTTTTAAGTTATTTGAAATTAACTGTTACCCGCGATATAGTCTGCGTGGAATTAAACTAGTAACTAGTTCTAGACAATGTATCTTCTTCTTCGAGTGCCATCTCCTATCGGAGGTTGGCAACCATTAGGGCAACCTGAACCTTCGACACTGCTGCTCTAAATAAGGAACGTGTGCTTTTATTATACCACTGGCGCAGATTTTAAAGCCAAGATAATTAATAGATTTAAGACAATTCATGTTTGAACATCTGGAACTAGTATAGTATATAGACGTCAACATCTGTGTCAAATTTCATCAGTATTCGATAAGTCATTCGTAAAAACCTTCTAACAAAAATCCATCCATCCATCTAAACTTTTGGAATAATAATATTAAGTAAGTAACATATTCTTATCTGGTCAGTCCATCTCATAGGTGATCTTCCCCTAGGTCTGTTGCCCTCCAATGTAAGATTGAAAACATAATTTTTGTGAACAATTTTATTTGACAAAAGACACTTGGTATCACAAATTCAAGGGTTAAAAAGCGACAGAATTTCAGAAGAAATAAAAATAATCCGCTTAGTATAGCTGAATCTGTTTGGTGTAAATGTTTTGTTACAATGAGAACCCGATGAGCAGCAGATAACCCGCGCTATCATCCAACTTCGCGCTTGGGGTCAAATGATCCGCTCGTAACGTGCGGTCGTTAAGTTGCCATTGCGCCTGGTGAACTATTCTGAAATCAAACGACATTTTCTGCGTAGATTTCGATATAATATGTTTCTAAAACAAACTTAAATATCTATTTGCTTATGTTATAAAAAGATATTAGTTAAAATTCTTCAGATAACTAAATATTTTAACTAAGACAATATGTATCTCACATACCAGAGTATATGGTAAGTTATTTTGCACATTTTTAATATCTTATGGATGCTAAAATTCATTTCATGTGATATTTTATCGAACTCTTTCATAATAGTACTACTTATGTGATTCAATTGCAAGCATTATATATAGTGGTCTTAGGGCATTGTGTGGTTCAGTTGACATACGACTTCAGAGCAACGAACACACAGACAACATGATTTGGAAAATTGTTTTTGTCACCTTCATGGCCGCTGGTGAGTGTTTAAAATTAAAAATAATTACTATGTTTACTTCCAAATAAGAGAAATAGGCTTTTGAATGAATTTATTTTAATTAGAATTTTTTATGTGGATGACAAAGAAAATACGTTTTATCTCACTTCTTATTTTCTATGTATTATGTTGTACATAATATCAATAAATGTGTATATTTCAATCTATTAGTTCTATATTAAATTAAGAACGAGATTGAGAAGCCTTATATTGTTTTGATTATTTCGCATATACACGATACGATTGCGTGTGCTTGAAAAATGTAGGTATTTTTACAATTACATCTGTTCTGTGCTTTTAAAATCTAATTAAAGTTAATCTTTAAAAGAATATAGACCATTTCCAACCTTATAACCATGGTTTTTTGTTAATTAACGTTTTATTATGGAAATGTATACATACAAGTACTATTGAAATGGTACTCTAAACAATACCTCTTTTATAGAAAAAATCCCTAACCCTGCACATGTTTTTAACAATAATTACTGTCAATAAAATAGACATTTTCCGAACTATCTTTTAAATTTAAAATAAGACTAACTATAACTACCTACGAAAGTCTTAACACACATGACTTCTAATTAAAAACTTAAAAAAAAAAAACAAAGTAATAGACTAAAAACCGTAAATTCTAATTAATAACTTATAGGATCAATAGAAAATGAAACCTTTTCACTAACATAAGAGTAAATTTCGATTGAAGTACTTTTAAAATTTATTGTTGTCTTTGTTTGTTCAAAGAGATTAAAAATGGTATACGACGCCACCGCAGTAGAAACCCACTGTTAGAACACTTGAATACGTGATGATTTAACCATATGCACATATTAGATAACGCCTTATACAGTTGCAGTAATATATTTAAAATTCCTTGTTTGAGTTCTCTAGAGAATTGTAAAACTAGGAATGAAGCATTCCCATAATAGTATTGAATATGCATAATAAATAATCCATATTAGAAATGTCGTCAGTATTTTAATCTCTTGCTTTCAATTATTAACGCAAATGTCGATTTATTTAGAAACTAGCTTTCGCCCGCTACTCCGTCTCCGTGAATTAAAAAAAAAACAAAAGTAAGTACCATGTGTGATCTTTCAAACTACCCTCTACATTTATGCCAAATTTTATCAAGATCCCTCCAGCAATTAAGGCTAGAATATTTAACAAACATCCATCTAATTTAGGACATTTATAATATTAAGGACCTGTCCCCCAATTATCTGATAGAGGCTCAGATAGCTTAAAAGTGACGTCACTGTCAGAAAGGGATCAAAATCAGATATTTCTATCACATATTTTACACGTTGGATTGTTATGGATGTAAGTAAAATGAGTAAGATAAACTAAACAAAACTTTTAAAGATATAACCGACAACTCTTCTTCTCTTGCCGTAAGAGGATAAAAGGGACAGATGCTATACATGCAAGGAAGGTTGTTATGTAATAAAAGTGCATGAGCATTCTTTGTTCGGATTTTTGCATCTTAGTTTTCTATGTTGTATAAGATGACATGTAATATAAACGGTACCTCGGTTTATAAAGCATTGGGTCAAGATCAACTCAAGTCAGATTCAATCTTTTATAAAACTTGTTTACATTGACTAGGAAATCAATCGTTACGTAATACTTTCTTTTCTGTAGCTAGAATGAACTAGAAAACTCCCAACTTAAGCTGTAACAGGCTTACTAATAAACGAGGTATAAAGTTAAATTTGGAAATAAACTGAGTATAAGCAAATATTAGTAGAAATTTTGCTTATACTCAGTTTAATCCTAAGTTTTACTTTATACCGCGTTTATTGGTAAGGCTGTCAGTCTTAATTGAGTCAAACTTTTTAATTATAACTCTGCGTGTGTAGGAAAAATTGTAACTGTCAGTTGAATTGTATGGTTAAATTTTTGTCTACACACTCACATTTTTAATTGTTTAAGTTGGACGCTAAAACTGCATTTGTGAGGCTGACAGTGACACAAATGCGAAAGTTTAGATGGATGGATGTTTGTTAGAGCTTGTAGCCTAAACGACTGATCGGATTTCGATGAAATTTGTATGGATGTAGAGGATAGTCTGGAAGAACACATAGGCTACTCACTTTTGTTTTTTTTTAAATACACGCGGACGAAGTAGCGGGCGAAAGGTAGCAAAAAAAATAACAAACTACCAATTACTTTTATCAATCAAATAATTTAAAGTATACAATAGCTCAGTACTTGCAAATCTTTACAATAATGTGAATAAGGGCATTACCATCTCGTCCAATTGGACATTGCATTGAAAAATACGTATTTAAGATTTTAGACTTTAAACATGTCATGTTAAAGGTTATAATTCCGTGCGCGGATTTGGTACGTCCGTCGATTGCATGCGGCTGGGCACTAAACTCCTGCGTCCCCACATCCTGCTGCAGAACGAGTCATTTACCAATTTACGTCGTCAAAGCGACGGCCGCTAATGTACAGTCGAGCTATTTTAAAACTTATTTTCGAGGACCTTTTACGAGTTACAAGCGACGGGAATAAACAGGAAATCCAGTAGTTTGACACAATGAACTACGATGGTTCAACGAGAAGGGAACAATGTTAAGTAGATATTAAAAAAATACTTCGATTAAGACCATATTCCATAGCTTAAATCATTTTTCAACACCAACTGACCAATCACTAGGAACCTAAGTTCAATTACAATTTTGTCCTTGTAAAGCCGCGTGTTAATTATAAAGCATCCACAGAAACATGCAGATTTCGCGTTAACTTGAATGGAACTTTTCTTATCATAAACAAACTTATTAGTAGCAATGTTTAGTTATTTAGAATGTCATTTACAAGACACGATATGATTAATTGATATTTTGTTATCTAAACAGTTCATTGTGTTAATACCATTAAGAAAATTGTCTCAGAAACTCAGCAACATCCTTTTCTAAAAAAATACAAATCCAACTGAGTTTAGTACTTAACTAATTGCATTTTACAATTTAAATTTTCATGTATTTATAATTTTTACGGTAAAGAAAAATATGCAACCTGCTAATACTCGAATCAGTAAAAAAATTCAAAGATGGTAGTCCACCTAACTGCAGTAGGCCAGCGCGGTTGACTAATGTCCAATTCCCTCCTTTTTTTCTCACTGGCAAAATCCAATTACGCATTCCCCCCCACCCCTCCCCGTTACCAGGGATGTGGGACTCGCCAGCCAAGAAGAAGAGAATACCCATTAAAAATCCAGCGGTGTTACTTCTGTCCTCCGATAGCTGGGTCGCAGAAACGCTATGCCTAAAATGCCTAATTCCCTCCTAACTTAAGGTGGGCAACAAGCCCCTCGGCAGGGAAACTTAAGTATCATGTATTCAACAATGCATCATTGTTGTAATTTCCACAAATGTCAATCTCGAGAATTAAAGACAAAGGCAACAAAACGCTCCTCCGTTCGTTGTTCGCTTACATAAAATTGTTTAATTTAGATATGAAAGTGGTCTGAACAACAAGGTCATAGAGCATTGATAAAAGCTTTAATTAAAAACAAACATTTATTATTAGAATTGTAAACCAAGTAGGCATATTGCATTGATAACACTAACCGAATAATGATTTTTTTGTACATTTAAACAATATTATAATTCAACGCTAACAAACCTTAAATTCCACATCCGAAAAATTTATTTATTTTTGTAAAAAAGAATGTGAGAGATATTCGGAACATAGTGATAATAAAAATTAAAGATTATTTAATTATCGTCCTAATGCAGTATACTAATAAAGTCGTATTTTCTAGGTGTGCTGGCCGAGTACCAGTTGTCGGAGGGTCAGCGGCAGCAATACAGGGACATGCTCCGGCAGCAATGCAAGAAGAGCGGCAGCGAAGACAAAACTGACGACGTAGAGGTAACTAACTTTCACATTATCATCATATATCTTATCCTACTCCCATCGTCGGCGCTACAGGTTTTTGTCCTCCAAAAACTCTATTATACGTCATCTCAGTTATCACTTTCTTTTTGATCGTGTCACCTTTCACGCAATCCATCCATCTCTTTCTAGGTAACTTATTTTTACAAGCTGATTTAAAAAATACTAAATGCACGTACAATTATCATCATTTAATAGATTTGCGGGCGCGACTGTGCCACCACTACAAGCAAATTCTCTTGTACGTTGAAATGAGTCACGCATGTAACTTCCTTGTGGATATTTCATGTTACATTCTAAGAAATAACACTAATTGAATGGCCCATTCTATACACAGTCGGTTATTTTTCGATAGGTTTTGAATTGTAGTAAATACTAAAAAAGTTGCACTAACGTTTATTCAAAGACTATCAATTAAAAATTATTATTTATTTATTTATTTTTCTTCAGAAATCACTGAAGACTTTTGTGGAATGTGTGATGGGCTTAGTGGACGTAAACGTGCTGAAACGCGAGATTGAAGAGGCCAAGCCCAACGGTGCTCTCGATGAAGTCTTCAAGAAGTAAGTTCACAATAACTTATGCAACACGCAGAATAATCCGCGCTCTATGGCATTTGAAATAAACGCCTATTTTTTTGTTAACAGCAATGTTAAGGCTTAAAACTTTGCAATTTCTTCATCGCAGGTACTGCGCGAAGACGCCTCAGCTAAAGAGCTGTATCCACAGCCTGACCGCGGGCGTTGCGCCTTGTCTTGACCAGAAAAGCAGAGACGGCATCGGATCTGCCAACAACGCCACCGACCAGCTCATTGACTTCGTCTGCTACAAGGACGGTGACCGTATCGCTTGTGAGTCTCCCTTTTAAGAAATCTTACTAATTCTAACGCGAGTATAACTATTCGCGAACCTCGCGATTGTAAAAGGCCTTCAAATGCCGACTTTACTACTACTACACGTAATATTTACCAATATTGTAATTACAGTTTTTTAATTTAATTATTGACTTGATACTTTGTCAAATATAACCTAAATTTAAAATAGTTCATGATTACATAGAAGCATATGTCAAATTTCCAGTGTTCATCGCGGAACAAGGTCCGGAGTGTTTCCAACAGAAGGCTGGTGCTATCAGGCAGTGCGCTGAGAAGGCCAAGGGCAGTGTGGCGTCTATCGAGGCAGTTCAAATTCTGAGTCTTGGTGTAAGTTATTTTATAGCATAGAATGAAATAACCTTAAAAAAAGGTAACCTCAGGCTGAATGAATAACTACAGATATTTTAATTACAATCACATTTTTATTATAGACTAGCTTTCGCCCGCAACTCCATCCGCATGGAATTTAAAAAAAAAGAAATATCCCAATAAAGATAAAAAAGACTATCCTCTATGTCTATGCCAAATTTCATCGAGATCCGATCCGTTCAGTTTCGGTTACAAACTCGAAAATTCCATCAATCCATCTAAACTTTCGCATTTATAATATTAATATGTTTACTGTTGTGTTAGCATTTCTTTATTCCATGTTATTTTATATAGGACCAGTGTGGTAAATACGATGAATTGACAAGCTGTATAGTGAAAGCGCTGGAGCAATGCGAGACCCCGACGCCCGCCAACATGGCAGAGTCCTTATTCAGATACGTGCGTAACGGAACACCCTGTAAGGTGAGGATTCAACATTTACAGCAGGCTCACACCTTTGACTTCAGTCCTAGATAGTTTACTAGACAACTGTTGTGCGATTGTCGCTTATTCAGTAGTGCTTTTAACTGTTTAGTTGCACGATTAAAAATCGAATAGTGTGTGCACCTCCACATAAGGTCATAGGAATCAAAGCCAAACTAAACAGTTTTGCGACACAACTTCAAGACTCTTAAGGGTTTTATTAAAACTGTGATACTAGTATTTTCTTTTGGTAACAATTTTAGTAACACTAGTTGCTGTACCAGGTCCTTTCGACCGGGCAACCACGCCGACTGTTTATGAATCGGTAGTCCTTTTTTTAGTATAAAAAGTTAAAGTCAAGTATTTATTTGTTAATTTTTTTTATTTTAATTTCAGGGCCACTGAAGTCCAGAAGTCTGAAACGCTGTTAGTAAAACCATTTATCTCAATAAAGGCTTTAGTGTACGATTTGTTTAATTTACTCTAGATATATTTGAAACATCTTTTCTTACTTATCTTACTACTAGCTGTTGCCCTGCGGCTTCATCCGCATAAAATTATGAAAATTTTATGTTATTATTTACATTTGTCAAATTATAAATAGCATATGTCAAAATAACATGACAAACCTTGGCAGTCTTTCTTGATGTTGGCAGCAACTTATGGTCTCTTTCCCACATTAGGGTTTGTATCCAAAATATTTACCCCTAAGTTTAATGGCGTGAAAATTTATAGCCTAAAGCGTGACGTAAGCGTAGGGCTTTTTATTATAAAAAGAATGATTGAAAAATATGCAGTAATTGCTGACATCTTAGGCAACAAAGTGTATGTTTTATTATAATAGTATAGACAGTATTAGTTTATAAATGCGAAAGTTTAGATGGATGGATGTTTGTTAGACTTGTAGCCTAAACAGCTGAACGGATTTGGATGAAATTTAGTAAAGGATTGTCTAGAACTCATAGGCTACCCACTTTAATCTTTTTAATTCCACGAGGACGAATTCGCGAGCGAAGCTAGTTTATACAATTTTTTTGCCTAAATGTAGAATAATATGGAAGAACACAGACTACTAAATTTTAGTAGTTTCATCACAAGAAATGTTTATAAATGAAAATACCAATATACACCACCATAAATATATTTCTGGAAATGTCCATTTAATATTTATCACAAAGCGACACATATCACAAACATAATGTGGCTTAAATACTACAAGCTGGGAACATATTGAGCCATTTAGTATACATTTAATGTTTTTTAAACAGTAGAAAAAAAAATCATAAAAAATTAGAGGTTTTCAATTTACATTAACTAAAGATAAATTACTTGATCATTTTATGATTAAAAGTTTAACTTACACAATTTTTTAAACAGATTTTTTTTTTATAATATAAAGTGGCAAACGAGTAAGCGGCCGCCTGAATCCACCAAAATGGCGAAGCGACCGCTGCCCAGACATCCGCAATTGCAGATGCGTTGTCTACCCTTAACCGACGGAGGAGGAGACGCACATAAAAAGGATATTTCCCCTTCCTATGCATCTCCTCCACTGTCAAATCCACTTCCCCTTCCCATCCTCTCCTTGTAAGAAAAGGGTGGTAGAGAGAAATCGACTGAAATTAGGCCTCCGCTGTTGTATATAGTTTTCTAAAATTACTGTTAATTATCAGCAAAATTAATTTGTTTAGCAAATAAAAGAAATTTAAATGGACTTTTTTACATAATCTATACTAACATAAAGAGGAATGATTTGAATTTTTTAATATCGAAATAACTCAAAAACTGGCCGATTACGAAGACTATTACAAAGCTACGTCATCAGTAACAGGCTATACTTTTTATTATTCTTCAATTTAACGCGGTCGAAGTCGCGAGCAACAGCTAGTATAATCATGTAATTAGTATTACATACTTATAAATTACCATAGATGAAATAAATCCATTTCTTACTATCGCATTTATTTTGCTAATCATACGATGTAAATTGATTATCAGTAACTAGGGGGATATAAGCAAAGGTGAGCAACATTTTGAATATTTTTATATAAGTTTTAACTTTAAAAAATCCAAACATATAATAAAATTGGTTTAATTTTTCATTATCAAGTCAAATTTGAAATTACTAGAAGGCATAGGAAACATTAACAGGAAACAATCTTTTTTTTTTAATATTACAATTCTAAAATGGCCAATATTATCCTTATTTAATCATTAAATCCTCTTAAAATTGAAATAATTATTTTCCCTATGTTACCTATTAAAAGATTAAAAACTAAACAAGTCATGGAATAGATTTGTTATGTATAATTAAAATAAATTTACAAAAATATGTAATTTTTCATTCATATTAATAAATAGTTAAAAAAAAATGAAAAATTTAGACATATAAAACAAACATAATTTATTTTTTTGTTCATTTTACGTTATTATGTTAATTAACAAAAGAAACTTCAAAATGAACACTTATTCGTTAAACAAATGACCCGCACTTTCTTATATTAAAATAGCTCCTTGAAGCGTTATAACGTCTGTTTAAATAACTGCTTTATTAAGGAGGGCAAATCCTACCAAATCTACCATTTTAAACATGTGTTGCCAGTACAAAAATACAACATTAAGGGCCTGTCTCACCAATTTCTAAATTGTCTGATAACAATCCAACGTTTCAAAAATGTGATGGAAATATCGGATTTTCTTTCCTTATCTGACGGTGACGTAATTTATAAGCTATCTGAGCCTCTATCAGCCAGTTGTGGGACAAGCCCTAAAAGATTTACTAATGTTGCAATCAAGCATAACCAATTTTTAGTTTTGGAATTGTTAGTATCAAAATACCAAAGTATAAAGTGTAGGTACATTTTACTGGCAATACTAAAAATCTTTAAATACCGAGGCTACCTTCATATTTGGCACAATGTTTATTAAATATTATTTTTTCTTTTGCCGACAAAGCTTGGAATTACCAAAAAAATGTTGCAATTTTTACATATCAGAAGATTTTTAATAAAAAAACGAAGTGTAATTTTTTTCTTTCAAATGATGTCAATGTTTGGTAGGAATGCCCTCATAATTTATTCTACAGTATTGGATGGAAGCGAATATTTTGGCAAAGTATTGATAAATTCATGATATAAGGACGATATGTTACCACGATTTGGCTTAGGCCCTAAATATATTGTTTACATAAAAATCTTTGATTATGTCATGTCATTATAAATTATACGAATTTGTCTTCCTAAAGTATACATTAGAGTATTTTTAGCTTTTACATCATAGAAATAAATTCAAAAAAATTGATCTTTGAACTTGATAAAAGTATTTTTTGATTTTTAAAAAATTATTATGCTCTTGTACTAAATATGTAAAAATAAAATTAAAATATCAATATAGGTTCTTTAAGGTTTTAAATGTACTACATTTTTATTGAGTACTTTCTAATTAGAACGTACATTAAAAATCCAACAAACAAAAAAAATACTTCAAAAGGAACAAAAAATCTAAAAAAAAGAAAGCCTGTTTAATTTACATCAAATATTTCGTTGTACTCTTAAAATACGTTAAACACTAGTTCTAAAAACATCAAAAGCTGGTCACACCTAAAGCAGACTACAGTTGTCCAAGTACCGGATGTTTCCCGTTCGGCCCTAAGCTTTTTTTCTATTGGACCGTTCGAGTAAATAGTATTAATGGGTTTTAGACATTGGGTAAATTATCCCAGTCCTACATTTCAAATGACATGACATATAATAGATTTAAACGAGAATTCTAGCAGCAATGGCCGCCACGATTGTGAGAGAGGCAACACCCACTCGACTACCAGAGTTCGGCTTCTTTGTCTCCTGAAAATTTTAAAATACCATTTGAAGAATTTATTTCGGTTACACATGTTAATTAAATAAAAAATCAAAAAAAGTCTATACTAATCACTCATAGAAAAGTTTATACACGTTAACTACTGAATGCATGTAACTATGAAAACACTAAACTACAAATATAAGACAAAAATACAGAGAGTAAGGAAAAAAGCCATCTTAATAAATCACATAAAACATTTTAAACATGCTTAACCTAAAGTTATTTAAACTCTACTTTTAAACAAATATCGGTTAAGTTTTCTGCAAATGCATTTTTCCTGTTTGCAGATAAAGAAATTGCAAATAAGGTAAACAAAATATCGGAAGGCACTAAATAAACTTACAGCACTTTGGTTACTTTGAGTGCCTTCCATATCCTCGTCATCCTGTTGTTAAAAAAAAATATTTTCATTATATTCAAGAAAAATTTAGTAAAATGCATCGCATATTCTTCTAACGCGACTCACACTGGTGTTATCCCTATTAAAAAACTTTCTACCATACTCAGAACTCGCTGAGGGGTAATTAAAGGACTGTGAGTGTGTTATCACTGAGGGATACTTACCGGCATCTCTTTACAGGGCAGCGATTTCCTTGCGAATTTGAACAGAGACTCTATGATATTGGCGGAAGTTGGCACCGCACACGTCTCTAAAGCTGCCACCACACAGCTCTGCGCTTTCGTTAATTGGTTGCATTCTTTTTCCTGATAAATAGAAGAGAGGTAAAGAAAACAGCATGGGTTTGAAAGGTACTAACTGGGAAAGATTTTTATTTAACATTTTCACGGATGGGACCTAAATAAGGTTATGTAGACCGTAAACCTATAGCGACCCTATCTGTCCAAACACCTGGGAAGTCACAGTATTGGAGCCTTAGACGCATCTCTTTACCTGCCACTATATAAAATGGTGTTTTACTTTTGTTATTTTTTCTTTAAAAAAAACCAAATCAAGTAAAATCGGTATAAAAATTTAACAGCGGTTCCTATGTGTTTATGGGTGTCACTTACCCCAAACTTGATCTCTGGTATTTCATCGGGAATTTTGTCGAAGCTCGGTTTACCGATGAACGTGTTGTTCAAGCACTCGTTGATCATAGCACTCTTCTCCTGTAGACATTCGGGTCCCTTTTCCGCGATGAAAACTGAAATATATTCTTTTCTAAAATATCTACCTTGTTTAGTTTTGAAATGTCAACATTATGTAAAAATTGACAATATGACATTTAAGTATTAAAAACATCAATAATAGTTCCCGTGCGACTTCATCCGCATAAAATTATGAAAATTTTATTTTATTGTTTACATTTGTCAAATCAATTACAAATGTCAAAATGACATGGCATGATGACAACCTTGCTTCCTTGATGTCGGCAGCAACTTATGATCTCTTTCCCGCATTCGGGTTTTTATCTCAAATATTTACCCCTTAAGTTTAATGGTATTTGCTGACATCTTAGGCAACAAAGAAGTGTGTGTTTACGCTTTATTATAATAGTATAGGTATAGATGTAAAATTATATCACTAAAGAAACTTTTAGTCTGTGTCGCTTAAACTATATTATTACAGTCTAACAACCGAATCCAGCAGTGGATTGTAACTGTTTACTGTAATACACTAATATGCACTGGAATGCAAAGCATATTCGTGTTGGTTTACAATTTTCGAACTCTAATCCATGATTGGACTTGAATAATTCGCGTTTATCATTGGGTGATATTTCAAACGGTACCATGTTCTTATAAGAATCGAGATACATATTATGATTTACACACACAAATCTCCATACATACAAACATAAAGTTACATACGAGCGATCCTGTCTCCATCCTTAAAGCAGATGAACTCGGCGAGCTGATGCGTCATGTTGACAAACGGCGGTACATGCTGCTGCTCCTCAGCAGTAAGACACGTCTCCAACACCTCAGTCAGGTTGTGGAAACAGTTAAGGAGCACCGGACGCTTGTCGCAGTACCTTTTAACATAGTAACGTTATCATCTTTGGTAATCGTCTCAAACACGTGATCTTATTACAAGTTGTCAAAAATCTCTTGCAGATTTTTCGATTCTATAGAGGGAGGACAGCTACCGCTCCCTGTAATACCCATGCTCTTTTCATTCTTTAAATGTATCCCTTCCCTTTCTATCCGCTTTAATATGGAAAACAAATAAAAATTTGATAAAGGAATAACAAAACCTATTTTTTCAATGTTGACATTAATGTGTGATGCATTTATGTTTTTATAAAGCGAAATAACCAAAGACAATTCATCATTTATTTAACTCTTAACACTATCCATGTTTTCATACAAAAAATATAATAATGTTAATTATGATAATCTTAATAATAGAACAATCCAAATAATGATATCATGTTACTAAACCGATTAAAATATATTATTCTTTCGTAGTAATTATCATTGTTTACGTTGAGCTTGTTTTCAATGTCCCACGATATCGTGCAATACATCACGTCATTTTGTTGATAATGTATTAAAATAAAGACAAAGGAATGTGGTCTTGAAGGATGAAATTACAAAAGGTATGTACGAATTTAAAAAAAAATCCATAGCCATTACCAGGGTTAAATTATTACTAATGTCACTATCTCACTAATATCATAAAAGCGAAAGTTTAGATGGATGGATGTTTGTCAGAGATTGTTGCCTAAACGGCAGACCGGATCTCTATGAAATTTGGCATATATGTAGAGGATAGTATGGAGGAACACATAGGCTACCATATTTTATTTCTTTTAATTCCACGGACGGAGTCGCGGGCAGAAACTAAAATTTTCATATTTCATAAACTATTCTATACAAACGTAGTGATTTTAGACTGGGTAATTGTAATTTAATTTCATCCTTACTTAAAGGTCATTAAAGGCCATACTTATGGTCGCTAAAGTCCTTTAGTGTACATTTCTGAGACTAGTGATAAGTAAATTTATTCCACTCTAAATAGCTATCATAACAAAATAGGATGAATTTAATATGCACATCTCTTGTATGTACGTAGATATATAAGGTCGACGACGTACGACCGCGTTGGGGCCGATGCCCTCAAACTAAACAACGGTGTCAAATTTCGCAATTACTTCATAGTTGGCGCTATTAATATATTTGGTAATAAATCATTAAAACGGTTATTAATAACATCATGTCATCAAGCTTTTTCTTTAAAAGAAAAATGCGTTTAAAATCAACAAACTTTGTTTAGTTTCCTAAATGTTAGTCAAACAATAATGGTTGTATTTACTTACTTTTTGAAAACTTCATCAACCCTGCCGTCAGGTTTAGCCTTTTCTATTTCCTCATTGAGGGTTGAGAAGTTAATCAAGTCTTGGACACAAGTCGTGAAACTCTTCACAGCTCCCTGAAAACAAAGTAACATTTACGACAAAAACAAAGACATTCAAAATATTCACACTAACACTTTATGAATCTTTGATATCTAAAATAAATTATTACTACTATCTTTCGCCCGCGACTCCGTTCGCGTGGGATTGAAACAAAACTGAGTAGCTTATGTGTTCTTCCAAACTATCTTCTACAGCTATGCCAAAATTCATATAAATCCGTCCAGTCGTTTAGGCTACAAACTCTAACAAACATCCATCCATCTAAACTTTCGCATTTATAATATTAGTTAGAAGTAAGATTGTATCAGTAGACAGGATAACATAAAAATTGCCTTATTACTACACTAGCTGTTACTCGCGTCTTCGTCCGCGCGAAAATATAAATTGTAATAAATATAATCTGTTACAGTGATAGCTATCTATTAGTGAAAGAATTTTTGAAAGCGACAAAGTAGTTTTTGCGTTATTACAAAACATACAAATATACAAATCATTTCTCTTTATAATATTAGTATAGAAGTATAGATGACATAAATGCAATATTATTTATCTATACAAATATTAGGTACATTGATTTTTTTAGGTACATATATTTAATAATTAATGTTTAATTCTCGAGTACTACTAATTAAAAATTGTTTTATCCTCAAAATTGTTTTTTAAAACCGACTGGCAAGTCCGAGTGGAGGATAAAGCTTATATTCCAGGAATCATGTCTAAAAATTACTGGCTATATCAATTGGATACTTAATTAACATGAACCTTATTATTAACGTTAATTAAGAAAAATAACAAATAAACATTATGATTATTGTCTACAAATTTATATTATACAAAGGAAACAACGAAAAACTAATCTACATATACATAACTAATTAAAAACACAGTGGTCGCACATTGGTCAAAATTGACTGTACTGTGACTGTAGTTTATAATAAAACTAGCTTTCGCCCGTGACTCCGTCCGCGTGGAGTAAAAAAAAACAAAGTGAAGCCAATGTGTTCTTCCAGACTATCCTCTACATATATGCCAAATTTCATCGATGATGATCTAATCAAGGCCATTCAATTTGACGTATTTTGATGACGTAGACATCGCCTTTTATTTCTAACTTAGTATTGCACCTTCAGATTCTGAAAACGTTTTTGGGACGAATTCAAGGTTTTATTTTTAATAGAGAACATTCGTTTCCTGGCCACAACAACGTGGGAATGTAAATTGTCTCGTATACTCTATTCACAAATTAAATCCCCAATGTCCTGTATTGTAACGAGCACAAAGACATTGTTATCTCAATTATTTCAAGGAAATGGAAGAAGATAGAACTACTTATATTGATAACTTGTAGCGAGCGCACACCTCTGACTAAACTATTGCACAACTGTTCGTTTGTCGATTGTTTCGTCAATCGCACCTCCATATAACCTAGGAATCAAAGCGCGAAACGGTCGTGCGATAGTTTAGTCCAAAGTGTGAGCACTCTTACAAGATTCCATTCTTTATCTTCTTTATCTCTTACGCAGTTTTAATTTGTTCAAGTTAATTTACTTACATACATTCCATAGTTTGTATGGTTTCTACAATTGCTAATGCTTAGTATTGTTTTACAATGGCAATAAGATGACAGGAAGGTCAAGGTATGATTGTGAAAGAATTTTAATAAGGAATAAGAATTTTAATAAGTCTTACTAAGGATTAAAAACAATAGACAATTCCATCATTATAACATCATGTTTCCATTTCCGATAATAGACTTAACCCTTGAAAGCTTGATATTTTAAATAGACTTATAGTGTACCCTTTATAGTGTTTTTTATTTTATTAAATTCGTCCTCCAAATAACTATCATCCGTCATCACAGTCGTCACCCCCTACTTGATCATGTCACCTTTCACGCAATCCATCCATCTCTTTTTAGGTCTACCTGTACCGATGTACCCCTCCACATTCATAACTAACGTCCTTCTTGTTACATGCGATTCATCCCTTCTACAAACATAACCATATCACGCTAACCTTTTACTCCTTATTTTTCCTACTAATCCTACCTTTCCTATTAATGTTATAAATTTAGATGGATGGATCTTTGTTAGAGTTTGTAGCCTTAACTGCTAAACGGATCCCAATGATAATAATAAAATTGGTATTTAGATATATGATGAGTAATTAGGTGAAACATGTATCGTTATCAGACGGCCGTATCGCAACGGCCACATCCTACACTCGGACATTCGAGGTCGCGACCAATACAAAAGATTATTAAAAATATTGTAATAAATACACAATTTAGTTATTATGACTCACTGACAGGAATTTCCATTGAAAAAAAAGGTGAACATAATGTATAAATTCAGTAAATATATCCTCTTAGTTACGTACATAACATGTCTACTCTTCAATTTTATGCAAATCAGAATATATGTTAGGAGTTTTATTTCCTAAAAGTGACATCGTGTGGGTTTAAATTTAAACGAAATATAAATAAGAAAATTAATTCACTTATGTTCTACTAGCTTTCGCCCGCGATTCCGTCCGCTTGGAATTAAAAAACTAGAGTGAGTAGCCTATGTGACCATCCTTTACATCTATGCCAAATTTCATCGAAATCCGTTCAGCCGTTTAGGCTACAAACTCCAACGAAAATCCATCGATCCATCTAAACTTTCGCATTTATAATATTAGTATGAAGTATTATAGAATTCGACAAGATATCTATATAAAATATTCTTACATATTTGCACATGATGACACATCTGGGTGTGACGTAAAAACTCAAAAACAAAAGCAACGCGACAAAGAATTGTAGGTTGCTTTGATCATTTTAAAGTGAAACGTGAATAAAACTACGAAACTAGACCTCGGAAAAACTTAAGTCAGCTACACACCTTATTTAATCTGAATTTAATATGTACAGTTTAATCTGATGTGTGTAGGTAACATAATTACTGTGTCTAAACTCAATTTTGCCTCCACGTACAGTTCAACTGTTTATTTAAAACTAAAGGTGTGTAGCGGGCTTTATAATAAACATCAAAAACCTACAAGAAACATCAAGTTTCGAATGGTAACCTCTACGAATTCTACAATTCTTCTCATAAAAACTTGTTATTTCATGGTACTTGCCTTTTATTAGTGTATTTTTTGGGCATATCTGTACTTGTATGTAAATGGCAGTACGTACATCAAGTAAAAAAGAACACGTCAACATTGAGACGAAGTCCAAAACCGAAGGCACCGTGGTCCTTAAACTTTATACTAATTAATTATTCGGAAATAAAACGAATGTGAAGGTAAGAGGTAAAATGTCGACCATAATCGAATTGATATTCCGGATACTTGGTAATGTTAGCTTTTTAACTATTTTGATGTATTTTGTATTTTTGAAGGTTATTTAGTCTGTGCTATAAATCAATACCATTTATCCTTATTTTTTTCCTTTTTAATTGTAATTGTGATCGAACACATTATTTAAATATTTATGTCATGGTTTTAAAATGTCGGAATTCTACTTGTCATGTTAATAATCGGACAGCAGTCAGATGTCGGAAATAAGGGTTTTGCATTTGGCTCGACGACACGACGGCCATATTGGTAGGGGCGAGCGTGATACATGGAAAAACGGTGTTGTTGGTAAGGTTATTTCGTGCAAATCGGAAAAAACATAAGAGGTAAAGAAGACTATATTTTATTATTGCATAACATGGCTGTGACGCCCATAGTAAGCTGATTTCAATATCCGGGCCGAGTTAAATCATCTTCCAGATAACAAACCCGTTTGACCCTTTACATTAGACACGATGAATCTAAGCCTAAATGTCATCTATATAGATTACTTGCTATTGCTCGCCACTTCGCGAGTGTGAAATTTAAAAATATAGCCTATGTTACTTACTGATAACGTATATTTTCAACGACGAAAGAATTTTTGAAATCATCCCAGTAGTTTTTGAGTTATTTTAATACATACAAAAATACAAAACTTTCTTCTTATATATAGAAAAATAAGCAGATTAGTGTATTTATTACAATGACAAACGACGAATTCTTGAACTAAAATTTTAACTAAAATTACCTATTGTAAAAAAACTACCACAAAAACAGCTAGTTAATGGTGACTACAATAGGCTCATCTAGTATAGGTCGTAGCTACAAAGAATAATAGAATGAAGCCAAATCTATATTATAATAGAGGTGATTCAACTTCGACTACGGTACGAAACGAACGATTATTTATAAAATCAATTGTTAAAGAGGGATATATTAATAACTTGTATAAGTCTATTCAAATATCTTGACAGCTTATGTACGCGATACTGTGCAACACATACCTATTCCGTCACATTTAAAATTACGTTAGCAGATTGGTACGCTGTTCCGAGCAGCCAAGATATATGACAACCACTATATAAAAGCCACATGCATAATGTATATGTAAACACGTCAGAAACATGCGCATTTTAAATGAAGATAAAAAATTCGCCTTTAGACTATGACCTTCCTTTGTTGTATACTAACACTCGTGTATTGTACTGTTACTACTGGCTGACTAACCCCTGACAAAAGCAGATTTAAAAAATAATTCAGGACCCCAATACTTTTTCGTCTATGTCCCGAAATAAATCAAATCCCTCAGTCATCTTAAAAATTTGAATATCATAATATTCGCGTGGTATTACAAAAAGCAAAAGTAGCCTATGGGTTCTTCCAGACTATCCTCTACATCTATGCCAAATATCATAGAGATCTGCTCAGTAATTTAGCATATCAACTCTAACAAACATACATCCATCTAAACTTTCGCGTTTATAATTTTAATAAGAGTAAGATAGGATGAAATGGCGCCAATCAAAGCTATGTAATTAAACGGAAGAATTATAAAGTACATAATTATTTCATTAATATAACACATTTCCAATGTACACAAGGCAAGGTCAATAACAAGGCAATTAACCTAACTACGTATCGTAACTTAATACGAGTGGGCTAACTTGTTCATCGCAAAAACAACTTATAATCCATATAATACTTAAGTGTATGCAAAGAACTGGTAAGTCCGAAAAAAATCATATATAAATATACAAACACTAATAATAAAGTATCTTAACATATAATAAAATTGGAGTATCTGTATATAAAATAAAAAAAAAGTATTTCGTAAAATGATGTATTCGCGTTGCTGATACCGAAGAACCAATCATTCTAACATTATAAATGAATGGATTGATGTGGCAATAATATATCAGGCATAGGCATTGCGAGCGTAAAATCTGGAACACAATCCAGAGTAGATCCAGGGGAAAGCTTCCATTACATGGTTTTTCTATGTTTTTTTTTTTATATTTTCTTAAGCTGGATTTTCTAAGGTAGGTCCACTTACACACTCATGATGTCCACAAACAGGAACTTTACAGTAAGAAAATCATACTGATTTCAAAACCATTTATTAACAGCATGAGGAAATAAGATCTTGTCAGATCAGGTTTCGTTTTCTACTTGGTAATGACTCACACCTGAGATTCACTAGAGTATTCAAAAGAATCTTTTATCACTTTATTTAGTTATGACTTTCTCAACACCAAAGATTGAATAATCTTCTTTGCATTATAAAAACAATCTTATTAAGATTATGTAGATTTTGTTTTAAATGTGCTAATCACATACTCAATTATAGTATTTTTTTTTTAATAACATAAGGTGGCAAACTAAACTAGACTAGAATCCGCCAAAATGGCGAAGCGACTACGGCCCATAGACATCTGCAATTGCAGATGCGTTGCCTACCCTTATACGACGGAGGAGGAGACGCATAAAGAGGATATTTCCCCTTCATATGCATCTCCTCCACCGTCAAATCCACTTCCCAACCTCTCTTTATAAGAAAAGGGTGGTAAAGATAAAGGGACTGAAATTAGGCCTCCGGGACCACACTCATCAGACGAAACACGGAATTGCCTCCATTTCACGCCTGTCTTCTGTGTGGTTGTGGTATTACACTGGGTGTACCGGCCCATTTGTGCTAAGATGTTACAGCGGGCCCTACCACGGTTAAAATTGATTTAATTATGCATTTTATAGTCTAATCATTTAACTAACTTACAGATTAAAGTTTTTTCTAGTAGAAGGGGGCTATAATTTCCTCAAACCATAACTAATATAAAATTACTTCAATTACTTTAATTGTACAGACTTTAAATAAAATATTACTAAGGCTGATTTCCTTATAATAACAATCTATGTATTATTATATATTAGCTTTACACCTAATGATTTATTTGATATCTCATATGGCAAAATTCAACAACTTATAACAACAATAACAAATAAGGCATATAATATAGTATATTCTTAAATTATTTAAACTTTCATAAGACATTTTTCTAATTATTTATGATTATTTCTCACATCTTTATTTTTGGTGCTTTTTTTGTCCCTTAACCGAAAAATAGACATGAGTAATAGCCATAAAATAGTAAGTTGTAGGATATTGTATAGTATTGGCCTCACCTCAAGATTAGTGTATGCATCAGGCCCACCATTGTTTTCACATTTTTCTTTCAATTTTCTAGTTGTCTTATTTTGAATATCTTGTATTTGTGTATTATTAACTAGATCTTGAATGTCTGCTGGGAGGGCTTGTAATGCATCACTCGCTGAAGGATCTATCTGAGCAAACACCGCTCCTAAAACAATTAGAAATTATTTTTTGTAATTGATAATAATTTTACATATGATTTATATTGGTATAAATGGAAAGGTAATACATTAGCATATCATGATTCATTTTCATTAAATTAATTTTAAACAATATGACACAATCTTTTCTTCATTGTTGTAAAGTTTTTTTTTTTTTACAAATTTGCTTTATACTTTCCCATACTAACAGGTACATTCACACTTGCCATTTTTTATAAAAATCAAATTTTATAATAGAGAATGGACTAAATTATATTTATAACACTGAACACACCTTTTTAGTTCATTTTTGTGATTTTATTTAACTAACCTAAAAGTTTGTTTTCAATTCAATTTAAATTGCTTCAAAAATAGCCTGCTTAATCTTTTCATTTTGGTTTTAATATGATTTAAGATGTTGTAAACCTAATCTAACCCGTTTTTTTTATTTCATTTAGAATGTTACGTAAATTATTATTTATAATATGATCTATTACGTATGAACAAACACTAGATAAAACGCAAATTAAAACAATCAACATCATAAGATACATTAGAGTATTTTTGTAGTATTTAATGTAAAAACTAAGAGCAGGAAACATTCCAAATTATAGCAAATTCAATTATTATTAAAGAAAATGACATGGGAGGGTATCTAGACATATGTTATTTTTTAAAAACTGACCTGTATCGTAAGTCGTATATCTCAATATAGTTTTTAAAGAATACATATGAATGAGATGCTGATAGACAAATATAAAATGCTTATCAAACTTACCAATGCAAATGGTACAAATAATGAGTTGAATACCCATTTTCTTATACATTTAGACAATTTATTCTCTCTTCAGATATTTGTCAACAGAATCAATTGAAGTATAAAATCCTGTGAATGACGTTCAGTACGGCAGTCGCCTTCCGTTAACTTAATCCACCAAGATTATCAAAAACACTGTTTTCACTGAATATCTGCAGATTAGCAGCAGTAGACACAAAAACCGAACCGAACTGAAGCCAAATACGAGAACGGAATGTGAGAAACGAGAATGCGATTGCGATTGATTGCTAGACGTGTGTAAATCAGCTTTGAAACGGTTCAACAGATCAGCTCACGTAGTCTTAAAACGTTGAGCTGTTGCTCAACAAAATTAGCTCACTGCAATATAATACATCTATGAGAGCCGACGAGTCGAGTCGCCTAATGACACGTAGCTCACGCGAACCATACCTCTATATAGGTACAAACTGGGTTGATCTGAGAGCCGCGGCTCTCAGATCAACCCTTTACCGGCTAGCCGGTAAACTAATCTTTTATACCTGTGTGAATCATGAGCTGATCTGCAGGTCATTAATTTAAGTCGAGCATGACTATCGATTACTTTTGCCTTGCTGTCTCCTGATTGGCACTTGGCTTTGGCTTGGACTTTGCATTGACAGTGACAGATACTGGCAGTGTCACTTAGCACCGAATACACAGAGTATTAAAATTCTAAATCCTTTTTTCTGACCCAATGGTCATTAATCAAATTGAAATAACATAGCTTACCACGCCCCCTCTTCGTATCAAAAAACTATCACATAATCATTTCATATCATTGTCCTATTGACATGGCCTGGCGATCAGCTCAAATTCAAGTAAGTCAAACAGTCAAACTAAATCATGATAGCTCACTAGCGCTTATATACAATACCTTTTCACACGTTTGTAAAAATGTGTGCATTTTTACAACAGTGTGATAAGGTATTGTATTGTCATATTGGTATGGCCAGTCGATGATGGCTGATGAGGGGGAAGGAAGTTCATAGGATGATCGAGGTCTAGTGAGCTGTAATATTTTAGTTCACTTATGCCCACCGGGTCACATTACTTGACGTTCACTACCTACAATTTAGCAAGCGAAAAAAAAAATCTCCACAGATATGTTTTTGTCCTATTCTGTCGAGCCAAATAAATAAACCTCATATGAGGCTTCATCATGTGACATAGTCCATTGTCAAGAAGAAACTTCAATATGTCATCAAATGTAAAGTTATATTTCAAAGTCATACAGTTGTGTTATTATTATTCGAGGCTAAAAATTTCAGTATGTGTAATAATTTTAACAATATCAACGGCTAAATTTTGATTCGCAAAATGTTTGTTAAACCAATACTCGTCAGAAATCGAAAGAATTATCTCTCTTAATAATAAGAAGTGTTTAATTTCTTTACAGTATGAAAAAAAAATTGATACCACTATTAAGTTACGATGGTAAATTTAAAGTTTCTTAGTAAAATGCAAGTAAGTTCCGATAAACAACTTCCGGGCCTAGTAAAATCCAACGGGAACGGCGATTTTATAGATTGTTGTTATGAGGAGCGAACTAATTGTGGTTCATTAACAAAAAGAAGACATTCAGAAAATGTTCTGTGTGGATGTCAGAATGTGAGAAAATGTAATAATGAAATAAAGGATGTGAAGTTGTGTTATAAACAGTCGCAACAACTAACACAAAACACACTTGATAACAGATCTCAAGTATCTGCATTAGTAACCACTACGAGTCCAGACAATGACGTCGAAATTAAATACGTAACACGTATTGATTCAGCTAGCAAATACGCATTGAAAAGATCGAAAAATATTAAACGTGATGTGTGTACAAAGTGCAAGGAGATACTGAAATGTATTGATAGATTTTTAAATAATAATAATGATAAAATAATAATTTGTCCTACAAAGAAACTTCCAGAGAGTATGCACAATATTGGTAAATTAAATAATCAAAACAATAACTTAGAGATTTTAAATGAACAAAAAACGTGTATAGACGCTAAGCAGAATGAGCAAAATAATATTCGTTGCCAGAGTATCCTACAGCTAGTCAAGTCTCGTTGCGGAATTAGTTTGAAAAGTAATAAATCTACAAGCAACGATACCAGAACCTACAAAAACCATGATGCGAACAAAAATGAACAAAACGTTAGTAGTAAAGGAACATCTGAAAACGATAATTCAACAGTCGTATGTCATAAGGCTGTTAGCACTAAATTCAAAAGCGATGCGATGTGTTATTTTGTAGATTTAGACAACACTTGTCCATCTTATGTTTGTCCAGATAAATGTGGACCACTGAAAGCACCCAAACAATTTTGTTTTCGAAAAAAAGTAGATGTAGGAATAGACACTGATTGTTGTTTCAAAAGGACGTTGTTCAATAGAATTGGGATTTTTTTTAATTGTGTAACTGAGAAATTTAGAAGTCGGCAAAATGATCAAAATATAGAATGTGGTAAGCCTCTCAAAGACGCTCGTAATCAGACAAAAAAACTTACGATTAATATAAAAAAGGAGCCTGTTTGCATCATATTTGAAAATGCTTCAGGTCCTAAAGATAAGTGCCCTAATGTGTTCGGAAGAATACCGAAAAAAAAGGTCGCTTTTCGCGACGAATGTGTTAATTTGCCTAAAGGAATGGTTGCGATTAAAATTGATCCAAATAATAAGAGAATAATTAATAAAAGGGAGTTAAAAAGCATATTGAAATCCTTGCCAAAGAAGGAAATTAAAAACTGCCCTATACCACCGTCAACCTCTAAAGTGGAAGTGACGACAATGTTAAAACAAAAGTCTTCTCCCATCGCTACTGCTTGCAAGGGACCAATGTTCGTACTTAAAATAGACCGGAATAATATGCGTATACTAAACTATCCTGAAGTTAAATGCAAGATAAGCAATTTAAATAAAATGTGCGCCAAAAATCCGAATTGTGAATCATGGATAGTAACGAAAGGGAAATGTAATATAAAACAAAAAGTTCGAAGCGTTGAATCAAAAATGTCTTTGTGGGATAGATATCATAGGAGCAAATCAAAAAGTCCAGGTGCCCCAATTAAAAAGAAACCATCACAGGGGAAAATTGATGACAAGACCTGTAAAAAATGTAAGAGTTTTTCATAAGTATTACCTTATTTTTATTTTGATATTGGAAATTTATTAACCCAGGATAACTACTTAAGTTAAAAACTCTGTTGTTAGTACTTATGTATGTTTTGTCAATCGGTGCTATATAATTTACGTTAAGTCTCAATTTGTTCTCGCGTTCTCTTACTTTCATATATTTTTTAACGTTTTAACATGTTAATTTTTTTTTACAGCTATTAGCGATTTTAAGTTATTTTCAAAAGTTAACAGATGTGTTAAGAAAAAGCAGAGAAGTAAATCAGGTTCGATAGTAACAAAGCACGTGCGTGGGAAAGGAAATAAAAAAGGCAGCAAAAAAGGTGCCCGTAAAAAGAAAGTAGTTAAAAAACGAAGTCGTACTCCATCTAAAAAGCCTAAATGTCCCAAAGGAAAATCTAGACAAAGAACTGTATTACATAAGAAATGTAGATCTATCAAACGCCTTAAAAAGAATAAATCGAAGAAAAGAAAAAATAAGAAAAAGAAAAAGAGGACTCGTAGAGGGATCAAGAAAAGTAAGAGTGTTTTCAAAAAATGCTGTCTACTTTTTAAGGCCGAGGTTAAAGGAAAAAGAAAGAAGAGGAAGTCATCAAAACCGAGAAAAAACAAATCAAAGTCCAAACAGGTAATTTGCAAGCCTATAGAAAAACATAAATGCCGTAAAACGAGTGTAGAGAAGTGTCAATACGATTACCTGAGACACACGAAGACACCGTGCTTATGGCTGTTCGTTACCTGTCCTTTCCTGCACCGAAATTATATGATGTTCCGCTCGATATTCCACGATTTCACTCGTTGCATGTTACTGATGCTTGCCTTGGTCTTCTGGTGTCCGTGCTTCCTGTGCATTGAATTGTTTCGTTGTTTTTGCAGTTAGTTAATTATTCCGTAGCTAGTGTTGTCAACTTGTAAACAGTGTATAAAAATAAGTGAACAATAAAGTACTTTGTATTTTTATTATTGCTTTTTTTCTTTCATAACTTTGAAGGCAATTAACGGTTAAAATGTAGTTAGCAAGGTAAACGTTCATTGAAGATTCAAATGCAGTGTCTCTGGCGTGTGTATCCACTGTTGAAATTTCTATTTCTGTCTCTAATTTTTTCTTTGTATTTCCGATGCTAACGAGATGTTAGTATTTCGGTAGTGAGAACTCACGGCGGTCCTTTGGGATGCAGCGTCATTATAGCAAGAAAAAATTTGTAGACTCACAAAATGAAGAAATAATACAGCAAGGGGTTGAAACTATTAAAGTTTTGACGTGGTCTCTGAGACCAAGAGTTTGAAAATCTCCGAATCTTAGACCTTTTAAGGTATTTTTAATGTAGGTTTGATGTCTGTTAATGAATATTACATACTACTTCTGCATCTTTGTACTCTGCATTAACTAAGTCATGAGATACTATTTAAACGACAGTATTGGCACAGCACAGGCACGTATTTCGAATGTAAAATGTAAGTCTCAGATAATTAGAGAAACTTGGTAAAAATACGAGCATCTTTCGACCGACCTAACCAAGGACTTATGCCCTTTTAGAGGATTGACGTTTTGCAGAATACGAAGTTAAATAAAATACAAAACTCATCCTCGTATTTCTTTATTAATAGACATATTGTATGATTAAAGTACATTTTATGCTTTATCTAATAAAGGAATACACTTTTGGTAATTGCTTCTTGCTGTAGTGCCACTAATGCGAACTGATCTTAGTTTTTTTTTTTTTGTTTCTTTTCACTTATTGATACACCTCGCTATCAAAATATGTGTCTGTATTTAAAAATTTAGACAGTCTTGTATTCCTACTTTTTTTCTTTGAGTTCATATTTTTTAAAATTTCTTCTAGCAGCGATAAAACTTTAGTCATGCTTTGTTTTTCTTTTACGAGTTCTTTGACGTCATTAAAATTGTGAGTACGAGCATCAATGTTAGGAGAAGCCGTAGTTTCTTGTAATGGTTTGAAATACGCGCCATCAACTGATTTTGAATTTATTTCGGTCGTTACAGCAATCTTCTGATCATCGTGTATTTCTCGCAATTGTTCGCGGTACTTTTCTCTAGAACTCTCTTGGTCTGATAAAATATCAATAGCAAATCCATCCAGATCACCTGATCTCAATCTCCCTCCGGTTGGTCCTCCCGACGTAGTTGGCGTTGTTGTTGTTGTTTTGCCACTAGTAGTAGTAGTAGTAGGAGACTTTGAAGTAGTTGTAGAAGTCGTACTTTGTTTTATCCCACATTTACCTAAAAGATTATCAATCCATTGCGTGTGAAATACTATCATAAAAATAGCCACGACTACCAGTAACAAGCAACTGATACTGCACATTATTTTGCAAGACTATGCAGTGCAATGCAGCTATGCTCGTGAGTTTTTCATTAATGTAGTCAATCGTTGAATTAGATCAAATAGTAACCCGACAGCTTTGTAAAAACAGTTAATGATTCCGCATTAATTGTACTTGTGAGCTCTAACAAGCTCACTATGATATTTTGTGAAGAATTTGCAAGTTTAGTATAGTAAAGCACGAGAGGACAGGCATTGCACATCGCACACGCAGTATATTTATCTAAATTTTATTTAAGGTCACAGGTAATATCAAACGAATACGGTTATAAAACAACAACACAAGTAATGGTAAATCATCTAGAATTTAAATTTGTATTCAATAAACATTATCGTAATCGACGGCTTTCACATGATAAATATTTATCAGTACTTTCAGGTTATGTAAACTGACAAATGACAAGTTATTTTAAAGTCAAATTAAATTATAATAACTCACTAGCGCCCTCTGGTAAGATACTATTGCACGCGCGCTTTTTTAACGCCCAGCGTTGACGCTTTTTACCACGCTCTCGTTCAGACGAACGCTTTAAAATAACTTTTGTTTCGTACGCCTAATGCTCAAAATGCAACACTACGTGATATAAAATCGTTGCTCACGGAAATGCAAATTTTTAATTTAACGTATTTTAATGTCCTTTATAAAAGAGCCTTTGACAATGGGGGTAAAATGTCTAAAACTTTTCACAATGTTATCTTGTCGTGTAGCTGTTCTGATAAATGAATAATCCATTGCTTCAAAATGATAGCGATTGCTTTGTTACGATATAATTGCGTCGGATCACCCTCACCACCTCATAACCTCATCACCTCACCACCTGCTCACCATCTCTACCAACCGCAACTGTCAGCGTCAAAATGGTAAAATTCAATTAGGCACAAAATGTCGCGTCTTATAGCTTATCTATTTAGAAAGTTCAGTGCTTGTCGATCTGTAATACAGTATAAAAAACACCATAAAATAGTTTTTTTGACAGTTGTGTGTCAAAAGATGTTGGGGTTACCAATATACAAAATCTTCCTTTTGAAATTCCCCCAATATGATATACAAAAGGAAGCATTGATTTACTAATTAGGATCCGTGTGTTCAGAGTAATTACTATTTAAACTGCTACAGCTTTAGGATTAATCAAGAAAACACAATAGAAATTTCATTTTTTTAACATAATTATGTTCAGAATTCACCACAGCGAGTAGGCGAGTGTTACCGTCGTTGTAACACTGACCCCTATAAATGGACAGGCACAAATGGTATGACTAAAGTACATTTATGCTTCATACAATAATTACACTTTTGTTAATTGATTCTTGTAGTGCCACTAAAGTGCAATGATCTTACATTTTCTATATTATATGCCTCTGGAAAACATACAGCATTGCTTATGAAGATGCGTTATATACTTAGCTTCAATTTCGCGGTCATTCGCCGTTGACAG